TCAGTCCTACAGTAACTACACGTCAACATCGCAAGCAGGGGGGAGAAAAATGTATATTCTGTGTAATAAATTTCCAAAGTTTGTCCACGGCCACAAAAGGATGGCTGGCGGAGGTGGAATTTATGACCTTTACTGCAGCCTGTCACCAGAGGATGCTGTTCTTGAAGTGGCTTCACCCAGCGAGGAGGCAGACGCTGTCCATTCTATATACAGTCTATGAGTGTAAGTGGAAAAAAAAAAAAAGCTGAGCTCATCTGTGTTTGTCATGATTTTGATTTTCCACTTCATAACATAGCTAATACATTAATTGGAAAATAAAATATATAAGTTTTAATGGTTAATAAAGATTATAGTGAAAATATGAACAACTTAATTCACAAGGCCCCTTTGCAAATAAGTTTGCAGAATGCTCTGACAGACAAAGCAGAGCAATTGGATTATAAGAGCAGGGAAGAAATATATAACAACTTAGGGCCAAAAAAAAACCCAAGAATAACAGTGAAAAGATTTTAAAAATGTGGGCAGTGGGATGAAGATTAATAGTAAAATAAATAAATGAATGAATAAATAATCTCCATGGTTCATATCATGATCTCTTTAGGGATGCTGCTCAAAAGTAGACCAGCTGTGAAAAATGATGCGAAAAAGTATAATTTCCTTTTGGTTAGAGCCTAAACTCAGGACCTTGGCAAAACCCTGCACTCTTTACATTTAATTCACTACTTCATCTTTTCCCTCTGGGCAAAAATACTCGAAAACTAGCTCATAAAAAAGAAAAAAAAAGGTTTGGAATGATGGCTATGCAGCAGGTTAACAAAAGAAAAACTTTTTGTTTTGATGGACAGAGCAGATTCCTCCCCTCACAGAATTTGTGCCACATCATTTCTGCCACAAATGCCTCAGAAAAGATTTACCCATCTTTTGCGTCAGTGTGGGGTCAGGAGCACACATACACCTGCAGATACAGCACCTCACAGCCTCAGCACAGAGCACATCAAGTGCCAACCATTTTCTCTTATCCACCTGTTTGCGCTTTTCTCTTCGTTTTGCTGGTGAGCCTCATTCATTCTACTCCTCAGTGAACACACGTTATTGGGGCTGTTTTTTTTTTTTTTGTTTGTTTGTTTTTGCCATACTCTGAATTTTACAGCTTTAGAGGTTAAAAAAAAAAAAAAAAAAAAAAAAAAGGGCAGCTGCTGAGAGGCTGTGCTCAGTGAGTCATGATGAGGTCTGGTTGACCTTCCACTCTGAACCTCAGGGGGATTACTCTCTGACTAACAAAGAGTTGGTAGCTGCTAACCGCTGTGTATGGGAGAGAAAAGAGTCAGTGCTTCATAATAAAAGTCATGCTGGAAGATGAGCAATCTGCAAACATTCCAATGACTTCAAATCATCCTGTTATGGTTATTGGATAACTAAAGGGACAGATGAAACCTTAACAAAGTGTCCAGTTGTCAGGATGACATGGAGGCCTGAACTGTCCAACTTAAAGCAGCCATGAATTCATAAGTGTCCATGTATTAAAAGTTAATTAACTCCCATCAGCCAATCAGAATGAGTGCTCACCCAGGTAGTTCTATAATGTTTTTTTCCACAGCCCCATCTCCAGTCAGATATGCTGCTGCTAAAGGTTCCTTTAAGTTAAAGTAGTTTTTGTTTGTTTGTTTATCTAGCAGTTGCAGTCACTTCATTTTAAATCAGGAGTCATGTTACAAAAACTTACTTGTGGTTCTTCTTGTCCCTCTTTTTGTTATACATTTTTTATCTTGACCAACTCCAGAGACAAATATTTGGAATCTCAAAAAACTCATAAAAACAAGCCAGTCTGGTCATTTTACACAGACATCAGGTTTTTACAATTCAGCTGCGGAGTAGAGGGACTGATCATTTTTTCAGCTCCAGAGAGCATGAAGGCACCAATAACACTATACTACACGTCCCAGTGGTTTTCTAGATGTTTCTACAGTTTACCAAGAGCAGTCACTAAAAGCAGCTTGCTCTATTCACTGCTTTATCTTAAAGACAGAAAGAAATGGACCATTACTAGGCTACTTCACAATAAAAACACAGCTTTGTCCTTCACTGGGTTTTTGTTTTGTAGCTCTTGGGAGTTTGAAGTGTTAATTTCTGCATTTTTTCTCTTTTATTTGATCTTGATCTTTGTGTGCAAATGCATGTTGATTTAGAACTTTTTAGCTCATTTAAGTCAATAAAAAGTCACCACATTTGACAAGAACTTGAGTTAAAGCAACATTTAAACACTTGTCAAACCTACATTTTTGTTAGACAGTGAAAAGCATAACCAGGGCAACAGTATCAGTGCACTAACCTTGTGGAGTATATTGCTCAAAGGTTGAATGGCAAATGAAAGAAATCAGATTGCAAGCACCATCACAGCCATACGTGAACAAATTTATGGTATTACTGCTTCAGGTAGAGGCCAGACTTAGCACAAAAACACCATTCAGAATAATTCCTCTTGAGATATGCCACAGATAAAACTCCAGTCGGAGAGCAGGAGGATTCAAAGCACTCTCAGGGATGATACTAAACAGAAAAACATTATTTTTCAGATCACAGTTGGTGGATGCCAAGGGCAAGAACAGAGAGCAAAGCACCTTGGGAAATGTTTGTGTATTCTCTCTGGGACGTGCTCCTGCTTTCATAGTTGGTGGAAACAACAAGATCAGACCATAGACAGTTTTAGAGTACAACAAAAAAATATTTTCATCAAGAATGACTCATCATCGCTCAGCACAAGATCTACATTAAGCTGAAGTGACAGTAAGGACCAAATAAATGGATCACACTAAAGAGAAATGTTTCTCTCTTATAGGAGGGGTTTGAAAAGAAACACACTCACCTTTTGTTCATTTAATGTGACTGCTTTGATCAAATATTTATCAAAAAGGGTTATTTGTTTGATTATCAGTTCAATTATTTATGAAGTAAGGATCAGGCAGCTTGTGAAGGGAGCTTTGCTGGCTTTCTTTCTTCCTGGCTCTTCATTGTCATGGTACATTTGCTTCAGTACAGTTCAGAAAGGTCCGGTACAGTGAACCCTGATCCCACTTATCTTTTCGCAGCAGACTGTACCCTCCTGGGCATCTCATTCAGGAAGCAGGTTACCTGAGTGGCTGCTATCACTTTTTAAAAAAGAGGAGTTTTTAAAGTTGCTTTTTTATGGTGGTCATCAGTATTGGGCAAGTTACTTTAAATTAGTAACTTATTTACTAGTTACCTTTTTCAAAAGTAACTCAGGTACTTTATAAGTTACTCGTTACTTTCAAGGTAACTAGTTACTAGGGAGAGTAACTTTCTTTTCTTTTTTTACTCTAAATTCCCTTATCAATGTGTTGCTGGCTTGCTTACATGTAAGTCCTATGATAGGTTGCATGTCTTCCACAACATACCTGGTAATCAATCTGTTTAGCTGTGTCTGGGTTGTAGACCGTGCAACAGGCTTTGTAAAGTCAAGCTTTTATTGTTTGGCTGGAGTAGCTCCTCTTAGCGTTAGCAGAGCTAACATTAACAGCATCACCTGTGTTTTTTTCTTTTTTTATAACTTTGTCTTTATTTTAGATTGCACATATAAACAAAAATACAAAAACACACACACAAACTTACACATGACTATTAAACAACAACATATGAAAATACAAAATAAAAAGAAGACAAGACATAAGTCTTGCAGGGGTATACACTTCTCACCTTTCACAGGTCACCTTTTTTTTTTCAATTTAAACAATAACCATTTTTCCCATCTTTTCTGAAACAAATCCAAAGTGGCAGATATCAACTTAATATGTAATTTTAATGTCCAAACTCAGGTTTAAAGGCAAAAGAGGGAGTCCGGTAGGCTGGCTAGTTGTCGTGTGGGCTGGAGACACTGTGGGGAAAACAGAGGAGAGGGAAGTGAGTAGACATGCAAAAAATCACGAGGAGCAGAGTTACGAGTACTTCTTCCAAAAGGAGGCCAGGAGACGCGTCTGTAGCACTTGGGCGTGAAGACAATACTCAGGCGCTGAGACTGAGGGCTGCTGGCTTCTTAAAGATGTTAATACCTAAGTATTTAATTTATTTTGCCTCCCAATTTAATCCTGTCTCTTGAGCCTTTGGTTTGGTTTACAGTTAAGCATTATAATTTGAGCTTTAGTTTTATTTAATTTGTATCCAGAGTGTAAACCAAACTGATCTAAGGTCTGCATAAGCGGTTCAAACGTGTCTGACGGATTTTTTAGATAGATCAATACATTGTCAGTGAATAAACTTATTACGTGTTGACAATTATTAATTTCTGTTCCTGTTATTGCTTCATTTTGTCTTATCATCTGAGCTAGAGGCTCTATAAAAATCGCAAGCAACGTTGGACTCAGATTGCAACCCTGTCTTGTCCCCTGCTCTAGCTCGAACCTATCCATCAGAGAACCATTTACTTTTATTCTGGCTGTAGGATTAGTATATAGTGATTTAATACAACGAATTGCCTTCTCCTCAAACCCCAACCTTTCCAGCGTGAGAAACAAGAAGTCCCAGGAGACCCGATCAAACGCAGAAGCTGCATCCAATGAGATTGACACTGCTTGTGTCTTATTCCTATCTATTCTATGTATGACATGTAATGTTCTTCTAATGTTGTCCTGCGTCATCCTACCAGTGACAAAACCACATTGATCTTCGTCCACCAGATTGACGATGAACGACTGAAGTCTATTAGATAATATAGAGGTGTAAAGCTTTTAGTCAACATTTAACATTGAAACTGGTCTGTAATTTTGGCAAAACTTTTTATCCTTTAATGGTTTAGGAATGACAGAAATTACAGCTTCCTTCCACAAGGGGGGAGCTGAGTCATTCTCTTTAACCCAATTAAAGGTAGAGTGAAGCAATGGGGTCATCTCTTTTTCATATTTCTTGTACCACTCAGACGGGAATCCGTCACAGCCCAGAGCCTTATTTGTTTTTGATTTCCCTATCGCTTCACTAATTTCCTCCATAGTTATACCAGGGCTCTCAAGTCTCACGCATTCAGCGTGTGACACACGCATTCCCACCCGTTCACACGCCACACATTGTATTTCTCACGCATTTAAATGAACATGGTGATGTCCACCAAGTTGCGCCTCTTTAACTATGGAACAGGTAGGAATCAACTGAGTTCCTCTGAGAGTTCAGAAGCTGCGTGCCACGCACAAGCAAATTAAATAAAGTATATCTACTGAACAGCCAATAAAAAAGCAGCATTGCTGTATCCGGGTAGATTTTGATATCTTACGGTTTGACTACAGAAGAAGACAGACACTGGCCGTAATAGAGCAGGTTTTTATAAGGACGAGATAGACCCGATGATTACAGTAAGTCAGTAACCTACACATGCAGAGACCTCAACACCTCATGGCATATAAACTCATATGATAAACTAAAGCCCTATGCTATTGGTATTAACGGATGTATTGACGGATTTAGCCTCTGTACAGCCATTTCCAGCCATTTTCCCCTCCACAAAAGCAGCATTTCTCATATATCTCAAATATAAGTTCTGATACTCATGACAGTGTAATGCTCATGTACCAAAGGATTAAGTATCTCCATGTTTGTGAAACCTATACTTAAGTATAATTCATCTAAATGCTCCACAGTACTGATTTTAACAACTCTCCTTCACAACAGGTAACTTTACGACTTAATACTGATATTAATGACTTTATTCTTCCAAATAATAACTTTATTCTTTAAGATTTAAAAAAGTTTTTTTTTCTAATTGTGCCCCTTATACTCCGTTGTATTTAAGAGATAATTATACTAATAATTATCTTCAATCATGAAAAATAACCTCCACTTTACTTCGAGAGATATTTATATTCCATTGAGATTAAAGTAAATTAAAGATAATATTAAACTTTTAGATATAACCTACCAGTGTAAGGGTTTTTCTAAAGTAAACAGCATTTTAAATCTCCATGGTAACCTGTAACGATGTAAAAACTTTAAATCATTACAAGCAAAAGAGAGCGGTCATTTCTGAAGATCAAATCTGAAGAGAACAGCACGAAAAACTTGGGCGGCTCACAAACTTACAACTTTTGACGGCTTCATCGTAAATAAAACCTCACCAGACGACTAAGGACTCCAACAAACACCTCTAACCAACACCTGAACAGAGAAGACAACATCTACGACATGGAGACTGTAAGATTTCATGACAATATTATCATACAAACTTGTGTTACTGTCGAGGCTTTCGTGATGGTTAAGCGAGGCATCGACAAGGATTAAAAGTGTGCATAGATATTTACAGTGTTTATAACTTTAATGTGACAGGCATTATCAAAACTAGAAAAAATTGCATTTCCTTGCAGAAAATGCGTGGAAATGCTGAGTGCTGAAACCTGAAAAAGCAATGCTAAACTGCTAAAAAAAAAAATGGAGGAAGGTTTAAATGTAAAATTGGTTAAAGAGCTGGAGAAAGAAAAGTAGAAGTTAGATGAAAGTGAAAATTGCTGAAGTACAAATAGTATGAATGTGCTTCATAAATTAAAATTGCATTCATGCTAAAAAAGGCAAGAAAAACTCTGAAATTGCAAAAAAAAATGTAAAAGGAAGAAAATTACCTTAAAACACAGAAAAGTAAGAAGCGGCATAAGTTTAAGTTGAAGTACTAGAAGAAGTATGATAATAGGTAGTTGTACTAGTGATATTAGTAGTCATGTAAGCAGTAGAAGTAGTTTTAGAATAGAAGAAGTAGAAGTCAAAGCAGTAGAGCTCGTGGTAGAAGTAAAAAAAATATTAAGGGAAGCAAGAGCAGTGGAGTTAGAAGTGAAGATACAAGTTAAAGTGATATAAGTAGTAATTGTAGTGGTAGAACTGGGATTTTGTTTGAAGAATAAAAACATACATAAATAATGAGAATAATTTTGAAGTGGGAAAAATTTTAAATAATTAGAAGTCCTAAAGTGTGAAACAGGTTTGAAGTATCAGAAAGGTTTGAATCAGTTTGAATGAGTTTGGATTTGTCTGACGAATTTAATAATGCATGAATAATGAGAATAATTTTAAAGTGGGGAAAAGTTTAATAAAAAAAATCCTGAGTACACCTCATAATGTCCTCAATGAGCTGAATTTTTGAAGCCCAGAATGGTTTCTGTAGCTCAAAGTTTGTGGGTGGAGATAGGTGGTGATGCAGACACATATTAACTGTGTGTACATGCAGGTCTTTTAGACACAGACACATGCACACACATTGTCAGACTGTGTGTGTCTCGTTAATGATTGCATCCTAAACAGCTGTGAGATCAAAGGCATTAACTGACCTACTGTTTGAATGAGAAGCTGCCTCTGGACTTCTTCACATAGCATGATTTCCTTATATCCCAGAATGAAAATAAGAACATTGTACGAATCCTCCGCCCTTCATGAACACAATGAATTAGTTAAAAGAGTTAAAAGTCTAGACCAGCGGTCTACATATAAATTTTCAGTGGGTCCACCTGAATGAAATGCCTGCAGGCCTGGGTCCAGTGATTTTTATTTATTTATTTTTTTTACAGTGCATTACTCTTTTGAAATATTCACTTTCGGTGGTTTTCTCTTGTTCGTTGCTCATTTTGCAATCGTTGTTGTTGTTGTTAGCGGTGTTGTGCCGAGAAACGCATGTCCTCCGAGAATTGCATGCACCTCGCAAAACGCGCACCGCTTATAGTAGAGTGGTCCACGGAAATATACATTTTAAAACCCATACAGTTCTTATTTGTTGGGCTTAACAGTCAGTAAAGTTCCGAAAGTAATTCTCAGCGGACACGCGTCTCACTCCATGTGCAGAACATGTGCAGGGGTGGGTTTCCTCCTCTCTGATTTTGATTGACAGCTGGCAGGGTAGTCTGATTGGCAACTGAGAAAAGGACAAAGGTGATTGGTGGATCGCTGCACAGCACATGCAGAGTCACATGCAGTGTGTCTCAGTCAGCTACCCTTGAAATTAACTGAGTTCATTCACCTCCGACATCGCAGGCTCTGCGATGTGACTATCGCACGCACGTATATCGTGCAGGCCTACAAGAGAGAAAAAAACATACATTTTTCTGCGGTAGGCTCGGGTCCGTATTGGACTCTTTCCCGGTCCGGAAGTGGACCGCGGTCCGCCATATGGAGACCACTGGTCTAGACGTTCGGATGGTTATCTTAAAAGTGATGCATTGACATCACATGAAAGTCCGGCCCACCATGTCCAAGACTCTTCGTGCTTACAAGCAGAAAAGCTCATGTTATTGTGAGAAATTTCTATAAGAGATTTTTTATGTCTTCTGGGCTATTTAAAGTCGTCAGTCTGAAACTTATTTGACAGTTTCTTGTATACTAACCAATGCTTTCTTATTTCTTCTTTAAATCTGCACAGAAGAGTCAACCCATTCCTGTAAAAGGAGAAGCTCAGAGAATTGCGTGCTCTGGCTTCAACAGGAGGTAAGAAACACGTTTAACTTATGATGACAGTAAAATGCAAACTCAAATTTATAGGGGTGTGATATTAAACAGTAGTTTACCAATGTGTCTCTAAAACAATCTTTTACCTCTTTTGCATTTAATATGCAGAGTGTAACATTTGAAACATGACAGAGACAATGTTCCCTCTAATTTTCCATGTGTCTGGGCAAACACACAAGCTTCCTGAGCACACTGAAGATCATTGTGAGCACCATCAAATGCGCACGCTGTGACCACACACCAGTAGCACACCTGTACAATAATTGGAATCATAACACTTACTTGGCTTATTAAAATAATCAGATTACAGCAGCAATTTAAATTTATTTACTTTTAATAAAAGTGATTTGGCCCACTTAAAATGAAAAGACAAAAATTTTGTACATGAAATGTGCAGTATTTTATATGTGAGAGTCCTTTTTTTGCCATGAGAAGAGTCCTGTTTTTGCCATGAGAAGAGTCCTGCTTTTGGCCATGAGAAGAGGAAGAGTCCTGCTTTGGTCATGAGAAGAGGAAGAGTCCTGCTTTGGTCATGAGAAGAGTCCTTTTTTGGCCATGGGAGGGGGAAAAGTCCTGCTTTGGTCATGAGAAGAGTCCTTTTTTGGCCATGGGAGGAGGAAGAGTCCTGCTTTGGCCTGGGTGAGGGTCCTGCTCTGGAAAAAATTAGACATTCCTTTCAGACATAACATTTTGTTCATATTAAAAAAACTCACATTTTGCACAATGACATTTGTACTGTAGCTTGTGTTACATGGTAAATTCCTGTAACTCTGTAACTGTATAATATCTAAGAACACATTTTTATTAGCATTTCTACTACCCATAAATCATCTAGTAGTAACAACCTTTAATGACTAATATCCATAAATTAAAAAAATCTTGTCACTAGTATATAGCCAAATCTGACTTGAATTTTACTTTATTTTTCACGTCTGTCCTTCTCACTTCTCCAATGGTTGTACACTTTGTCCAGGTTGATGGCTCCATCTGCTTCTTGCCTTGACTTAATGCGCATCAGCTGGTCCAAATGTGCCACTTCAAGACGATTTCTGGATGCTGTTTTGATATGATTCATTAAGCTAAATCCTCTTTCACAATCTGCACTGGAAGCTTGGAACGTAGCACAAATATCCACAAGCTGTGAGATCTCCTTGAGCTCCTCACATCTCAGTGCTGCAGTCACCATATCTGAGAATGTGCTGATTGACCCCTGTTTAAGTTTTTGCTTCATTATGTACTTGAACTCAGCATATTGGCTGTTAATGGCCTCCAAAGACTGTGGGTGGTGGAGAATGGCCTCATACTTTTTTGCCAGAGTGGCAATGTCTGCTGATCCATAATCAAAACTGATGTCAGAGCTCAATGCTTCAATGTCAAATGCAGACCACTCCTTTAATTCATACTCTGGGAAACGAGCATCCATGTGATCACAGAGCTTACCAATAAAAGCAGTAATCTCGCCAGTATTTCTGCCATCAGCTGTTGAGGTCTCCATTGCCTCTTTGACACGGTCACTCCACTGTACATCCTTTTCCTTCAAGTACTGGGAACGCAGCTTCTCAATCTTTGCTCTAGCAAAGCAGTGCCCTTCCATCACAGTCAGGTTGCGTCTTTGTAAAGAGAGGCAGAGTTGTGCTAGCTCACCCAAAACATCTCCCAGAGCAGTGACAGTAACCTTGAACTTTGAATCACTCAGTTTTTTGTAGCAGTACTTTGCCACTGGATCTCTATTATCAGTGAACTCTCTTTTGCAGAATTCTTCAAGCACAGTGTAGTTCCTCAGAACAGCATTCACAGCTTGGTGCCGCGACAGCCATCGCACTTCGTTCAGAGGCCTGAATGATTATGTATCTTCATCAAGGACCTTGGCGAGGTCCTCCATTTTGCTCCTCTTCACGCTGGACCGAGAGAAAGTGGAATATACAGTTCTAAGAAGAGTTTCCACATCTCGCATCAATGGTACATCTTTCCAGGGATCATCAATGCCCAAGTCCTCTCTATGGGCCACACAATGTTGTTCAGTTAGGTGTGGTATTTGGCGCTTTAACAAAGCCGCAACTCCGTTGTGTTTTCCTAGCATTACAGAGGCCAGCATCACAATTCTCTGCATGTCCAGTCCATGTTTGGTGTAAAACTGAGTTATTGCTTGCACAATATCCTGAGCACTGCATGCTGCCAGCTGGATGATGCCACCAAACACAGTTTTATAGTTGACATCATTTTCCTCCCTGTATTTAATATATATGACAAGCATTTTGTGTACTATTATGTCTGTGCTCTCATCTATTATCAGGGTATGCCAAGGTGCATTTTTAACACTGTGTATAGTTTCATTCTGCACTATCTCATTGATTGAGTTAACAAATTCAAAAGCATAGTTTTTGCTTCGCCAGCTTTCAGGTATACTCACATACTTCGCCATGTGATCATGGATTTGTTGAACAGACAGCATTGATGCATTCATTTTGATGGCAAGTAAAATGTTGTCAATGAGAACTTTAACTTGAACTGGGTCCGATTTTGTTTTGTGTGACAGCTCATTCCTTTTCTCACGGTCTTTTGCGCTCTCCAGCAATAATGTACCGATCCCCTGTCCCATTTTGAGTCTCCGTACAATTCCAACAGCTTTCAAATGAGTTTTATGCTGAATGTGACGCTTAAGGTAGTCCAACTTCCATTCACTCCACTTTTTTCCCTCCGAAAATTTGCTTGCTAATTTGGCTTCGTTGCATGTTTTGCAGAGGAGACCTGTCTCACTCGAAAAAGAAAAAATGTCACCCAGTTTCACCGCTTGTTCTTCTGTTTCCACATACTTCGACAGCCATTCCATTTTAAAAGACCTGCATTTCTTTTTGACTTTGGCTTGGCGAGAGGGTGTGTTGCTGCTTGTTCGTTTTGCCATGATGAGGGGTTAGCGTTGTCATCGGCAGTGTCCGCGGCAGTGTTGTTAGCTAGCTAACTAGCACGGCGCCAATGGACAGGGCACATACCGTATGTAAGCAATGTCAATGCGATGATTAGCTACGTAGCGTAAGTGAACCGTATCACATCATTGGCTGGACATCTATCACTCACTGTGTTAGACATGTGCTGTATAGCTTTTCTTGTGCGCTGATAATGTGTGAGCAGTGCGCGATTGCGCAGGCGCGCAGCTTAGAGGGAACATTGGACAGAGACCTCCCAGCAGATTATAATCTGAGACAGTTCAGAGTTAAATCTTTGACAGTGCCAGCAAAAATCTAAAGATTCGCAAATTTAGGATTTCATTTTGGACTTACACTGTGTTGTGTTTCATACTCTTTTTGTCACAAGACACATGTATTTATGTTATACATTTCAGTGGTTATTTTAACTGAATAAGACAATTCAAAGGCTTCACATAAGACATTTACTGATCAATTAATCAGTCGGACAAAGGAAAAACACTAAATGAAATAAAGAAGTTTTATCATCGTTTGCTCTTACTGGGAGTCTCTAGTCAAAAACTAGTAAAGTCAGGTATGATAGATAAGATACTCCTTTATTAGTCCCACAAGGGGAAATTCCCAGTAAGGGAAACAAAGACCATTTTAATTTACTGTGTTTGAAATTGAAGGAAAAACATGTTTTGTATGAGGTCTTTCCCGGATAATATGCATTAAAAAAGATTTGTTTTAAAAACGCTGTGTCAACTTAAAGAGATTCAGCACTTAGGTTTTTAATGAATAAGTGTGAACAAAGAGGGGGTTCATTTATCAATAACAACAACACAAAAACAGGGAATAACCTTCAGGTATTTTAAACCACTGTGAGTGTGCTGTATTATTTTTGATACATAAAGACACTTTTTCAGTTTGACTCTGATACTTCCTCAAAGACCATCCAGTGCGTGTTTATTGTATTTTATCGTCTGCATATCACCATGGTTTGAGTCTGTGTGACTGTCATGTGTCTCTGCAGATATTTCTGTTTATGGATTTGTTTTGTTCATTAAAATAACCAACCTGTGTTTCTGTGTTGACCAGTGACACTGCATCAGAGGCTTCTAACGCAGAAAACTGCTGCCCAACGAACTTTTGGCTGCACAGGCTGTTTGGTCAACCTCTGGTATGTTTCAGAGCTGTTAAAATAAGATCATTTTATAAGTGTGACATTTAAAATCAGACACTACAAATATTTGACACAGTGGGTTTTCATTTTTATATTTGTTGTTACTCCACGGAGAAAAGTCAGAAGTCTAATCAGCCTTCAGCAGAGGTGAGTAAACTGCTCCAACAATCAGCTGTTTATTTGTGCAGCCACAAAAGCTTCTGATAAATGTTGACTAGTCACTGCAGACTCCTTTAAAAACATCACTACAGGTTGTTAAAACAAATGTCACCACACGGTAATGGTGTGTGCTTGTGTCTGCAGAGATGTCACCTCCAATGGTCTGGCTGGCTCCACAGCACCCCCACCTGGGGAGAAAAACAATAAACCGAAGGAGAAGAAATGGAGTTGTTCTTACCTGGTTATAACCTGGTTATAACCTGACACAGTACCTGGTTATAATCTTGTTATATCCTGAGACATTACCTGGTTATAACCTGGTTATATCCTGAGACATTACCTGATTAAAACCTGGTTATAACCTGGTTATATCCTGAGACATTACCTGGTTATAACCTGGTTATATCCTGAGACATTACCTGGTTATAACCTGGTTATATCCTGAGACATTACCTAGTTATAACCTGGTTATATCCTGAGACATTACCTGGTGATAACCTGGTTATATCCTGAGACATTACCTGGTTAAAACCTAGTTATATCCTGAGACATTACCTGGTTATAACCTGGTTATAGCCTGAGACCTTACCTGGTTAAAACCTGGTTATATCTTGAGACATTACCTGGTGATAACCTGGTTATAACCTGGTTATATCCTGAGACATTACCTGGTTATAACCTGGTTATAACCTGAGACATTACCTGGTTATGACCTGGTTATATCCTGAGACATTACCTGGTTATGACCTGGTTATATCCTGAGACATTACCTGGTTAAAACCTAGTTATATCCGTAGACATTACCTGGTTAAAACCTAGTTATATCCGTAGACATTACCTTGTTATAACCTGGTTATAACCTGGTTATATCCTGAGACATTACCAGGTTATAACCTAGTTATATCCTGAGACATTACCTGGTTATAACCTGGTTATAACCTGGTTATATCCTGAGACATTACCTGGTTAGAACCAGATTATAACCTGGTTATATCCTGAGACATTACCTGGTTATAACCTAGTTATATCCTGAGACATTACCTGGTTATAACGTGGTTTTAACCTGGTTATAACCTGAGACATTACCTGGTTATAACCTGGTTATATCCTGAGACATTACCTGGTTATAACCAGGTTATAACCTGGTTATAACCTGAGACATACCTGGTTATAACGTGGTTATAACCTGGTTATAACCTGAGACATTACCTGGTTATAACCTGGTTATAACCTGAGACATTACCTGGTTATAACCTGGTTAAAACCTGAGACATTACCTGGTTATAACCTGGTTATATCCTGAGACATTACTTGGTTATAACCTGGTTTTAACCTGAAACATTACCTGGTTACAACCTGGTTATAACCTGAGACATTACCTGGTTATAACCTGGTTATAACCTGAGACATTACCTGGTTATAACCTTGTTATATCCTGAGATATTACCTGGTTATAACCTGGTTTTAACCTGGTTATAACCTGAGACATTACCTGATTATAACCTGGTTATATCCTGAGACATTGCCTGGTTATAACCTGGTTATGACCTGGTTATATCCTGAGACATTACCTGGTTAGAACCAGATTATAACCTGGTTATAACCTGAGACATTACCTGGTTATAACCTGAGACATTACCTGGTTATAACCTGGTTATATCCTGAGACATTACCTGGTTATAACCTAGTTATAACCTGAGACATTACCTGGTTATAACATGGTTATAACCTGAGACATTACCTGGTTATAACCAGGTTATAACCTGGTTATATCTTGAGACATTACCTGGTTATAACCTGGTTATATCCTGAGACAATACCTGTATAAAACCTAGTTATATCCTGAGACATTACCTGGTTATAACCTGGTTATATCCTGAGACATTACCTGGTTATAACCAGGTTATAACCTGAGACATTACCTGGATATAACCAGGTTATAACCTGTTTATAACCTGAGACATTACCTGGTTATAACCTGCTTATAACCTGAGACATTACCTGGTTATCACCATGTTATAACCTGAGACATTACCTGGTTAGATTCGATGAAAGGACTAGATGGTACAATCCCCGGGACTATGCATGGCAGGGGCGTCCTCCTCCCTGAGCCAGGCTTGCACCTGACCGCATACCTGAGTGGAAGAGGAGTTGATGCTTTACAGCCATACTTATTCCCTGGGACACATCATCAGTTGTGTCCTCAGATCATGAACAAACAATGGTGGGTGTTGCCGCACATCCTGGTTGTTGGTGGGTAGGGCGTTGATGGAAACCCTCTTGCACTCAAGTTTGTCAGCCAGACACCTGAGGACCTGGTTGTGTCTCCATGTATATCTGCCTTGAGTGAGGCTGGTTTTACAGCCCACCATGATGTGCTTAAGTGTTGCTGGGGTTGTACACAGGGGGCACGCTGGGTCCTTTCCAAACCATTGTTGCAGGTTTATGGGAGATGGTAGCACATCGTATGTTGCTCGAACGATGAAGCTCAACCGGTTGGATTCCATGCCCCAGAGTTCGCTCCATGTGAGCTTCTTCTTTTCGACACCCTCCCACCTCATCCAGCGGCCCTGTTTGGCTTGTGCTACTGCTTTGGATCGTCTGGTTGCTTCCTCCTGTCGGCGCACCTCCTCTACGACCATGGTTCGTCGCTCAGCGGTAGATGCCTTTCGCCAGAGAGGAGTTACAGCTCCAAGGCCAAAACCTGCTCTGCCTTGCTGGACATGGCCCACTACATCACGGTGGAGGAGAGCAGATTTGGCCTGTAGGACAGCTGTGGCTGGGGTCCACTTCCTCCCTGTTGCCAAGGTGGGAGGGGCACCTCTCACTACAGGGTCCCGGGAATCAGTGAGGGACATCTCCAGCCTCACCTTCGCACACTTGAACTCTTCAACCACGCTGGAGATGGGCAGTGACAAGGCTCCGTCGCTGTAGAGTCCGACGCTGCTGAAGCACCTTGGGAGTCCGAGCCACTTCCTCACATGGGAGTTCACCAGCCTTTCAAAGCGATTAGCATGGCGTATAGAGACCTCATACATGGTCAGCGGCCATTGAAGTCTGGGTAACAGCCCAAACTGGAGGCACCAGAGCTTCAGTTTCCCTGGTAGTGCAGTGTTGTTGATCTGCCTAAGGCCGTTGGCTGTGTCCTGCCGCAGCTGTTCAATTTGCTGGGTGTCTCTGAGGTCTGCATTATACCATCGTCCAAGGCTCTTGATGGGCTTCTCTAGGAGTGTTGGAATTGGTTCACCGCTGATGTGGAACCGCTCACCTGTCAGTTGGCCTTTAACGATGGAAATGCTGCGTGACTTGCTTGGTTTGAAGTCCATTCGCGCCCACTGGATGTTTTCCTGGAGTTTCTGCAGCAAGCGTCTCGTACATGGTTTTGTTGTTGTTACGACGGTCATATCGTCCATATAGGCTCTAATAGGCGGAAGACGCAGGCCACTCTTGGTCCTCTCACCTCCCACTACCCAGCGGGATGCCCATATGACCAACTCCATTGCCATGACGAATGCCAGGGGAGAAATTGTGCAGCCCGCCATGATGCCGATTTCCAGATGCTGCCAGGCGGTGGTGTTGCCCTCAGATGTTACACAGAACTGGAGATCTTGGAAGTAGCTCTTGACCAATTCTGTGATGTGGCCTGGTACGCCAAAGAAGTTGAAGGCTGTCCACAAGGTCTTGTGAGGGACTGACCCAAAAGCGTTGGCGAGGTCTAGGAAGACCACATGTAGATCTCTCCGTTCCTTTTTTGCAGCTTGTATCTGGTGCCAGATCATATTGGCGTGCTCCAGGCATCCTGAGAAACCCTGAATCCCGGCTTTCTGCACTGATGTATCAACAAAGTTGTTTCTTTGGAGGAATGCAGAGAGCCTTTGGGCAACGACACTAAAGAAAATCTTCCCCTCCACATTCAGCAGGCTGATCTGACGAAACTGGCCTATGGATGACGAGTCCTTCTCTTTGGGGATCAGGATGCCTCCTGCTCTTCGCCATGCTCTCGGGATCACACCTTTCTTCCATGCTACCTTCATCAGCTTCCACAGGTATCTGAGGGCTCCTGGGGCATTCTTGTACAGCCTATAAGGGATGCCATTGGGCCTAGGTGCCGACGCCAATCTTGCCTGCTTCACAGTCTTCTCCACCTCGCTCCATGTGGGGGGTCTTATGTCCACTTGGTGTTCAGGTGCATGAATTGGTGGCATGTTGTTTGGGATAGTGACTGGCTCATGCTTCCGATCATCAGAGTACGTCTTACTCAGGTGCTCTTCCAGATCTTTTATGGGCACCTTGAGGCTCCCGCTCTTCTCTTGCTCAAAGAGGCCTTTGACAAAACTGTAGGGATTGCTAAAGAAGAGGGTTCTTGTACGTTCTTTCCTCTTGCGTTGTTGTCTGAGGTGTTCTGCTCTTCGCAACTTTGTTAGGCGCTGCTTTATTTCAGCCTGCAGAACTTCAATTCCCTCTCTTTCCATCTCTGTAGCCTTTCTCCACAGCTTTCTCAACTGTCTTCTTTCTTTCACCAAGCTTTCAATTTCACGCTGCCTCCTGGACTTGGACTGGTTTGGAGGCCCTTTCTGCTGCCTCTGTGCCTTGTGCTTTACCCCAAATCACACGGCGCCATAGCTGTAAATGACGGCACCCATATTGTCCAGTTTTCTTTCAACAGGACCCTTCTGCTGATCTAAAAGAAGGACCAGGTCTGAGTCAATGGTCTCCCACTCTCTCTTCTGGTTGGATTTGGGCCACAGGATCAGAGGTTTCCTTCCTTCCATCTTTCTCTCTGTTGCAGGCAGAGGCTGGCTGGGCTCAGTGTTGGAACCTGCTGCTGATTGGTTGAGGTCCAGGATGTAGACTTCTGCTGACTGGCTGGGCTCCGGGATGGAGACTGCTTCTGGTTGGATGGGTTCCGAGTTGGAGACTGCTGCTGGCTGACTGGGCTCCGAGCTGGCGACTACTGGTGGCTGGCTACGCTCCAAGTTGGAGACTGTTGGAGGGTCTATGCGACTCTGAGCTTCATTTGAGGTGCTGATACCCTGAGGACTGTGGGGGTTCTCCTGCCTCCGGGCTTCACTCGACTGATTTGATCTAGTTCTTAAGAAGTACTGATCAATGCGGGACCCCTTGCTGAGCTCGATGAGGCATTTCTTTTTGCCTTGATGGATTTTTAGGCCCCTCGCTGTTGTTATCTTTGACCAGCCACAGATGCTGCTCTGCAGCATTTGTCCTGTTGGTGAGTCATTAGTTGCTGTGCTGGTTCCGTTCGTTGTCAGTTCCGTTCCGTTGTCTGTCACCGTGAGATCCGTCCGTACTGGGTCATCTTCCGCCCCCGCTCTCGCAGACCCTGGGGGTATTTTCCTCCTTGACTTTTTCGTAGCAATGAGGGGGTCTGGTATGGGTTGCTAACCCACACCAGCCCCGTTGGGGTCTATTCCCTCCAGTCAGCAGTCTTTCCAGGCCGTCATCTGGTCTTTCCCTGATTGTCAGTTGCTCTTTCGCAGCAGTCACTGGATCTTTTCCAGAAGTAAGATTCGATGAAAGGACTAGATGGTACAATCCCCGGGACTATGCATGGCAGGGGCGTCCTCCTCCCTGAGCCAGGCTTGCACCTGACCGCATACCTGAGTGGAAGAGGAGTTGATGCTTTACAGCCATACTTATTCCCTGGGACACATCATCAGTTGTGTCCTTAGATCATGGGGCGTTTCGGCCAATTATCACAAGACGCCCTCAGCTGAGGTAGGCCCACCACAGGTTGATCAGACCTGGGTGTGTGTCCCAGGGTTAAGCATTTGGCTTAGCAGCCCAGATGGTGTCGCTCCTCTTCATCCACAGCCAATCGCTCGTTCTCTCGGCAGTGTTGGCCAGCTCTTTGATGGCCTGTCTGTGAGCTTGTCCCCTGATTCTGACCTCCCTAAGGAGCTTCACTGTCGAGCTGGCCACAAAACCCCTAAAACCCACCTCCACCGGGCGCACCCACGCCTTCCAGCCCCTGTCCTCTGCCTCAGCCGCTAGGTTGGAGTAGTGAAGTTTCTTGCGTTCATACGCTTCTTCGACAGCATCCTCCCAAGGAACTGTCAGCTCTATGATGTAGACGAGCTTGCAGGTGTTAGACCATAGGACAAGGTCTGGACGTAGGGTGGTCGTTGCGATCTCCGGGGGGAAAACGAGTCTCCGATCCAAGTCAGCCTGCATTTGCCAGTCTCTGGCTGCATTCAGCGGGCCTTGCACTCAAGTTTGTCAGCCAGACACCTGAGGACCTGGTTGTGTCTCCATGTATATCTGCCTTGAGTGAGGCTGGTTTTACAGCCCACCATGATGTGCTTAAGTGTTGCTGGGGTTGTACACAGGGGGCACGCTGGGTCCTTTCCAAACCATTGTTGCAGGTTTATGGGAGATGGTAGCACATCGTATGTTGCTCGAACGATGAAGCTCAACCGGTTGGATTCCATGCCCCAGAGTTCGCTCCATGTGAGCTTCTTCTTTTTGACACCCTCCCACCTCATCCAGCGGCCCTGTTTGGCTTGTGCTACTGCTTTGGATCGTCTGGTTGCTTCCTCCTGTCGGCGCACCTCCTCCACGACCATGGTTCGTCGCTCAGCGGTAGATGCCTTTCGCCAGAGAGGAGTTACAGCTCCAAGGCCAAAACCTGCTCTGCCTTGCTGGACATGGCCCACTACATCACGGTGGAGGAGAGCAGATTTGGCCTGTAGGACAGCTGTGGCTGGGGTCCACTTCCTCCCTGTTGCCAAGGTGGAAGGGGCACCTCTCACTACAGGGTCCCGGGAATCAGTGAGGGACATCTCCAGCCTCACCTTCGCACACTTGAACTCTTCAACCACGCTGGAGATGGGCAGTGACAAGGCTCCGTCGCTGTAGAGTCCAACGCTGCTGAAGCACCTTGGGAGTCCGAGCCACTTCCTCACATGGGAGTTCACCAGCCTTTCCAAGCGATTAGCATGGCGTATAGAGACCTCATACATGGTCAGCGGCCATTGAAGTCTGGGTAACAGCCCAAACTGGAGGCACCAGAGCTTCAGTTTCCCTGGTAGTGCAGTGTTGTTGATCTGCCTAAGGCCGTTGGCTGTTTCCTGCCGCAGCTGTTCAATTTGCTGGGTGTCTCTGAGGTCTGCATTATAACCTAGTTATATCCTGAGACATTAAATGGTTATAACCTGGTTATAACCTGCTTATATCCTGAGACATTACCTGGTTATAACCAGGTTATAATCTGAGACATTACCTAAATATAACCAGATTATAACCTATTTATAACCTGAGACAGTACCTGGTTATAACCTGATTATATCCTGAGACATTACCTGGTTATAACCTGGTTATATCCTGAGACATTACCTGGTTATAACCTGGTTATGACCTGAGACATTACCTGGTTATAACCTGGTTATATCCTGAGACATTACCTGGTTATAACCAGGTTATAACCTGAGACATTACCTGGATATAACCAGGTTATAACCTGTTTATAACCTGAGACATTACCTGGTTATAACCTGCTTATAACCCGAGACATTACCTGGTTATAACCATGTTATAACCTGGTTATATCTTGAGACATTACCTGGTTATAACCATGTTATAACCTGGTTATATCTTGAGACATTACCTGGTTATAACCTGGTTATATCCTGAGACATTACCTGGTTATAACCTAGTTATATCCTGAGACATTACCTGGTTATAACCTGGTTATAACCTGCTTATGTCCTGAGACATTACCTTGTTATAACCAGGTTATAATCTGAGACATTACCTGGATATAACCTGGTTATAACCTGCTTATAACCTGAGACATTACCTGGTTAAAACCTGGTTATAACCTGGTTATATCCTGAGACATTACCTGGTTATAACCTGGTTATATCCTGAGACATTACCTGGTTATAACCTAGTTATATCCTGAGACAATACCGGGTTATAACCTGGTTATAACCGGCTTATATCCTGAGACATTACCTTGTTATAACCTGTTTATAACCTGAGACATTACCTGGTTATAAAGTGGTTATAAAGTGGTTATAACCTGAGACAGTACCTGGTTATAACCTGGTTATATCCTGAGACATTACTTGGTTATAACCATGTTATATCCTGAGACATTACCTGGTTATAACCTGGTTATGACCTAGTTATATCCTGAGACATTACCTGGTTATAACCTGGTTATATCCTGAGACATTACCTGGTTATAACCTAGTTATATCCTGAGCCATTACCTGGTTATAACCTGGTTATAACCTGCTTATGTCCTGAGACATTACCTTGTTATAACCAGGTTATAATCTGAGACATTACCTGGATAAAACCTGGTTATAACCTGCTTATAACCTAAGACATTACCTGGTTAAAACCTGGTTATAACCTGGTTATATCCTGAGACATTACCTGGTTATAACCTGGTTATATCCTGAGACATTACCTGGTTATAACCTGGTTATAACCTGGTTATAACCTGCTTATATCCTGAGACATTACCTTGTTATAACCTGTTTATAACCTGAGACATTACCTGGTTATAAAGTGGTTATAACCTGGTTATAACCTGAGACAGTACCTGGTTATAACCTGGTTATATCCTGAGACATTACCTGGTTATAACCTGGTTATGACCTAGTTATATCCTGAGACATTACCTGGTTATAACCTAGTTATATCCTTAGACATTACCTGGTTATAACCTGAGACATTACCTGATTATAACCTGGTTATAACCTAAGACATTACCTGGTTATAACCTGGTTATAACCTGAGACATTACCTGGTTATAACCTGGTTATAACCTGAGACATTACCTGGTAATAACCAGGTCATAACCTGGTTATTACCTGGTTATAACCTGAGACATTACCTGGTTATAACCTGGTTATATCCTGAGACATTACCTGGTTATAACCAGGTTATAACCTGAGACATTACCTGGTTATAACCTGGTTATGACCTGAGACATTACCTGGTTATGACCTAGTTATATCCTGAGACATTATCTAGTTATAACCTAGTTATATCCTGAGACATTACCTGGTTATAACCTGGTATTAACCTGAGACATTACCTGATTATAACCTGGTTATAACCTGAGACATTACCTGGTTATAACCTGAGAACCTGAGACATTACCTGGTTATAACCTATTTATAACCTGGTTTTAACCTGAGACATTACCTGGTTTTTACCTGGTTATAACCTGAGACATTACCTGGTTATAACCTGAGACATTACCTGGTTATAACCTGAGACATTACCTGGTAATAACCTGGTTATAACCTGGTTATTACCTGGTTATAACCTGAGACATTACCTGGTTATAACCTGAGAAATTACCTGGTTATAACCTGGTTATAACCTGCTTATATCCTGAGACATTACCTTGTTATAACCAGGTTATAATCTGAGACATTACCTGGATATAACCAGGTTATAACCTGTTTATAACCTGAGACAGTACCTGGTTGTAACCTGGTTATATCCTGAGACATTACGTGGTTATAACCTGGTTATGACCTGAGACATTACCTGGTTATGACCTAGTTATATCCTGAGACATTACCTGGTTATAACCTAGTTATATCCTGAGACATTACCTGGTCATAACCTGAGACATAACCTGATTATAACCTCGTTATAACCTAAGACATTACCTGGTAATAACCTGGTTATTACCTGGTTATAACCTGAGACATTGCCTGGTTATAACCTGAGACATTACCTGGTTATAACCTAGTTATAACCTGGTTTTAACCTGAGACATTACCTGGTTATAACCTGGTTATAACCTGAGACATTACCTGGTAAAAACCTGGTTATAACCTGAGACATTACCTGGTTATAACCTGGTTATAACCTGAGACATTACCTGGTAATAACCTGGTTATAACCTGGTTATTACCTGGTTATAACCTGAGACATTACCTGGTTCTAACCTGGTTCTTACCTGAGACATTACCTGGTTATAACCTGGTTATAACCTGAGACATTACCTGGTTATAACCATGTTATAACCTGCTTATAACCTGAGACATTACCTGGTTAAAACCTGGTTATATCCTGAGACATTACCTGGTTATAACCTGGTTATAACCTGAGACATTACCTGGTTATAGCATGGTTATAAATATAAATGTTATAAATATAAAGGTTATAAATGTTCATTTAAATGAACATGGTGATGTCCACCAAGTTGCGCCTCTTTAACTATGGAACAGGTAGGAATCAACTGAGTTCCTCTGAGAGTTCAGAAGCTGCGTGCCACGCGCAAGCAAATTAAATAAAGTATATCTACTGAACAGCCAATAAAAAAGCAGCATTGCTGTATCCGGGTAGATTTTGATATCTTACGGTTTGACTACAGAAGAAGACAGACACTGGCCGTAATAGAGCAGGTTTTTATAAGGACGAGATAGACCCGATGATTACAGTAAGTCAGTAACCTACACATGCAGAGACCTCAACACCTCATGGCATATAAACTCATATGATAAACTAAAGCCCTATGCTATTGCTATTAACAGCTGTATTGACGGATTTAGCCTCTGTACAGCCATTTCCAGCCATTTTCCCCTCCACAAAAGCAGCATTTCTCATATATCTCAAATATAAGTTCTGATACTCATGACAGTGTAATGCTCATGTACCAAAGGATTAAGTATCTCCATGTTTGTGAAACCTATACTAAAGTACAATTCATCTAAATGCTCCACAGTGCTGATTTTAACAACTCTCCTTCACAACAGGTAACTTTACGACTTAATACTGATATTAATGACTTTATTCTGTTTTTTTTTCTAATTGTGCCCCTTATACTCCGTTGTATTTAAGAGATAATTATACTAATAATTATCTTAATTTTTCCTTTTTTAGTCTGCTCGAGATTGCAATCAATTTACCTCTAACAACTGCCTTTAGGGCATCCCATAAGATTGCTGGGTTGGTTTCCCCATTATCATTTTCCTTTAAATAATTCCCAACATCTGTTCTGATCTGTTCTACCACCTCAATATTATTCAACAGTTCAGTATTCAACCTCCATATTGTATTTCTCTGTCTATCAGAAAGACAAACTCTCATATAGACAGTACTATGATCAGATACATCAGCTACTCCAATTTGGCAGTCCCTTATTAATTCAATATTTTCCTTTTGCGTATGGAAGTAGTCTATTCTACTGTACACTGAGTGTGAATGTGAATAATGAGTATAATCCTTCTGAAGAGGATGCAAATCTCTCCAAACATCAACACAGCCCATTTCTTCCCATGTATTCCTCACTAGCTTCGAAACAGATTTCTTACTTCTATTTTTACTGGTGGTATCCAGATCATAATCAATAACAACATTCTGGTCTCCCGCACACCAACATATCCCCTCTGCTTCTAATGCTATAGTATCATGCAACATTTTAAATAATTTTTTATCACTCTCTGGTGGCTTGTATATATTCACCAATGTTCCTTTTGTTTCATCTATAGTTCCCTTTACTATTACAAATCTCCCCTCATTATCCCTTATTTCTTTATGGTGCTCAAACCTTATCTGATTGGAGATCAAGATTGCTACTCCTCTTTTACGTGTATTAGTATGTGAACTATAGTATGTATGCCTGTTTCATCTGGAGGAACCTGGGGTTTATGTGAGGATCATGTTCTTTGACTTTTCAAGAGCATTCAACACCATCCAACTCACCATACTCAAAGTCAAGCTCACAGAGATGGGAGTGGATCCTGCCTGTGTTTCCTGGATCGCAGATTACCTGACAGGAAGGCCACAGTTTGTCAGGCTGGGGAACTGTGTTTCTGGGACATTAATGAGCAGTACAGGGGCTCCACAAGGGACAGTGCTGGCGCCATTCCTGTTCACACTGTATATGTCAGACTTCAAATACAGTACAGAGTCCTGCCACATCCAGAAATACTCAGATGACACCGCTATTGTGGCATGTATCAGAAATGGACAGGATGAATACAGAGATCTAATAAGAGCCTTCAGTGACTGGAGTCACAAAAACTGCCTCCTCCTCAACACCTCAAAGACAAAGGAGATGGTCATAGACTTCCGTAGATCCAAACCCCCTCTTCAGCCAGTGAACACCTGTGGAGTGGACATTGAAGTGGTGACATCATATAAATACCTAGGTGTACATCTGGATAATAAGTTTGACTGGTCTAAAAATATATACTTCATCTACAGAAAGGGGCAGAGCCACCTCTTTGCCTGAGATGACTCAGATCAATAGACATCTGTAGTAAGATGCTAGTAAGTCCTGGGTGTGTGTCCCAGGGTTAAGCATTTGGCTTAGCAGCCCAGATGGTGTCGCTCCTCTTCATCCACAGCCAATCGCTCGTTCTCTCGGCAGTGTTGGCCAGCTCTTTGATGGCCTGTCTGTGAGCTTGTCCCCTGATTCTGACCTCCCTAAGGAGCTTCACTGTCGAGCTGGCCACAAAACCCCTAAAACCCACCTCCACCGGGCGCACCCACGCCTTCCAGCCCCTGTCCTCTGCCTCAGCCGCTAGGTTGGAGTAGTGAAGTTTCTTGCGTTCATACGCTTCTTCGACAGCATCCTCCCAAGGAACTGTCAGCTCTATGATGTAGACGAGCTTGCAGGTGTTAGACCATAGGACAAGGTCTGGACGTAGGGTGGTCGTTGCGATCTCCGGGGGGAAAACGAGTCTCCGATCCAAGTCAGCCTGCATTTGCCAGTCTCTGGCTGCATTCAGCAGGCCCAGGTCAGAGTGTGAAGCCCTTGCTCTCTGCTTTTCCCCCTCCCGAACAAACAATGGTGGGTGTTGCCGCACATCCTGGTTGTTGGTGGGTAGGGCGTTGATGGAAACCCTCTTGCACTCAAGTTTGTCAGCCAGACACCTGAGGACCTGGTTGTGTCTCCATGTATATCTGCCTTGAGTGAGGCTGGTTTTACAGCCCACCATGATGTGCTTAAGTGTTGCTGGGGTTGTACACAGGGGGCACGCTGGGTCCTTTCCAAACCATTGTTGCAGGTTTATGGGAGATGGTAGCACATCGTATGTTGCTCGAACGATGAAGCTCAACCGGTTGGATTCCATGCCCCAGAGTTCGCTCCATGTGAGCTTCTTCTTTTCGACACCCTCCCACCTCATCCAGCGGCCCTGTTTGGCTTGTGCTACTGCTTTGGATCGTCTGGTTGCTTCCTCCTGTCGGCGCACCTCCTCTACGACCATGGTTCGTCGCTCAGTGGTAGATGCCTTTCGCCAGAGAGGAGTTACAGCTCCAAGGCCAAAACCTGCTCTGCCTTGCTGGACATGGCCCACTACATCACGGTGGAGGAGAGCAGATTTGGCCTGTAGGACAGCTGTGGCTGGGGTCCACTTCCTCCCTGTTGCCAAGGTGGGAGGGGCACCTCTCACTACAGGGTCCCGGGAATCAGTGAGGGACATCTCCAGCCTCACCTTCGCACACTTGAACTCTTCAACCACGCTGGAGATGGGCAGTGACAAGGCTCCGTCGCTGTAGAGTCCGACGCTGCTGAAGCACCTTGGGAGTCCGAGCCACTTCCTCACATGGGAGTTCACCAGCCTTTCAAAGCGATTAGCATGGCGTATAGAGACCTCATACATGGTCAGCGGCCATTGAAGTCTGGGTAACAGCCCAAACTGGAGGCACCAGAGCTTCATGTTCCCTGGTAGTGCAGTGTTGTTGATCTGCCTAAGGCCGTTGGCTGTGTCCTGCCGCAGCTGTTCAATTTGCTGGGTGTCTCTGAGGTCTGCATTATAACCTAGTTATATCCTGAGACATTACCTGGTTATAACCTGCTTATAACCTGCTTATAACCTGAGACATTACCTGGTTAAAACCTGGTTATAACCTGCTTATATCCTGAGACATAACCTGGTTATAACCAGGTTATAATCTGAGACATTACCTGGATATAACCAGATTATAACCTGTTTATAACCTGAGACAGTACCTGGTTATAACCTGGTTATATCCTGAGACATTACCTGGTTATAACCTGGTTATATCCTGAGACATTACCTGGTTATAACCTGGTTATGACCTGAGACATTACCTGGTGAAAACCTGGTTATATCCTGAGACATTACCTGGTTATAACCAGGTTATAACCTGAGACATTACCTGAATATAACCAGGTTATAACCTGTTTATAACCTGAGACATTACCTGGTTATAACCTGCTTATAACCTGAGACATTACCTGGTTATAACCATGTTATAACCTGGTTATATCTTGAGACATTACCTGGTTATAACCATGTTATAACCTGGTTATATCTTGAGAAATTACCTGGTTATAACCTGGTTATATCCTGAGACATTACCTGGTTATAACCTAGTTATATCCTGAGACATTACCTGGTTATAACCTGGTTATAACCTGCTTATGTCCTGAGACATTACCTTGTTATAACCAGGTTATAATCTGAGACATTACCTGGATATAACCTGGTTATAACCTAGTTATAACCTGAGACATTACCTGGTTAAAACCTGGTTATAACCTGGTTATAACCTGAGACATTACCTGGTTATAACCTGGTTATATCTTGAGACATTACCTGGTTATAACCTGGTTATATCCTGAGACATTACCTGGTTATAACCTAGTTATATCCTGAGACATTACCAGGTTATAACCTGGTTATAACCTGCTTAAATCCTGAGACATTACCTTGTTATAACCTGTATATAACCTGAGACATTACCTGGTTATAAAGTGGTTATAACCTGGTTATAACCTGAGACAGTACCTGGTTATAACCTGGTTATATCCTGAGACATTACCTGGTTATAACCTGGTTATATCCTGAGACATTACCTGGTTATAACCTGGTTATGACCTGAGACATTACCTGGTTATGACCTAGTTATATCATGAGACATTACCTGGTTATAACCTAGTTATATCCTTAGACATTACCTGGTTATAACCTGGTTATAACCTGAGACATTACCTGATTATAACCTGGTTATAACCTGAGACATTACCTGGTTATAACCTGGTTTTAACCTGAGACATTACCTCGTTATAACCTGGTTATATCCTGAGACATTACCTGGTTATAACCAGGTTATAACCTGAGACATTACCTGATTATAACCATGTTATAACCTGGTTATATCTTGAGACATTACCTGGTTATAACCTGGTTATATCCTGAGACAATACCTGTTTATAACCTAGTTATATTCTGAGACATTACCTGGTTATAACCTGGTTATATTCTGAGACATTACCTGGTTATAACCAGGTTATAACCTGAGACATTACCTGGATATAACCAGGTTATAACCTGTTTATAACCTGAGACATTACCTGGTTATAACCTGCTTATAACCTGAGACATTACCTGGTTATAACCATGTTATAACCTGGTTATATCTTGAGACATTACCTGGTTATAACCTGGTTATATCCTGAGACATTACCTGGTTATGACCTAGTTATATCCTGAGACATTACCTGCTTATAACCTGGTTATAATCTGCTTATGTCCTGAGACATTACCTTGTAATAACCAGGTTATAATTTGAGACATTACCTGGATATAACCTGGTTATAACCTGCTTATAACCTGAGACATTACCTGGTTAAAACCTGGTTATAACCTGGTTATATCTTGAGACATTACCTGATTATAACCATGTTATAACCTGGTTTTAACCTGAGACATTACCTGGTTATAACCTGGTTATATCCTGAGACATTACCTGGTTATAACCAGGTTATAACCTGAGACATTACCTGATTATAACCATGTTATAACCTGGTTATATCTTGAGACATTACCTGGTTATAACCTGGTTATATCCTGAGACAATACCTGTTTATAACCTAGTTATATCCTGAGACATTACCTGGTTATAACCTGGTTATATTCTGAGACATTACCTGGTTATAACCAGGTTATAACCTGAGACATTACCTGGATATAACCAGGTTATAACCTGTTTATAACCTGAGACATTACCTGGTTATAACCTGCTTATAACCTGAGACATTACCTGGTTATAACCATGTTATAACCTGGTTATATCTTGAGACATTACCTGGTTATAACCTGGTTATATCCTGAGACATTACCTGGTTATGACCTAGTTATATCCTGAGACATTACCTGCTTATAACCTGGTTATAATCTGCTTATGTCCTGAGACATTACCTTGTAATAACCAGGTTATAATTTGAGACATTACCTGGATATAACCTGGTTATAACCTGCTTATAACCTGAGACATTACCTGGTTAAAACCTGGTTATAACCTGGTTATATCTTGAGACATTACCTGATTATAACCATGTTATAACCTGGTTATATCTTGAGACATTACCTGGTTATAACCTGGTTATATCCTGAGACAATACATGGTTATAACCTAGTTATATCCTGAGACATTACCGGGTTATAACCTGGTTATATCTTGAGACATTACCTGGTTTTAACCATGTTATAACCTGGTTATATCTTGAGACATTACCTGGTTATAACCTGCTTATATCCTGAGACATTACATGGTTATAACCTAGTTATATCCTGAGACATTACCTGGTTATAACCTGCTTATATCCTGAGACATTACCTTGTTATAACCTGTTTATAACCTGAGACATTACCTGGTTATAAAGTGGTTATAACCTGGTTATAACCTGAGACAGTACCTGGTTATAACCTGGTTATATCCTGAGACATTACCTGGTTATAACCTGAGACATTACCTGGTTATAACCTGGTTATGACCTGAGACATTACCTGGTTATGACCTAGTTATATCCTGAGACATTACCTAGTAATAACCTAGTTATATCCTGAGACATTACCTGGTTATAACCTGGTATTAACCTGAGACATTACCTGATTATAACCTGGTTATAACCTGAGACATTACCTGGTTATAACCTGGTTATAACCTGAGACATTACCTGGTTATAACCTATTTATAACATGGTTTTAACCTGAGACATTACCTGGTTATTACCTGGTTATAACCTGAGACATTACCTGGTTATAACCTGAGACATTACCTGGTTATAACCTGAGACATTACCTGGTAATAATCTGGTTATAACCTGGTTATTACCTGGTTATATCCTGAGACATTACCTGGTTATAACCTAGTTATATCCTGAGACATTACCAGGTTATAACCTGGTTATAACCTGCTTAAATCCTGAGACATTACCTTGTTATAACCTGTATATAACCTGAGACATTACCTGGTTATAAAGTGGTTATAACCTGGTTATAACCTGAGACAGTACCTGGTTATAACCTGGTTATATCCTGAGACATTACCTGGTTATAACCTGGTTATATCCTGAGACATTACCTTGTTATAACCTGGTTATGACCTGAGACATTACCTGGTTATGACCTAGTTATATCATGAGACATTACCTGGTTATAACCTAGTTATATCCTTAGACATTACCTGGTTATAACCTGGTTATAACTTGAGACATTACCTGATTATAACCTGGTTATAACCTGAGACATTACCTGGTTATAACCTGGTTTTAACCTGAGACATTACCTGGTTATAACCTGGTTATATCCTGAGACATTACCTGGTTATAACCAGGTTATAACCTGAGACATTACCTGATTATAACCATGTTATAACCTGGTTATATCTTGAGACATTACCTGGTTATAACCTGGTTATATCCTGAGACAATACCTGTTTTTAACCTAGTTATATCCTGAGACATTACCTGGTTATAACCTGGTTATATTCTGAGACATTACCTGGTTATAACCAGGTTATAACCTGAGACATTACCTGGATATAACCAGGTTATAACCTGTTTATAACCTGAGACATTACCTGGTTATAACCTGCTTATAACCTGAGACATTACCTGGTTATAACCATGTTATAACCTGGTTATATCTTGAGACATTTCCTGGTTATAACCTGGTTATATCCTGAGACATTACCTGGTTATGACCTAGTTATATCCTGAGACATTACCTGCTTATAACCTGGTTATAATCTGCTTATGTCCTGAGACATTACCTTGTAATAACCAGGTTATAATCTGAGACATTACCTGGATATAACCTGGTTATAACCTGCTTATAACCTGAGACATTACCTGGTTAAAACCTGGTTATAACCTGGTTATATCTTGAGACATTACCTGGTTATAACCATGTTATAACCTGGTTATATCTTGAGACATTACCTGGTTATAACCTGGTTATATCCTGAGACAATACATGGTTATAACCTAGTTATATCCTGAGACATTACCGGGTTATAACCTGGTTATATCTTGAGACATTACCTGGTTTTAACCATGTTATAACCTGGTTATATCTTGAGACATTACCTGGTTATAACCTGGTTATATCCTGAGACATTACATGGTTATAACCTAGTTATATCCTGAGACATTACCGGGTTATAACCTGGTTATAACCTGCTTATATCCTGAGACATTACCTTGTTATAACCTGTTTATAACCTGAGACATTACCTGGTTATAAAGTGGTTATAACCTGGTTATAACCTGAGACAGTACCTGGTTATAACCTGGTTATATCCTGAGACATTACCTGGTTATAACCTGAGACATTACCTGGTTATAACCTGGTTATGACCTGAGACATTACCTGGTTATGACCTAGTTATATCCTGAGACATTACCTAGTAATAACCTAGTTATATCCTGAGACATTACCTGGTTATAACCTGGTATTAACCTGAGACATTACCTGATTATAACCTGGTTATAACCTGAGACATTACCTGGTTATAACCTGGTTATAACCTGAGACATTACCTGGTTATAACCTATTTATAACCTGGTTTTAACCTGAGACATTACCTGGTTATTACCTGGTTATAACCTGAGACATTACCTGGTTATAACCTGAGACATTACCTGGTTATAACCTGAGACATTACCTGGTAATAATCTGGTTATAACCTGGTTATTACCTGGTTATAACCTGAGACATTACCTGGTTATAACCTGAGAAATTACCTGGTTATAACCTGGTTATAACCTGCTTATATCCTGAGACATTACATTGTTATAACCAGGTTATAATCTGAGACATTACCTGGATATAACCAGGTTATAACCTGTTTATAACCTGAGACAGTACCTGGTTATAACCTGGTTATATCCTGAGACATTACCTGGTTATGACCTAGTTATATCCTGAGACATTACCTGGTTATAACCTAGTCATATCCTGAGACATTACCTGGTCATAACCTTAGACATTACCTGATTATAACCTCGTTATAACCTAAGACATTACCTGGTAATAACCTGGTTATTACCTGGTTATAACCTGAGACATTGCCTGGTTATAACCTGAGACATTACCTGGTTAAAACCTGGTTATATCCTGAGACATTACCTGGTTATAACCTGGTTATAACCTGAGAAATTACCTGGTTATAACATGGTTATAAATATAAATGTTATAAATATAAAGGTTATAAATGTTCATTTAAATGAACATGGTGATGTCCACCAAGTTGCGCCTCTTTAACTATGGAACAGGTAGGTATCAACTGAGTTCCTCTGAGAGTTCAGAAGCTGCGTGCCACGCGCAAGCAAATTAAATAAAGTATATCTACTGAACAGCCAATAAAAAAGCAGCATTGCTGTATCCGGGTAGATTTTGATATCTTACGGTTTGACTACAGAAGAAGACAGACACTGGCCGTAATAGAGCAGGTTTTTATAAGGACGAGATAGACCCGATGATTACAGTAAGTCAGTAACCTACACATGCAGAGACCTCAACACCTCATGGCATATAAACTCATATGATAAACTAAAGCCCTATGCTATTGCTATTAACAGCTGTATTGACGGATTTAGCCTCTGTACAGCCATTTCCAGCCATTTTCCCCTCCACAAAAGCAGCATTTCTCATATATCTCAAATATAAGTTCTGATACTCATGACAGTGTAATGCTCATGTACCAAAGGATTAAGTATCTCCATGTTTGTGAAACCTATACTAAAGTACAATTCATCTAAATGCTCCACAGTGCTGATTTTAACAACTCTCCTTCACAACAGGTAACTTTACGACTTAATACTGATATTAATGACTTTATTCTGTTTTTTTTTTTCTAATTGTGCCCCTTATACTCCGTTGTATTTAAGAGATAATTATACTAATAATTATCTTAATTTTTCCTTTTTTAGTCTGCTCGAGATTGCAATCAATTTACCTCTAACAACTGCCTTTAGGGCATCCCATAAGATTGCTGGGTTGGTTTCCCCATTATCATTTTCCTTTAAATAATTCCCAACATCTGTTCTGATCTGTTCTACCACCTCAATTTTATTCAACAGTCCAGTATTCAACCTCCATATTGTATTTCTCTGTCTATCAGAAAGACAAACTCTCATATAGACAGTACTATGATCAGATACATCAGCTACTCCAATTTGGCAGTCCCTTATTAATTCAATATTTTCCTTTTGCGTATGGAAGTAGTCTATTCTACTGTACACTGAGTGTGAATGTGAATAATGAGTATAATCCTTCTGAAGAGGATGCAAATCTCTCCAAACATCAACACAGCCCATTTCTTCCCATGTATTCCTCACTAGCTTCGAAACAGATTTCTTACTTCTATTTTTACTGGTGGTATCCAGATCATAATCAATAACAACATTCTGGTCTCCCGCACACCAACATATCCCCTCTGCTTCTAATGCTATAGTATCATGCAACATTTTAAATAATTTTTTATCACTCTCTGGTGGCTTGTATATATTCACCAATGTTCCTTTTGTTTCATCTATAGTTCCCTTTACTATTACAAATCTCCCCTCATTATCCCTTATTTCTTTATGGTGCTCAAACCTTATCTGATTGGAGATCAAGATTGCTACTCCTCTTTTACGTGTATTAGTATGTGAACTATAGTATGTATGCCTGTTTCATCTGGAGGAACCTGGGGTTTATGTGAGGATCATGTTCTTTGACTTTTCAAGAGCATTCAACACCATCCAACTCACCATACTCAAAGTCAAGCTCACAGAGATGGGAGTGGATCCTGCCTGTGTTTCCTGGATCGCAGATTACCTGACAGGAAGGTCACAGTTTGTCAGGCTGGGGAACTGTGTTTCTGGGACATTAATGAGCAGTACAGGGGCTCCACAAGGGACAGTGCTGGCGCCATTCCTGTTCACACTGTATATGTCAGACTTCAAATACAGTACAGAGTCCTGCCACATCCAGAAATACTCAGATGACACCGCTATTGTGGCATGTATCAGAAATGGACAGGATGAATACAGAGATCTAATAAGAGCCTTCAGTGACTGGAGTCACAAAAACTGCCTCCTCCTCAACACCTCAAAGACAAAGGAGATGGTCATAGACTTCCGTAGATCCAAACCCCCTCTTCAGCCAGTGAACACCTGTGGAGTGGACATTGAAGTGGTGACATCATATAAATACCTAGGTGTACATCTGGATAATAAGTTTGACTGGTCTAAAAATATATACTTCATCTACAGAAAGGGGCAGAGCCACCTCTTTGCCTGAGAAGACTCAGATCAATAGACATCTGTAGTACGATGCTGCAGATGTTTTATCAGTCTGTGGTGGCAAGTGTGCTGTTCTATGCTGCAGTCTGCTGGGGAGGAAGCATCAAACACAAAGATGCAAGACGTCTTAACAAACCGGTGAAAAAGGCTGGCTCTGTGGTTGGACTCAAGCTGGACTCAGTGGAGGATGTGGTGGAGAGATCTATACTGAGGAAGGTGGAGACTATTCTAAAGAACATGGATCACCCACTTCACAACACCTTGATGGACCAAAGGGCAAATGGTGGTGGACGGCTCCTCTCTCTTCACTGCAGGACAGAAAGATTCAGAAGATCTTTTGTACCCAGTGGCGGTTCTAGACCAAATTACTCCCCGGGCGAGCACCCCTCCAAGTGCCCCCCCCCCCCCCCCCCCCACACACACACACACACACAAACACAAAAAGAGATAGAATTTTGAACAGATAGTTTTGTATTACTATGTAGTATTATTATTATCATAACAAAAAAAATAATATATTTCTCAATTGCAGAAATCCATTTTGGGCCATTTTGAGAAGGGCCCCCAGATCCTGAGGTTCTCTGACGTGTTAAGGTTTACAAAACAGCTGCTATCTCGGCCTCTGTAGTAGATAGAAACAAAATTCAAAAAGTATTGGAGAGCTTAAACATGTGGCTTTCAAGAAAGCTCTCTTTTAGTTTTGCGAACCTTCATCACATCTTTGAAAAAGAACAAACAAACTCAAATGAAATAAGGCGGCTGTATAAATAAAAGTAAAGGCTCTGCACTGGAGAATGACAAATAATTTGCTTTCTGTTAAACAAGTGGCAGTCATGATAAAGTGTCCATTCAATAGAAATGTAAATATAGAAAATAAGGTGTTGAAAGGGTAAACAGCTGCCCCAGTATAGTGCCAGTACAAAAGCAGAACTAAAAACTAAAAAATGAATAAATAAATACGTGGCTGACAGTGTGTTCATCTCTGTTCTCACCCAAAGTCATGCAACACTCAGAGAAAACGCTGATAGTGTGAGCCAAAGCACTCCATATGAAGAGGTTGTTCACACTGCTGGATGTTTCTCCTCTGAAGCTGCTCTCTGTCTCGGTCATTGTTTACTTTACTCATTAAGCTCATCAAGCACGTAGCAAGATCCGAGCATGAACCCGAGCGCTTTATTCGCCTATCAAAGGCAGACGGGTACGGTGATTTCACTCACCGCGACTCCAGAAATGATTAAAAAACTACAAAATGACGTATCCGCTCTCCCGCTGATATGCTGACATGCGTACACAGAGCAGAGCTGTCCCCCCGCGACTCTCTCCCCGCCTCGTCTCCTACAGTCTGTCAGCCTCTGTGCAGCACCTTCGGAGCAAGCAGGGGCGCCTACAGCAACGGGGGGGCGCCAATTTGACAACAAGAGTTAATACAAAACCGCTTTGCGGTTAAGATTTTTTATTATTATCTTTTATTTTATTTTTTTGGAAGTGCTCGTGCCGCCCCCCATGAGTCATGACACAAATGCCGCCCCGGGCGGCTGCCCTGTTCGCCCGTGCCTAGAACCGCTACTGTTTGTACCAATAGCCATCAGACTTTATAACTCTTGTGTAAATGGTAGATAACTTTTAGAGACTTTTTTGTGAGACAACAGACAATTACATTTCCCTTCAGGGATTACGCTCTTATTCTTATTGACTCATGTACAGGGTAGAGGTCCATATTTTAACACCTTCTGCTCCCTGCTGTGCTTGCTGCTGCATTTTCTTGTCATTTTTGTCATGAAGTGTGTGAATTTAAAACCCTATATCATCACTTATGCACAGATGACTCCAGTTTGTTGTTGATTAGGTTTTGTCCAGATCACACCTATTAAAGTAGGATATTTAGGGTACTCATGCCCTGTTCCCCATCCCTCAGAAGTGCATAATAGTAATAATAATATGATAATTATAATATAATGTTAAAAGGTTATACTGTTTATTCTGCTGCTATGAGGAGTGAGTCTCACTTGTTTCATGTACATTTAAGAGAAAATAAAACTCTGTAGTTTTTTATTTTATTTCAATGAACCAGGCACGGTTCTCGGACAAAACACTCAGAAAAGTGATCAACTATAGGCTGAATCAGCTCTGTAGAATCTCCATTAATGACAAAAGCAATTAAAAATGCAATTTGAAAGGACTCTGAGGATGCTTTTCATGGTAAAGCCCAGTCTGCATTTCCGATGAAAGACACCCCTTGGTGTTAAAGACTTTTAAACACTTTTAAAAATCTGCTTACACCCTGTGTTATTTTCAAGTTGTGACTGTTATTTGGTTAAAGATATAACTTTCACAGCGCTTTATTCAAGCCTTTGATGGACTTTGTTGTAAAATTAAAATGTAATGGAATACTCTGGCATCAGGTAAGCAAGATAAATTATTCAATAATGGTATCTAACAAGAAATAGATCATTTTGTACAAATCCCCTCTTCCGTTGCAACTGCCTCTCTTACTGCTCAGCTGGTGTTTCATGTAGGCAACTGTTTTCTCGCAATATCATGGCTAGCTAACAGCACTTGAAAGAGGGAAAAATAAATAAAAATGACATATTTCTTTCAACTGATTTTACAACAAATGGTTCAAGCTACACCAGTTTTCTTCTAACACTTGCATGGTCAGGTATTATGCAATCACAGAGTCACTGTCTGAGCAACAGCAGGGGTCTGCAGCATGCATTTCATGAATGCGCAGGCTGGAAGAGAGCTGGTCTCTGGGCTCCTCTCAAGATTGCTGGATCCTCTTCGGAGGTTGTTGTGAAGGCAGACTGGTAACTGTGTGGGGTAGTATTCTGCCCTGGTATCTTGAAGCAAACATCTCTTTGTACTTCTTCAGAGGGAGAGACAATCCTCCTCTAGGCGTTAATGCCTAGCTGATCCTTGGAGGGCCAGTCTGATACCACTTGCACAGAACTGGCCTAGACATGGCCTGAGAGATTCTCCAGTATCTAATTACTACAGAATAGTGAATTGCCATCAACCCTTCATAGTGTGGTGGTGGTCACTATGACTGCCAGCGTAGACTCAATGAGGACCAATGTGCTGTTAACTCACAGTTTCTCAACTGCATCATGTACAGCTATTGTTTTTTTTTTTTTTTTTTTGGGGGGGGGGGAAAATACACAAATTAGTAGATGTAGAGTAGAAACAGGAATTCATAGGAATAAATAAGAAATTTCAATAGCTAGTATAAAGTGCATAATATTACAAATATAGCTTTTTAAGAAATAAGCTGTGTACAATCATGAGAGTGTAAACCAAACCATTTTGTTGTGTATGATATTGCAGAGAATATTGCACAGTTGAGTAGAATATTGTACAGTTACCTTAATAAACAATGCATTGTTAGTATTGCAATCTTTCAAGATTTTTGAAGTTTGACCATTTTTCAAACAGAATGCACAGTTAATTGTAATTATATGTAGTGGAGAATTTTACAGCCATGGCATGAGAATAAAAGAAGAAGTGACAGTAAGAGTGTGTGACACTCAGAAGGAGGAGTTATAAAGTTTGATGGCCACAGACAAGAAAGACTTCCTGTGATACTCTGTGGGGCATTTAGGGGGAATGATGTTTAGCAATGATGTGCTCCTGGGTTTGACTAGCATGTTGTGGAGCTGGTAGTGGTTTCTAAGATTAAATTGACATTACATTACTTTGACAACATCCTCCTCTCAGTCACCACCACCAGTGTCCAGCTCTACCCCCACAATGTCCCTGTCCTTGCAGATAAGTTTGTTGTTAAGTCTGTTGGCGTCTGCTACTCTCAGTATGCTGCTCCAGCACACAACGGCAAACAGGATCACAGTGGCCACCACAGACTCATAGGACATCCTCAGTGTCGTCCTGCAGATGTTATAGGACCTCAGCCTCCTGAGGAAGTAAAGACGGCTGAGGCCCTTTTTGTCATGTCTGTCAAGTTCTCTTTATTTTTTGCATATTCATGTTTGGGTTGTCTTTCCTGTTTTATTTTGATATCACTAAACCTTGTCTCTGTGTTCTAGATTTGCTTTCTGTCTGCCCTGCCCCAATCCTGTCACACCTGCTCCCTGATTGTTTCTCCCCACCTGTGCCTCATCAGCCCTCATTACCTCCTGTATTCAACCCCATTGCTGCGTCCGAATTGCCCGCTCGGATACTACATGCTACTGCTACATACTACTGCTAGATCCTACTCCTACATACTAAACACGTTGGCCCAATTCGGACACACTAGACGAGCGGTGGGGAAAGACGACCCCCGCAGGCAGAGAGTAGGTACTGCGCCCGTTTTAGACTGAATGGTAATTGTGCAAGTGATGGATGCTGCTGTATTATATTCCTGCACTGCTTTAGAAATTCACAAAGTAGCTTTTCCATGACTTTTAGCCTTCATTCACTCACGTGGTGATCGTTTGTTCAATGAGATCTGCCTGATTACTGCAGCTGTGCAGCTTAATGATGGATTAAGTGAGCTTTACCTCCATGATGTCGCCACATATTTGCTCATAAAATGATTACTTGGGCAAATATGACACCATGACATGACAAAGAGATACAACCGCACATTTTTTAGGACAGTGTGTGAAGTTACATTAAAATTACATCTGTACTGCTGTGGTCCCGCCTGCTGCTGCTGCTGCTGCTGCTCCGACATGGTGCGCGCTGCTGTGGCCAGCCGGCGTTCGCGACACATTTAAATAGGCAGAGCAGCTGGTGGCGCTAGCATCACATGCGCTTCTACAACTTTTAAGAGGACGAAGAAGAAGCCCGCGGTGCATTTTGGGTCAGTAGCATGCCCGTAGGATGCACCGAGACCAACCTACAATGTGGGCGTGTCTAGTATCTGAAGTAGTATCTGAAGTAGCATGCTACTCGCTCCGGTGGCCAATTCGGACATGCTAGATACTACTTCGACTACTACTTCGACTACTACTTGGCAATTCGGACGCAGCTCATGTCTCTCACTGTCTTGTTGCCAGTTCGTTGCACTTTATAGTCCTCGTCCCAGCCTTTTATCTTCACAGACACAGTCATAGCCTCTCGTGTTTTGAACCTTGCTTGTTTTTGGATCTTGCCTTTTTTGCCTGCTGATTTTGATACCTCCGCCTGTCTGGATTGATCTCTCGTATACTGACCTCTGCCTGTTTCTGATTTAACCCTTTTTGCCTCTGACCTCTGCTTCAGTGTCTGCCTTTGTGTCCTCCTGCTCTGAGCTGTCCTTGACACTTTTGTAGACAGCTTCAGAGTTCTTAGACCAGTCCAGTTTGTTGTCCAAGTACAACCCCAGGTACTTCTCTCCACAATGTCCACACTGACACCCACACTGGATGGAAACATGGGTCACTGTTGTCTTTGTCCTACTAAGATCAAATATCAGTTCCTTAAACACGTTGAACTGGAGATAGTTCTGCTCACACCATGTGACAAAGTGATCTACCACAGTCCTGTATTCAGCCCCACTTCCTTCACTGATGCATTCAACTACTGCAGAGTCATTAGAGAACTTCTGAACCCATGGGCCTTGTGGTCAGGCACAACCCTGTCGCCATCTAAGCAACTCCACCTTTCTGGCCTGAATAGGACCCCATAAAGGTAGGGTCTGTTTTACTTTGGCTGCACTTGAGCACAGGAAAGTGATATGTTGCACACTGAGGGAATGTCATTCAAGGCCGTGCATGTCCTCCTGGACACTTTGACAAGTTGTGCCCAGTTGGTTCCAATACGGTGTGTCCTACAGGGTCCCCACATGTGTCACCATTTGAGGAAGTCAAAGTATGTTGCAAAGGTAAGCCTGGTTAACTGAGTGAAGAGACTTTTCTTACCAGGACCAATCAGATTCATTTTTGGGACAAGTGAGTACACGTTTACTTGGGCATGCAGCTCAAAGGAGTATCAGTGACAAGTACCCTTGGTTAAGCCATGTATAATAGAACTGGTTGAATAGACCATCCCTTCACTCACGGAACCAAGGTTGATATTGTAACTGTAAGATTCTGATCAATTTTTTTTTACCACTGCCAAAGTATGTTTTTGTTGACTCAAAGGCTCCAAACTTAGTGTTAGCTCAAAGATCCTCGTACCTGGATTTAAAAATGACAACTTTTTTTCTTTTTTTTTTCTATAGAATGTATCTGTGATCAATTGTGGTATTTTGTATTTTGTTTTAAAAGCCATTGGGCAAATCTCTGAAAGAGCTTCCTCATCTCTCTGGGATGTAAATAAATTAGTCTGCATTAAAAGTTTAACACCAATTTCTTGCATTTTAGGACGTGTCTGATTTCAGGTTCAAAAACCAAATTCCAAACTGTCTTTCATGGTTTGACTGTAAGTATTCAAATGCATCTTAGAAAGTCTGGATGTCATGCATCATCCATGTCTGACTCACCTTGCCTTTTAGTCTAGTGGACGATCACGATTGTTACACTGCAGGCAAACAAGAGCAATTTCCTTTGTGCGAGTAATGAGGCTATCAATGGAAGATTAGAGAGGAGGAAGAGGTAAGCGTCTAACTGCACTCAATAGATCAATTTGCTGCAGTTGTGCAGCTGAATGCTGCTGATTATGTGTCTGAAGTAAACAAAGAATTTCCAGAGCTGAATCATGATCCTCCTTTATCACCATGCATCGTGACAGGAAGTCTCACCATTTTAATAACAGAGGTGATTAACCACTATCATATAATCACTCAGTCCTCCTTCGTACTCATGTTACCTGCTTCATGATTTGATCAGGAGGAGACACTGAAAGAGTAGACGAGTAAAACTATTCCTAAAAATGAGCAGCTTTTGCAGTTTATGCAACATGTTTCACATTTCAAGCCAAATGAAATGGTTTCACGGGGGTGTCTGGCAGTAGGATTTGATGACGTAAGGTGTTGGCACGGTTAACAAGACATGAACAGCAAATATAATATATAAAAAAATATATTTTTAACCTCATAATCTTGACCTAAAGTAAAGGGAATGCCTTTTTTTGTCCCAAACTGGATCGATTTTCTCTGACACAACACACCATGTTAAAAAAAGGAAATGATCAACACACAATAAAAACAGTATACTGTGCAAGACAAGGCTGGCATCTTGAGAGTAGCTGTCACTCGTGTTGAAGATCTGTCATCAGCACAGTGTCATTAGAAGAGTCATTAGAAAGAAGACCTGTTAATTAGAAACCACAGACTGTTAAATTAGACAATTGGTCAGTCAAAGCTGAGTGATAGTAAACCTCTAAAAGAGTCATTGAGACGAAAGACTGCTTACTGTAACTCACTGCAGCATCGAACTTCAGGGTGAGTGAGAGTCTGGCTAAGTTTGGACTTTTAGCTTAGGGCAGAGATCAGTGAATGAATCACTCACTCAGTGATTTGTGCAGCAGCCCCAGTCAGATGGGCTGTCAGCTCACTGAGCGGAGTGTGGCACAAAAGACCGCATTAGGACCTGAGAGCCGAAATAAAAAGTCAAAACAAGAAGTAATACAAATTTTTGTCTTAGCTGTTAGATATATGTGGTTTTAATTTGGAGCATTTTTGAAAAATACAGTTTATAAAAGAGATGTGGGGTAGAGACTCACTTTTTTATGTATTATTGTTGTCATCTTTTTATGATTTCAGCTTTCAGCTATGTAACTGTGCAGCACTCTAGTAAACATTATTGTTTGTTAATGAGTGCTAAAAAATAGAGAGGATTGGATTTTTAAAAATGTATTTATTAATTTATTTTATTTAAACTTTATTTAACTACATATTTACTAAGTCCCGTTGAGACCAGGATCTCATTCACGAGGGTGACCTGGCCAAGAGGTCAGCCGCACTCGACATAATGATTACAAATACATTTTAAGGTAATAAATCAAAGACAATGAATATGGTTAAAATTGTGGATTCTTAAGGTTTTACATGATGTAATTGAAGTAACAGATTGCAGAAAACAGTGGTAATGCTTTTCATTGACCTGTTTAAGGCATTTGACACCGTAGACCACAGTTTATAGATCAGTATCCTCCACTATATTGGTGTATCAAAAAAGCAGCATATTGGTTTTTCCAAGTACCTGTCTGACGTAACATAATGTGCTCATCTTCACATCTTATGCTGTACAGGAAATAGGATTGGTTTTAAATGCAGACAGTATCAAGGTCATGTTATTCTGTCAGTGGACATACCGGTGATATGAATGGCCCATGGTAAATCTAAAGAACTTGGGTTTTCCTCTCAGGAGCATACTTTTAAAGCAGGCATCGTTGATTTGGCCTCCAACCCTAGGGTGAAGCTCAGCTTTTAGAAATATATCCTTTTTATCCCTTAAAGTGAGGAAACTTCTTATATCAGGAATCTTTCTGCCTCTACTGGATTACAATGATGTGCTATACAGGGGGTTTTCTATTAAATGTTTATTGTCTTTGAATATCTGTTATCAGTGCACCCTGAGGTCTGTCACTGGTTGTTTACGACTTACTTATCAATGTGACTGGTATCAGCAACCTGCTCTTTGGCAAACCATCCAGTCTGCTATACACAATACTCCAATCTAGCCTACTTTGATCTCCATTATAATCTACTGTGAATATCTGTTAGGTCATCCAGAAGTGGAGTTGTTGTCTTGTTTCCTGGACAGTTTGAGCATGACACTGCCTGGAAATACTCCAACCAGGTCAGTGAAAATGTCACTCAACTGAACAGGGCTTTGGGTACTGGTCTTTGTAAATGCATAATGGATTGTTTGGCTGTACAGTATGCATACAGCACTGGTGCACAGAGAGGCTCTTGACACTGCAATGCTGTCTGTGGACCATTTTACCCTATGAGTTTGCCCTTTGTAAATTAGAAATGTTCATCATTTCCAGTGTACAGGTTTAATGGGCACAAAGCCACACAATCCTTTATGAATCAGGTCCTGAGTTTGTGCCATGATATTAACAGTGACTGTGAAGTGGTTATGAAGGCCCACCTCTGATACAAGCCTGCCTCTAATATCAGGTCTGGCACCTTCTGTTGTAGACCATATACCCAGAGACACCATGTTCCTCTGATGTCATGTTTAGGATGGGACTCTTGTATACCATGAGAGTGTATTATTACAGGGTTCCAGGTCAAATAAACCTTGATAATCTGAACTGTGGTCATTTTACAGCTTGTAGACAGAGCGAGTTCGGAGAGCGATCAAAGATATTTAAGCTAGATAACACATTTTTGGCCAGGACACTCTTGTAAATGAGATTTTTAATCTCAATGCGGATGTTCTGGTTAAATAAAGTTTTATTTAATTTGAGCAAATATCAGGACATAGCTGATGTTAGCATTCAGCCAAATTTTTATATGCACAGTTCTTTCCAGGTGTCTGACTTTAAGATTTGCAGTATTTGTCCCAATCCAGTTACTGTATTCTTTTTATAATATTTGTATGAATCCTGTTCATGTAATTTACCATATGCTGATTTAATGAAAGTAAATCGCTGCCACATTGAGGCTCACAATGAGGAAAAAAATGACAGGTGTATTGTTTAAACGGCAGCATTGTGTGCTTGGGACTGAGCTAAAGGGTCATGTGGTTGTCATGGAAGCAAGATGAAAATCCCCAGTTTACAGGGTCACTTGTTCAACCATAATACCAACGTCTACTTGTACTTAGCCTTGTGTTGTTGGCAAGCTAACATAATGTAAAAACATAGTATATACAATCAATGACTAAAACTATTTTCTTACCTTTAATTCCTTATTTTCCACATGATCTTTTTTTCTGTCTTTAATCCTTGATCACATACTTAAATATAATCTACATAAGTATAGGGATAATATGTAGTTTGCAGAGCAGAGGGGTCTTTTCAGCTTCTCCTTTGTTATGATTTCTGTTTTGTGGTCAGTGTGGGGTTGAAGCCTTCAACCAACATCCATTAACACAATCTCCCCTGTTAAATTAAGCTGAGCCTGACAGAGGCAAAAATACCTTTTTTTTTTTTTTATGAAGGAGTGCATTAGCCATGATGGATAATGTTGCTGTTGTTTCATCCTGAATCCATTTACTGGAGCAAATTTAACACTTTAGGTTTCCTTCAGTCACTATGGGCCCAAAGTTTTTGCACTTTTTTCTCAAAAACTTATTGAAAATGCAGAAGAAAAAAAAAAAAACAAAAAAAAAAAAAAAACAGGATGTCATTTTACAAAACTGTACCTCTGAGAAATGGGTAGTTTTGGGCAAGTGTTTTTATAAAAAGCTGTTTGTGGCTGAAAATTTTTACCAGGTTTGAAATTGTTTCATACATAATCTCTGTTGAAATCCCTGAGAATAGCAGCAATGAGAGTTTGAAGGGGAATCTCATCACACATGGAGTGTCACCTCACTTTTTTTCAGTTTGGCAGTGTTTCTTATCCTCACACATAAGAAAATTTGCTAAACCACACAGAGCAGTTCAAACTGTCATCACACTGCATCCAAATCCCACACCAACACAGCTTCAAGAAATAAAAGGAAAAAAAAAAAAATCACAGGGCTTCCACTAAAGTGCCCTGTGCATAAATCATGGGTCTGCTTTTTATCCAGCCCTTTATTGAATATCAACACTGCATCATCTTTTTTAATCCTGCTCCAGTTCTGTCAGGGGGCAGAGAAAGGAAAGCATGGCTGAGGATTCATGGCAGCAAAGAGAGAAAAAAGAAAAGAAAAACAGAGCTAGGACTGTTCATGAGTGATTGACAGGAGCTTTAGCCAATGCCAGCAGAGCGCAGACTGCCCTCCCCCCTGCTCCCCCCCAGCCTTGCAGAGTGCTGGTCCCTGTGTGTGCTGTAGTACTGGAGGAGAGGGAGATCGAACACAGCGCGAGGAGCCAGCATCTGTGTGTGTGTGTGAGTGTGTGTGATCTGCCAACTACAACTTGCGCTGGATTTAAAGCATCTTCAGCTGGGAAACTATCAGAGCTGACATCCAGGAGAGAAAAACAAACAGAGTGGGCAGCTCTCTGAAGCCCTGTGGTGGGAAAGATAAAAACAGAGCTTGTATAAAACAAAGCAGCAGATCAGAATCAGTTCTGCTCAGGAAGCATGTACAACTCGGTGTGTTTCGTCATCCTGTCCTCTGTGTTTGCTGTGCTCGTCTTCCCAGGTAAGACTTTTTCTTTGTATCCCTGCTACTGCTGCTGAGTGTGTTTGTGTGTGTACATGCTGCTGTCTTTTTCTCTGAGTCATTTAAAATACTGATGCACACTGTTGAGATAAAGTCTTATTCTGCTCTGCGTCCTTTTACTCTCTGTGAAGCTTGTTGATGATGAGAAGTCAGTCTGAAGTTGGTTTAAAAGAGTTGCATAAGTCCCAGAGGCACTGAGAACTCAGACTTAGTGGACTTGTGGACGTAGTTTTGAGTTGGATACAATTTTTCCTGGAAACAATGAAAATACTGTGTCTTTGTTCTGTTGAAATGCATGGGAGGGGATCTATAGATTGCTTTTTGCTGCAAGCTCATCAATTACAACATTTTTCAGCAATAATCAATCAGGACAAACAACTCAATACTTTTTTCCTTTTTATTAAAAAAAATATATCTGTCCTTTCTAATCAAAAGTGTTTAAAAAGGCTTCAGTGCTTTGCTAAAATGCATCCAAGAGGGTCTGTAGATTGTATTTTATACCAACACACTCTTTTGCAACAACCATGCTCAACACAATATATGCAATCACAATAACTCAGAAAAGGCCATCACTTATACGAATCAATCAATGCATACCACACTCAACAGACCTGACATGGCAAATATAATGTAAAACTCAAGATAGATGAAGTAGACAAGCCAAGTTTATTTTCCGTGTTTTTTTCTTTTGTATTTCAAGTTAGAGTAATTCATATTTGATACCCATAAGAGTTTGAGTTAGCTATGCTTAGAAACACAAGGTAGAAATTTCCTGCAGAGAGAAAGTTTTATACTTCAGTCTGCACTTTTTTGCCTGTAATTCCATAAAAACAATTGAAGTTAGTGTTTGCACTTTACCAAAGTATTTCTTTGCACACGTATCTGTATTCAACCTGAGTAAAGAAGGTGTGTACTTGAGCAAAGTTTGAAGAGGAAACTGCAGTATGGAATGAGAAGAAGTTTCCTCTTCAAACTCTGCTGCTGCACACTGTTTGATATTTGGGAAGACAACTTTTTCCCTCTAATGTCAAAGATTGTCTTCAGTGGAGTGATGTACTTTCTACTTTGAGTGAATTCAAAGAAAATCAAAGACAGGTACATTCGTTCATGTTTCATGAAGCTCGTCGAAAAAACGTGTCTGTAAGGCATTTATGTGGAAATCTATTTTAACAGGCTGCCATTAAAACAGATATTGATCACTAATCCTTATAATGTATGCAAATGTCAATAGTATTGATGGATTATGTCCATAGTGACTTAGTGGGTGTAAATAACCATCATAAGTTGAGTGCTTCTGAGTTTGCACTGCACATTGACCCTGAAATATAATGCAGCATTGACCTTTAGCCTTTAGTCTCCCAAAGCAGAAGCCATCTCTGACAGGAAGAGTGTAACTCAGGCACGTGAAGAAAGAAAGACAGACAGACAGACAGACAGACAGAAAGAAAGAAAGAAAGAAAGAAAGAAAGAAAGGAAGGAAGGAAGGGAGAAAAAAAAAGCTTCCTACTGATGTCACCAGGGAGCTGGGTGTCCTGAAATTATGTTAAATGAGTCTGAGGTCTGAAAATGCAAATATGTACCCAGAGCACCTGAAGTGAAAGGAGTATGTTTTCTCACCTCAAAGGGATTGTGTGAGGGAGATGATGTTAAGCAGGCTGACTGGAAACAGTGTGTTGTGAACCCGTAACTAAGAGCAGTTTCTCAATGTTTTCATGTTGCAGTATTTAGGGCTTTCACAATATCATATTTCACCTCATGGCAACATCATTTAGTAGTGTTGGGCGGTATGAACAAAACGGTATGAGTAACTTCATATCACGGTAAGTGTATATATCATGGTATGTTTTTCCCCCTGTAAATTCAATTAATGGCTTAAAAAACAAAAAACAAAAAAAAAACATACTGTCGGACCTGTATACAAATGCAAAAGAAATGCCAGACCAGTCTGGCGATTTTTATATCAAATAGTGTACCTTTGGTGAAAGACTCTGCCAAGCTCTTTTGTATGACAGGAGCTGCTGCAACTTTAGTTTTTGATGCATTTCCACCATCTCGAGTTTAGTGAGCCTTATGCTCTGCATTGTAAAATCACGTTTTTATTTGCAGATCCAAAATAACAGAACTGGATGAACAGCTGAAAGGAAGCTTGTGAGCATTAATGTTCAAAATATTAGCCCCTGTATTTTTTCTTAGATTTACAATCTGTTTCCTCACATTGTGAGAAGAAAAATAAAGGGCTAAAATAGTGCAGCGATGGTCACTGATTGTGCTGCTGATGTATTATGCAGCCAAGGCTTGCTCAGACACAATCTGACATCACACTTGTTTATAATACAAATCTATCAAAACAAGTCATCAAAAATCCTTTAGGTGAGTGCAGTCCACAGCAGAGCAGATCCTTGTGTTTTTTTGAAACATTCTTAAAGCTGCTGCAAGTAAATGTTATTAGTTACATTTCCTCTAACTGTTTCTCCTTTACTCTGCTTTTGAAGTATGCTTTAAGAGCCACACTCAGAAAAATGAACAGTTGCATATTTAACAACCGAAAAAGAAAAACTGATGTGATTATATGCCTGTTAAAGAAAAAAGTGGACTATGACCAAAGGAGCTCTACATGATTTGTTGCCATTTTTGGGCAGCTATCTTCTTTCATACAGTTAAAAAAACAAACAAACAAAAAAAAAACATTGCCATTGAGAGAGACAAATGAATGCTTCTGCCTCCACTACCAAAAACAACAGGGAGTCATCTTCGAAAGACCACCTCCTTGCCCTGTGCTGGTGAACTAAACTGTTTGACAGTCTCTCCTGTGGGGCCACTTGTCCATAGAGCCCAACTCCATAGCAAACCTAATGGCTTCTTAAAACCTGTGCAAAAGCACTTCAGTGACAGACACCTGGGGCCTCATGTATCAACGCTTGCGGCGCAAGAAAACCTTGCGTACGCCAAAATCGGCGCACACGTCCAGATTTATCATCGCGAAACGAGCGTCGGTTCCAGCGCTAATCAACGCAAAGTCAGGAGGTGGTGTAGAAACTGGCGTTGAGCTGATACTTGCGTTGACTGTGATTCGCACTTTGGCGACGCTGTGTGGCGGTGTTTGGTGACTCACTATGTGACAAGCGCGCACCACATCCCCGTGGCCGAGCAGCACGTCGCCCCACATGACGAACCAGCAGCAGACGGAGGGATGCGAGCTGATCCCTGCCGGGCCGCCGTCCTCGCGCGGGAGAATCTCATCGCCACAGTGTGAATGGGTAAGAAGTGAATACACAGTTCAATGAGCCAAATTAATTTATTTTCTCCACCAGACGCTCGAGGACATTTACGAGCCGGTCCAGCCGCTCGTTGATCCCCGCGATCCCCCTGATGATTTCTTCCTGCGATTGCAGGACCCCCTTCGCGAGGACCCTTCCACTGCGTCCGGGTGTTCCAGCGGAAACGCCGTGGCTGGTGGACGCTGCACCGCTTGTCGGCGCGCTGGTGCTGATGCTGGTGCTGGGGCTGGGGCCGGGGGCCGGGGTGGCCCGAATGCCGCTGGTCCTGGCCGACGACTCCGAGCCGGCGGACAGGCTGCCGCGGGCCGGGGTTCCGCAAGCCGGCGACACGGCCGACATATTGATTTCTGTGACACAATAAAAGTATTTGTTCATTTCAATTCCTGCTTCTGTGTATCTGTTGCATTTACATCTCTCTCCACGGTATCATAGGTAATGTAATCCAGTATTTCGAGGTCAGTTATGCACATTACAGTTGTTTACTGCATAAAAAGTTATCGAAAAATGAAGTTAAGGGCGAAGTATAAATCACGTCTAAAAATAGACTGAATCCAGACGTTGAAATGAAGTATAAACTTAGACTAGACGTCTAATATACGTCTTTTGCTCAGTGGGATGACAAAGCATGTGGACATTTGTGTGACACGCCACTTACCCTATAATAATAATCACCACCACCCGCTGCTCAAACGGCGTGAGGGTCTCCTCCCCCGGACCCCCACCTGTCTGGCCGGTACTCCTCTGGAGGGCAGCTGTACGCCGCTTGACCTCCACCTTGAGGTCCGACCACTTTTTTTAAATCTCCGCGGGGGTGCGTGTCTCGGAACCCACTGCATTCACCCTCTCGCAAACTTTCTCCCACTCCAAGCGTTTTTGTTTTGCACTGACGCAACTGGACAGGCTGCCAAACAAAACACGCTGTCGCTCCTCCACCTTCGCCACCAGCACCTCCACCTCGCACGCCGTAAATTTAGTTTTTCTTGTCATTTTGTCTGCGTGCGAGGACAGGGAGACCCTATTTAAATAAATCTGCATATTTATAGGAGGGCGTAACGGGGACGGGCCCAGTCACTCCGACATCTGCGCTCAATTCCACGCTGATTGGGATTTATCAAGGAAACACACGTGGATTTCGGCGCCCGCACACATTGATACATACGGATTTTTTTCAGCGTTACGGACCTTGCGTGCGCTCGTTTCTGGTATGAGTTCCACGCAAGTGTTGATACATGAGGCCCCTGGACCCTCCAAAAAGTACATAACACAGTGGGCTAGAGAATGAAAAAGCTTAACAGCCAGCTAGAAGCACAGTGAAAAGCTGTTCACTAGGAATGACCACGCCACAGTGATGTACGTTTGAATATTTAATATGAATTTGGGAATGTGTATGTCTTGTCTGTTGTATGTGTGTTGTGATGGATGATGAGGCTAATGAGGAGTGTTGAATGTCTGGTTGGTCTGGGAGGTTCTGTAGAGGCCCGGCAGGGAGAGACTCAGGATGGGGGTTCTGTCTCAGGCATTGTTCTGCCCGAGCTTAGTCCAACCCAGACTGTACCTGAAAATGGATTGAGATCAGAGAGAGGTGGACCAGGAAGGTAGTAGAAGCATTAATATTGAAGAGGGAGGGTAGGTGGGTCAAAGAATCACAGACAAACAGAGTGTGGTAGGATGGATGTGTATATGTAGGCTAGTCAGGTGATTGGAAGTGTGGTGAAGGTGTGGCCTTGCTCCTGAACCTAAGTTAATACATTAACTTCATTTCACTAGCAATGACCATGCCACAGTGCTGTACGTTTGAATATTTGATATGAATTTGGGAATGTGTATGTCTTAACTATTGTGTGTTCGTTGTGATGGATGATGAGACTAATGAGGAGTGTTGAATGTCTGGTTGGTCTGGGAGGTTCTGTAGAGGCCCGGCAGGGAGAGACTCAGGATGGGGGTTCTGTCCCAGGCGTTGTTCTGCCTGAGCTTAGTCCAGCCCCCAAAGAGTTGTATTGGAAAGAGGCTTAATTGAATGTGTGCTTGACGCAGATTGTTGGGATTATTTTGGATGTAGGAGTGATGTGCCTGAGATGACCGTCGACCGAGGGTCGGAATGGTTCAATCTGATATGCTGAGTCTGGCTGCTGTGGATGCTGTGCCAATATGGAATGAATGGGCTGAGTAGTGCTCTTAAGTTATGCCTGATATGGGGGAGGACTTGATGCAGATGTTTATAGAACCTGATTCTTGTAGCTGTGTATTTCCATTTTTTGGTAAGGAAAAGAAGGTTGTGAGGTGATGCTTGAGCAGCATGCCTGGAGTTCATGTACGTTGTAAGTGGTTTATATGGACTGAGATAGGAATAGAGGCAGGAGATGTAGATAGGGAAAAACCCCAAGATGGTCTGTTTTATTGCCTCAGGGTGTGAATGTGAGAGAGAATCTGAAGTGTGCGCTGCGATGTCTGAAAGTTTAGGATGGCAGGATGGATTGAAGATGGATGAGGTGAGTGCAAATTAAGAGCTTCTAAAGAAACCAAATAAGGCGAACAAAACATTGATTCTAGCATAGAATCGAACGTTGGGGATGAGTTGCCTGAATAGAGAGAATGAATGCAGAGGCTGAGTAAGTCGGAGGTGAGCAGTAGGTGCTTGGTGGGATGGTAGGCTCCTGTTTTAGTTCAGCCTTTGATTAGCATTGTTTTGTGGGAATGAGGGATGGCAGTGCATTGCAAGCCAGTGATAAGTTTGAGAAGAAGTTAATGCCAGCCAAGTAGGTTTGAATGGTAGAGGATCAGATTTTTGGATGATGTGAGTATGGGTTATGGATTGCAGATGGACATGATGTCCAGAGAAGGGAAAGGCAACTGGTATGAGGAGTGGCATGACTTGGAGCAGTTCCAGCTTGCAAGGTAAGCAGATAAAGTACTAGGTATTTCATCTCTTGAGGCATTAGTGAGGTTCGTTAGTTGGGAAGTTTGTTGAATGTTGTGGCTGAAAACAGAAAGACTTGTGAGGGATGTGGATTGGACTTTGGGGCCAGATGTCTGAATTTTATTCATGCCCCCAAAGTAAGGCAGTAACAAGAGTCCGTGCAGGGCGAATGAAGGAGACTGGGATTCTTTGTCAAGGTCTTTTAGCTCTAGAGGCTAATTGGAAACGATCCATCTTTCCCTGTAGTAACCTCCGAAACCTATGGAGGGAGCTGCATCTGTGAACAGCTGAATATCTTCTGGTTGGTTATAAATCATCATCTTAGGATAGCCAGTGTAGGAGTTGGTAGAGGGCTCTATGGAGAGCTGCGGAACTGGCTATGGTGGGAAGAGAGGGAACAGAAGCCGTATTACTGTATGTGGCTGAAGAAAGGGGAGAGGAGGGGATGTTGGGATGGAAGGATTTATGTGCACAGGGATTTGGTGCAGCCTGCGAACGCAGAAAAGTGAAGAAGCTATGATAGCTTGGGAGGAGTCAGACACAGTTGAATAGGTGGAGCGGCTGTGGCTCGTCTGTAATTATGTACAAGAGATGGAAATACATTTGGGGTGTTGGGGAAGGGAGGGGGTGGGAATGGGGAGGGAGGGTTGATAGGATAGATCATGGGGGAGGTTGAGGATAGCCAGTGTTACAAACATAGACTGTATAGACCATGGACAACTTGGTTCCGCCTTCTGCCGGTGTATGGATTTGAAGCCGAATTGCTCTCTGTATTTCTGTGATTTTTCTCCATATCCTGGAACCAACATTGCGCAGTAGCGTTGTACCCAGACCACCACTTGCGCAGTAGCATTGTATGCATTTGGGGGGAGAGTCGCCAAGAGTCACTGTGATGACACTCAGCTCAAACAGCGTATCCCCTGGGTGAGCTATGCAATCTTCGTATGCCCATAGGCTGTATCAATCATAGAAAACATAAACCCTCTAATAACTTTTAAAAATGGAGCTGTACAGGAAATAGAGGACTTGGGCGCAAACCAGTGAGACAGTAATTACGTGTCAACATCCTGACCAGGGGGGAGAACATTTATATTCTGTGTAATAAATTTCTAAAGTTGTCAACAGCTCCATAAGCTTTGCTGGAGGAGGCGGTATGTATGTCCTATACTGCAGTCTGTCACCAGTGTTGTTGTTCTCGGAGTGGCGTTACCCAGTAAGGAGCCAAACGGTGTTCGTTCTGTGTACAGTCTATGGTTATGAATTGGTGGAGGGGCTCTTTGGAGAGCCGAGGAACTGGCTATGGTGGGAAGAGGGGGACTGTTTGAGGCTGAAGGAAGAGAGGAGAAAAGGATGTTGAGATGAAAGGATGTATGTGCAAGGGAATTTTGTGCAGCCTGCGAACACAGGGAAGTGAAGAAAGCTGTGATAGCTTGAGAAGTCAGACACAGAGGGAGCAGGCACAGGGGGTGATACGACCTGATCCCCACCAGAGGGAGCTGCTCTGTGACGTCACGCATGACGTTTCTGGCATTGATTGGCTCTGGCAGGGAAGCAGGAAGCACAGAATTTTCGGCCGCTGTAGCAGAGGTGTTGTGGAGGAATTGTAGACCAGGAATAGCCTTGCTTTGCTGTCGCTGCGGTGAGATGGGATGCCTCTTGTCTTCAGGGATCGACAGAGGCGGGTGACGGTCTGTTGCTGATGTCATCCACGGGTCGTGAGTGCGGCATTGGCCGTCTCAGCGAGGCTACGCTGCGGTGTGTTAGATTGCCGGTGGCTGAAAGGTAAGTGCGGCGTGGTGGAGAGCAGATTAGGTTGCTGCGATTGTAGCTCCTTTGGTCTACAGATCTTCTTGGTGGGGATTAGGCCGGGGATCTGATGGGAACCATCAGGATGATGTTTTAGGGAGCGCACGGAGCGTGAGAGGCTCCACTGTGACGCGTGGCTGTGGTTTGATTGCTGCTCTCTGGGTAAAAGATAACTTGGCTTGGGACAGTTCTTTGTACAGATCCTCATCTGAGTCATGCAGCTGGAGTTTCATGGTGAGTGGCTGATTTTACATGTTTCTATAAGGCGAGCGAATGGTAAGGCTCGGCGCACGGTCTGTCTGTGTTCCTCAAAGAATCACAGACAGTGTAGTGGGATGGATGTGTATATGAAGGTTAGTCAGGTGATTGGAGGTGTGGTGAAGGCGTGGCCTTGCTCCAGTTAATACATGAACTTCATTTAATTGCGTTTATGTGATTTGTAATATATGTGTATCTGTGGTATCTCGATATCCAACCTATCCTGTATCAACTATTGGAAGGGGGGGCATGGGCAATGCTGCTCAGCAGGGTGAAAATATACTGATATCAGCACAAATCAGCACAAGGAAGCAATTAAACACTAACTTATCCACCATCTATTTTTCTGCCATCCTGCCAATGTCGTTGACATGGACGGTAGAAGAGGACTCACATAAAAGTTGAAATGCTCAAAATAAAGATAAACAGCAAATCCCTGGACATTGATTAACATGACCGCTCTTCAATCTTCCTGTCTCCAGAGTTGGGCAACTATAGACTGTAAATTGACACAGAAAAAAATTGAGGAGTGCTGGTTATTTCAGTTTGCCTTATATCTTTGTTTATTTGGTGAGCCATGTCTGGTCTTGTGCTGAGTGGTTATGAGATTTTGGGAGGATGGTCTCAGTCTGGTTGGAGGTAAACAGGGAAATCGAAGCCAAAAATTAAGTCATGCAATGGCATTCAATGAGTTAAAGTCCCACTCTGATCATTTTTGTGTTTTACTACTTAAGGTGGTCTTTAAATTATGATTGCAAAGTTTTTAGCCAAAATCACGGTACCTGTGTCATTTTCAAGGGCTTTTCTTCTGCAGAGCTCCAGTAGCTCATTAGCAATTCACCCCTGATTCATGGGCTGAGACAGCGCTGCTCTGCACACTTCTCCACGCAGTGGCGGTTCTAGACCAAATTACTCCTGGGCGAGCACCCAAACACAAAAAGAGATAGAATTTTGAACAGATAGTTTTGTATTACTATGTAGTATTATTATTATTATAACAACAAAAATAATATATTTCTCAATTGCAGAAATCCTTCAATAGAAAAAAACACAATCCTGAGGGCCATTTTGAGACGGGCCCCCAGATCCTGAGGTTTTCTGAAGTGTTGAGGTTTACAAAAAAGCTGCTATCTCGGCCTCTGTAGTAGATAGAAACAAAATTCAAAAAGTATTTGAGAGCTTAAACATGTGGCTTTCAAGAAAGCTCTCTTTTGGTTTTGCGAACCTTCATCACATTTTTGAAAACCTTGAACAAACAAACTCAAATGAAATAAAGCGGCTGTATGAATAAAAGTAAAGGCTCTGCACTGGAGAATGACAAATAATTTGCTTTCTGTAAAACAAGTGGCAGTCATGATAAAGTGCCCATTCAATACAAATGTAAATATAGAAAATAAGGTGTTGAAAGGGTATACAGCTGCCCCAGTATAGTGCCAGTACAAAAGCAGAACTAAAAACTAAAAAATTAATAAATAAATACGTGGCTGACAGTGTGTTCATCTCTGTTCTCACCCAAAGTCATGCAACACTCAGAGAAAACGCTGATAGTGTGAGCCAAAGCACTCCATATGAAGAGGTTGTTCACACTGCTGGATGTTTCTCCTCTGAAGCTGCTCTCTGCCTCAGTCATTGTTTACTTCACTCATGAAGCTCATCAAGCACGTAGCAAGATCCGAGCATGAACCCGAGCGCTTTATTCGCCTATCAAAGGCAGACGGGTACAGTGATTTCATTCACCGCGACTCCAGAAATGATTAAAAAACTACAAAATGACGTATCCGCGCTCCCGCTGATATGCTGACATGCGTACACAGAGCAGAGCTGTCCCCCCGTGACTCTCCCCCGTGAACCGCTACTGTCTCCACGTGAGCTTGCAGCCTAACATTGCTGGTGTAGTAGGAAAGGCAGGTTCAGACACTTATGTCTTTAGGGGCATGATGAAAGCTAATGTCATAATTAGATTTCTTATAAGCACTGCTATCCGCTACCGCACATGCTTGTTCCACAATTGTTCTCTCTATTTCTCTGAGTCTGGCTTGCATTGCGGGGCTCCGGGGGCAGAGCTTGGATTTGCTACGTAGGAAATCTCACTGTATCTGAGCCTGTTGATTGGGTCTGCCAGAGATTTACAGCAATTTGAATGCAGGAATACTCAGAAATGTAATTTTGCTCTTAGTTTCCTCATGATATGTCCTGTAGCATCAGAAAAATGCCGTATGAACATGTAGACAACAAGAAAAACATGAATTTCATCAGAGTGAGTCCTTAAGGTAAAACTATTAGTATAAAGATGAACTAAATAGTTTTGGGATTTGGGCTCTGCAAACCACATTAGTGCTTTAAAAAACAGACTGACTTCAATTTATTACACACAGATTTGGTTTTACATGCAGCGTTGGACAAATGGTTTGTTAATTAACTATAAAATCCAAATGCATTCATTCAGCAGCGGCGCACTGCCACTGCTAAACTACGTGCGCCACAACCAAAATTTAACATGATCATTGATATTAATGCGCCACTAATGATTTGTACTCGCACTGTGTTGGCACAATAACACACAATGTTATTTACGACTTGTTTTAGAACTGGTTGTAGCATGTTCAATCATTTAGAGTTTCAGTCAGATGTGTGATTATACCAGAAAAGTAGTGTGCTGCACCTTCTGGCTCAATTACATCCTTAGCAGTCACTGTGTCACAGCCTGAGCGGCCTGATGGGGCTGGATGACAGATGAGCCGTGCTGCCTGATAGTTGTTGCAGCACTGATGAATTTTGTGTGATGCATTATAGTTCAATCAGGCAGAGATCAATAGCAGTCTATCAATCAAACCTAAGTGCTGCGTCTCGAATAGACACTCGTGGCTTCACTGGGTCGGTGCAGGCATGCTGGAGAGGGTGGTCTTTGTAGGTAGTGCACCCACACAGTATTCACCTATGCTCCTTAACAGGTTTATGGTAAAGACTTGTGTCTTGTGTCAGGCTTTAATGTCCCCATATGCATTAAAGCCTGAAACAAGAATATTCGAGGACTCTGAGATTTTATTCTCTCAATCATAAAACTCATCATTTTCTAACCTTGTAAAAGCCCCATTTTTGGAGTTTGAAAGCTTAACTTCCGCGCACATCTGTACATTTAACACCATCAATGACTAAGAAGAACAGGATGTCACATCTGTTCATACAATTTGATATGGATCCCACTTTAAACACTGGCAGAGAAGAAAATAATTTGTCAATAGTCATTTCCAAATGATTAAGGCTGAGAGGAAATTTTTAATCAAGCAAAAATGAACATGAGGTTGATGGCGTATGTGTTGAGTGTTGGCTGTACCTCAAAGTGAAACAGCATGAAAGAGAATTTGAAGACAAACAGAAATATTAAAAATGTCTGGAGCCACTCTGCTGGGTATGAAATATCTTTATACAGCATCTCAGCATCTCTGTTGCCAAAGGTGGACCTCCTACAAGAGGGGTGTGCTTTTAACTACATGTGCACACAACATGTTGCTTATGAGTGTAGACAAGTTCACTTAATATTTAATATTTTACAAACAAACAAGTGGTGCAACCTCATCTAGGTTTGTGTAATCTGACTTTACTGACTCTGATAACGGCAATCACACCAAACAGTCACACAAAGCTGCTCCCCAAATTGAAAAGTTACTGTGAGCGTGTTTACTTAAAAAAGGTGATAACGGAGATAGACCAATCACTGACATGAACCAGACCACAATCAGCAGATAGTTAAATATAATGAGAAGCATTGTATGATAAGAGGAATATGTAGTTTAAGAAAAAAATCAGCTGTTAAAAGCTGCACAGGAGGAACAGGCATAGAAATAAAAACCACATATTAGAGCTTAAGTTTCTGTCCAACAGTGCGTAGTAGAATTGACTTTTTAATTCCTGTTCAATCCCATAAATTAAGATGATGCACTGTTATTTTCTTGTGGCATTTATGATAGTTTTATATCAAGGTCAGACTGTGCAGTTTCACCACAATCAAAGCCAGCACACGTAGAGTGGTGGGAACTGACAGCCTTGAAAATATTATCAGGGATGGGCCATGAGGTTATTCAGTGTTTACAATAAATCCATTGCCAAAGACTATTTTTTGATCAATATGATCTGATATACGGTCAGAGGTCAGCATGTTGTGTTTTATTTTGGAATTTATGCGCCGATCCTGTGCTTGACATCCTGTTTAGGTCAATCGTCTCTGTTCAGTCTGATGCATGCAGTGCGTATCTTTAACAGATTCCTCTTGGAATGAACTTAGACGTGTAGCAGTGTTTCCTGTGTAACGTGGAGTATTGAACAGAACAGAGGAATATGCTGGATAGTGTACAAAGCTGATGAAACACAATGGACCAAACTTTGTGGGTTTTAGGCTCTGGGCAGCAAGTTGAGTAACTGGCATAAGTATTTCTGGGCATTTTGGTTGGTACCGTTATGTACTCCTTCAAGTTTGTGGGTTTGTGACCCCCTGATCTGACACACTGACCCTCATTATGGATATCTGCGGATTTTGTCATGACCCATAACAACAACGACAACAACAAGAATCAGTCTGATGACCTTTAACAGTTAAAACTATCACTCAAAATAGAGTATTTAAAAAAAAAAAAAAATTGTGGCATGAGGTTTATTACATTATCTGACACCTTCCACTTGAAGGGAGTTTTGGACAGTAAAAACCAGGGTTTACTTTTGTAGCTGGCATCAGTATAAATATTTGTCTTTATCATAAGCGGGTTATCTTCACACAGGAGCGCTGAAATGTGACAATGTACCCTTGAACTGAATGTTCAAACTCATATAACACAAATGTCAAGCAACATCTTTCATGGTTTTCTCTCCATTATTCATCTGAGGCAGGTTTTCAGCTGAGTGTGCGTAATCTTTCCCAGCACTGACCTGCTTCAGATTCTGTATATAGTTATATCTGAAAGCTACCTCTGTCTCAGCAGACTTTCTGTCTCTTCAGTGAGAAATAGGTCAGACCTAACGTTAACTACAACAAATATGATTTAACTTATATGTCAAGATCTTTTCACAAGGGTGACCTGGCCAAGAGATCAGCATCACACGTCATTAAAAAAAGAAAAAAAGAAAAAAAAAAGAAAGATAAAACATGATTGTAAAGTGACAGTAAACAGTAATTTCAATTTCAATTTCATATTTTTTTTCTTATTGAGTGCGAGGTGTCTTTTGATAAAGTGCAGTAGCTTTTAACATAAATAACAATTTAGAAGAACAGGCAGTGTTTGGTGGTCTCACGCTGTCTGTCCATCAGCATGGAGTGAAAGGCCCCAATTGAGATGGGCTCCAGGAGTTTGAATGCTCTCTTTCCCAGTTCAGCTCTGACGCGAGGGACAGAGAAGTGGAGAACATCACAGGAATGTAGGGTGTAGCGGCTATTAGTTCTCGGAAGTTAAGTACATAAATAGGATGCAACTAAGCCAAGAAGAGCCTTGTAAATCAGGGTCAGTCAGTGCATGCTCCTGCGTGCACTTAAAGAAGGCCAGTCAGTGTTCATACAGTACACAATGATGCGTGAGATGACCATCACCAGTGATAAATCTAAGAGCGCTGTGATAAACGGTTATTTTAAAACTAACCAAAATAATTGTCATCAAAAAATACTCCAGGTCTCCCAACAATTCAATTCAAGCTGTTTACATCACTGCTGAGTGGAGATATGAACCCACGAAGCTGTTTTTTCAGTCATTGTCAAAAAATCTTATGAGGTGGATTTGTGACTGAACATTTGCTAAAACTAAACCTTGCTTTAACACCATACTGACTGAATTTTGATTTCACATCATGTTTGTTTTGGCATCTGTCCGAGATTTACTCCTAACCTTGAGCCTGGTTAATGCTTCTTTGCCTGACCTACACAGTAACCATGCTGTAGCACTGGATGCCAAAGTGAGTGTTAGTGTGTCCGTATCACTCTTGAGCACTCTGCCTAAAGGTTGGTTAGCAGTGCGATGTCTATCCTCGTCATATCACCAGTTTTTCGTCCAGCTCCATTCCCTTTTTCTTTCTGTACAGGACACTGTGGCGAATGACTCAGAGGGTCATATGTTTCTGTTTATTTACTTATTATTTATGTTGTGCAACAATTGATCCTGATTCAACTATTCCATAGAAGAAAAGACAGGAGACGCCAGACAAGATGGACTACATGGCCACTGAGAAAGAGGAGGTGGGACAGCAACAGGGAATGGTGGTAATACAATGTCTGCCACTGCCAATCATGGGGCTCCCTACATAGTTTTGACACATGGTTATATTTTGAGAGGTGTACATTGGGCTTTGTGCCCTTATAGTGTAAGTCTTTAATAGAGTACAGCTAGTTTTAGTCCATGACAAGTAAAAACATGTCAGTCTAGTTTTGGTCCATAAAAAATATTATATTGTAGCTAGTCCTTAAAACATGTCCTGTGTACAAAGTAAGTCAAATAGTCCATAAAAAATACTGGTATCAAGTTTGTACAAGGTAAGTAAATCTCCAGCTTTCCACTTTTTACACTCTAACTTGTGTATCATCAGATTGTGACTCAGATCACACTCTCTGGATATAACACTGCTGTGCTGTCCCTGCTTTTCCACTGAGGTTACACTGGGAAACCATCCTTTTTCCAAATCAAGTAACAAAAATGTTTTTCTGTGGCCAATAAGACTCTATTTATCTTCTTAGACTATTTTTTGTGAAGTTGGGAATGAGAGTCAAGGCTCACTTGAAATCAGTCAAAAATGTTGTACTTCCACCTATTAGCATCAAATGGGGTAAAATTAAGCCAGACTTTGGATTGTTTCTGTCCACTGCTTTCCTACCATAACGACCTCCTTGACTTTTATGTGTTCACACCCGTGTTGGGTAGTAACGCTGTTGCGTAATGCTATTACTTTATTCAGAAAATAATAATGTAACGCGTTGTTTTTTTTTAATTCAGTAACTCCATTTTTGTCACCAAATGCTGTGTTACTCTGTTCTTTCTGGTAAGGTTTTACAACAGCACACAGTTCCCATAACATTTATCGATCAATAAAGTTTAATTGAATTGCCTGCGCTGAAAGCTGACCAGGTTTGAATCGGCGAGCTTTCGCCGCACTTTACACGCCGGCGGTGAGCGCAAAAATGTCACTGTGCCAGCTGATTCTGTTGACACCTCCCCCTACCGTGCATCCAAGCCCACCTTGGCGGACCTCGGCGCGCCTCAGTCTACGAAAATACCAAACTGGCTGTACCGGGCTCCGCCAGACGAAAATACCACTGCACAGGGTCCGCGCATGAAAATAGAGCCCGTAAACTGTGTACTGGGTGTAAGTGGCCAGCTGAGCTGGTTATTCACATTTGGGGTTGGCACACCAACACGCCGGTTTGCTACAAGCCAGTCTGTTACATGTCAGTTTGCTACACACCAGTTTGCTACACAAAAATGAGGGGGTGTTGTGGAGAGAGGAAAATATTAAAAGTAAGTGTAATTAAAAGAAAGTTGAACTGAGGTTTTCCAGCTGTCTGTGACATTAAGCTCAGCATTTACTTGTATTGATTTTATTTGTTCATTCTTATCATTGGGTGCAGTTGGTCTGGGGTTGAGTACAAGAGGCTTTTTGGATCCAGTTTGCACCTTTGGTAGGCAAAGACAGGTAGGTAGTGTGATATAATTTGAGTGGCGTGTTATTATTTAGAATTGCATGTGGTCTTGATCATGTCGGGGGGAGAAATTGTTTCGAATGTTATCATTGTGGTTGTTTTAATAGTGAAGTGTATGAAAATGCAAATATTTAAGTACTGTTTGTATGAATTTGTTATGTTGAAATGTGATTTGTAGTTTTGCTTTGTTTTACATTTCACGGTACTTGAAGCAAGGAAAAAAGAAATAAAGACTGTACCAGTTGAACCCAACACCGTGTTTATTGATACTGAGGGCTGTAACACTGGGTCAAAAATCCTTTCTACAGCAAACAAAAGCAACAGCAATCTTCTGAATCACCTAGAGGAGTGGCATGCTTTGAATTAGTTAGCAGCTAAGGCAACGCAGCATCTGCGACCGAGAGTCGTAGCAGCGAGCATACACCCACTCCAACCAAGCAGCAGTGGTTGGAGTTTGAAAGAGGACCCATAGCCTGCTTGATAAAACAATAGCACGGTATGTGTAATTGTTTATTTATATATCTTTTAGCCATGTCAGGATATTATTCCAAGAGTCCAATGGTAAAATTTTGGTGTTAGTGTCAAGGTTTGTGTTGGTGCAAAGATCATTTTGCTTGGATGATCAGATTCAGCGATGCGTAAGCTAATAGTAGAGAGCAGTGAAACTTTCACCCGAGCAGTAGAGGAAGTGCTACAACTTATTATCTTTACCTTTTTAACTTGTATTATTGCAAAATATGTTGTAATGAGGACACTGTTGTTGTTGTTGTCTAGCTGCTATGGCTTGTAATGGCCAGAAATGTGCTGTTAAGTGTGTCCTTTCACTGCACTTTACTTGCTAAGCTAAAAACAAAGACACAATTAGCAAGCTTGCTGTCAGCGACTTGATGTACCACATCGTGAATGGTGGCGATGGGAACATCAGAAGCCTCTGACACCACCTGATTTGAGGTGACACTGGCCATTCAGAACAGATAAATCTCCACCTCCTTGTCCTTTCCCCAGCCATGATTTTTTGTATGTTAAGCGCTTTATTGTACAAAGATTAAGTTATGAAACAAACTTGTTGTCAATGAACATATTTGTCAGTGTTATTTTTCTTACTGACAGTAAATATCTGTATACTTGATCTTTAGCTTACTTTTGCTTCCTAACTAAACCACAGCTAACACTTGAAACATCTCATGATGGGGTAATACCATTGTATCAATTTTCCAAGAGAAAAGCCAAGATTTCTCTGCCTGCCTTCTCCTACTTTCAGCATTATTTGTGCAAACCACTGACAAGAATGCCATGTTTTGTTTCCATAACATACAGTTTTTATCCTCTATTTCCTGCTACTCTTCATCCTTTATACTGTACGGTATGTGTGATGTTTACCACACACAGCGTGTGCCATCAGTGATGTTTACATCACACAGCTAAACAGGCAGCTGGCATTAGAGGAAGTCTAAAAGCTTTAATGCAGAAAGGTGAGTAAACGTGGATGCAGTCTGACTCAATCAGCAGCCAAGATGGTATTTGAAATAAATTGACAGGAAACAGGAGTTTGTATTAGAGGGTTTTCACTGTAGTTGAGAATAAGAAGAACTTTATTGATCCCCGGAGGGAAATTCAGTTGTCTGTTGTCTCATTTGTCATGTCTCTAAAGGTCATCTACTATTTACTGAATAATTGTAAAGTCAGATGGCTGTGGGTACAAAAGATCTTCTGACTCTTTCCGTCCTGCAGCGAAGAGAGAGGAGCTGATAAAACATCTGCAGCATCTTACTATAGATGTCTATTCATCAGAGTCTTCACAGGCAAAAGAGGCGGATCTGCCCCTTTCTGTATATTAAGTCTATGTTCTTAGACCAGTCCAACTTATTATCCAGTTGTACACCTAGGTATTTATGTGATGTCACCACTTTGATGTCCACTCCACAGGTGTTCACTGGCTGAAGAGGGGGTTTGGATCTGGGGAAGTCTATGACCATCTCCTTTGAGATGTTGAGGAGGAGGCAGTTTTTGTGACTCCAGTCACTGAAGGCTCTTATCAGATCTCTGTATTCAGCTTCTTGTCCATTTCTGATAAATGCCACAATAGCTGTGTCATCTGAGTATTTCTGGATGTGGCAGGAGTCAGTATGCAACCTGTCCCATCCCAATGGCCAAGTTCATTTTACAGTGCATCCGGAAAGCACCACTTCACTTTTCCACATTTTGCTATGTTACAGTCTTATTCCAAAATGGATTAAATTCCTTTTTTACCTCAAAAATTCTACACAAAATACCCGATAATGACAAAGTGAAAAACTTTTTTTTGCACATTTTGCAAATTTATTAAAAATAAGAACACTCAAATGTTGCATATACATAAGTATTCTCACCCTTTACTCAATACTTGGTCGAAGCACCTTTGACAGCGATTACAGCCTCCAGTCTTCTTGTGTATGATGCAACAAGCTTGGTACACCTGGATTTGGGGAGTTTTTCCCATTCTTCCTTGCACATTCCCTCAAGCTCAGTGAGGTTGGATGGGCAGTGTCGGTGCACAGCTACTTTCAGGTCTTTCAAAAGATGTTCAATCGATAATGACAAAGTGAAATCTTTTTTTTTTTTAACATTTTGCAAATGTATTAAAAATAAGACACTCAAATGTTGCATATACATAAGTATTCACACCCTTTGCTATAAAACTCAAAATTGAGCTCAGGTGCATCCTTTTTCCACTGATCAGCCTTGAAATGTTCCTCCAACTTGATTGCAGTCCACCTGTGGCAAATTCAGCTAATGGACATGATTTGGAAAGCCACACCTGTCTATATAAGATCCCACAGCTGACAGAGCACGTCAGAGCACAAACCAAGCCATGAAGTTGAAAGAATTGTCTGTAGACCTCCTAAACAGGGTTGTATCGGTGCACAGATCTGGGGAAGGTTACAGAAAAATATCTGCTGCATTGAAGATCCCAAAAAGCACAGTGGTCTCCATCATTAAGAAATGGAAGACGTTTTGAACCATCAGGACTCTTCCTAGAGCTGGCCGCCCAGCCAAAATGAGCAAGCAGGGAAGAAGGGCCTTGGTCAGAGAGGTGACCAAGAACCTGATGGTCACTCTGACCCCTGCGGTGATGGTCAGCGTTCCCCTGAGGAGATGTGAGAACCCTACAGAAGGACCACCATCTCTGCAGCACTCCACCAGTCAGGCATTTATGGTAGAGTGGCCAGACAGAGCTCACTCCTCAGCAAAAAGCACATGACAGCCCGCTTGGACTTTGCTAGAAGGCACCTGAAGGACTCACAGACCAGGAGAAAAAAAAAATCTCTGGTCTGATGAAACGAAGATCGAACTCTTTGGCCTGAGTGCCGAGCGTCATGTCTGGAGGAAACCAGGCACCGCTCAGCACCTCGCCAATACCATCCCTACAGTGAAGCATGGTGGTGGCAGCATCATGCTGTGGGGATGTTTTTCAGCGGCAGGAACTGGGAGACTTGCCAGGATCGAGGGAAAAATGAATGCAGCTAAGTACATCGAAATCCTTGATGAAAACCTGCTCCAGAGCGCTCGAGACCTTCGACTGGGGCGACGCTTCATCTTCCAGCATGACAATGACCCTAAGCACATGGCCAAGAAGACAAAGGAGTGGCTTCAGGACAAGTCTCTGGATGTCCTTGAGTGGCCCAGCCAGAGCCCAGACTTGAACCCGATTGAACATCTTTTGAAAGACCTGAAAGTAGCTGTGCACCAATGCTGCCCATCCAACCTCCCAGTACAACCTCCAACCCCAAATCTAGGTGTGCCAAGCTTGTTGCATCATACACAAGAAGACTGGAGGCTGTAATCGCTACCAAAGGTGCTTCGACCAAGTTTTGAGTAAAGGGTGTGAATACTTATGTATATGCAACATTTGAGTGTTCTTAATTTTAATAAATTTGCAAAATGTTCTTAAAAAAAGTTTTTCACTTTGTCATTATCGGGAATTTTGTGTAGAATTTTTGAGGGAAAAGGGGAATTTAATCCATTTTGGAATAAGGCTGTAACATAACAAAATGTGAAAAAAGTGAAGTGGTATGAATACTTTCCAGATGCACTGTTTATGCCAACATCTATGAAAAACACAGCCAGGCCATGAAGCGTGATGCGTCCTTTACGCACAGGTGGTTCCAATTTTAATGCTATTATTGGAATTTATGTTGTGACCTGTGCGCACAACCCACATTTGTCATGTGGGGTTTAAATATATGCAACTTTATGTGATTGTCTTTATTTGTGGAAAAGGATGTTTGTCTTACCAGTGGGTCCAAACTTACACACACCAAAACCATCTGTGCTTATATGAAAGAGTGTGAAGGATGCCGTACCGCGACACTTGTTAAAGGGCTGCTTTTTGTCACCATCGTGTCTCATTGCTGTCTTCAGCCATCTGTTGATCTCTTCGACTACTGCATGAAAATTGTTATACGCCTCGCTGGTGGTGGATTTAAAGGTGAGGAGAGGAGCTGATGTGATTGGTGAAAACAGGTCTCGGCTGTGTTAAGCCCACTCCACGCCTTGTCTCTTCCCTCTCTTCTACTTACACCACTGGGAGATGCTGAGTTAGGGACGGGGGATACTTGGGCCCGCCTTGTCGGTGCGGTGGACCTGACTTACCCTGCGCTACGAGGCATGAAAGTAGAGCCCATTGAGTTCAGCAGGACATTTTGTTTTTGGTACTGGCACAATGCAGGATGTTTTTCACAGAGTATGTACCCGTCCCAGCTGTAGACTCAGGTTGAAGATCCTGTGGAGAGGTTGACACAGTTCTGCAGCACAGTCTCTAAGCAGCCTTGGAAACACACCATCTGGACCAACTGCCTTCCCAGGGCGAAGTCTTCCAAGCTCCATCCTCACCCCTGTTGCTGTGACAGACAAGGACTGGTGTTCTAGGAGGGAGGCAGTTGAAGTGGTTGAGACATCTGAATGAGATGGAGGAGGAAGGGGAGAAGTTGTAGTGAAGATTTGTTGCAGAGAGGATGGTGGAGTAGCAGTGGAAGTGGTGTGACAGCAGTGTCAAATCTGTTGAAGAACAGGTTGAGTTCATCAGCTGTTTTCACATCACCCACAACTGGCTGTCTTTTCTTTTTATTGCTGTGTCCAGAGATGGTACTGATTCCTCTCCACACTTCACGGATGTTGTAGATCATGAAGCACAGCAGGTCTATCACAGCCGGTCAGTTAAGTCTGAGTTTAGATTTTTTTTTTTCTTAGCTTAACCAAGAAAGGACCACAGAGGCCTTGGCTAGGCCTCTTCGCTGATATCCCTTCATCCAAGAACAGAAGAGATGATGCCCTGCTTTGACCCAGGATCTTACAAATGGCAGCGGATCAAATAAGTCCATAGAAGGTCTGTTTAGGTTCACAAACAGAAGTGAAGATGACGTTGCAAATGCTTCTTAAAGACCCACTCTGCTGAAAATCGTGTTTTTCTTGTTGTCTACATAAATTAAGCAGCAGCGACCCGCCTGAGCTGCGTGAGCCAGTGTGAACAAAAAGAAATGTCTGCTGTCTACCTGAAAATGATTATCAAATTAAGGAAATCATGCTATTATATTAATCATTCCATTCAATGTGTATTTCAGTCCGTTAGCTATCTCTCCATCCAGCGTCAGGGCGGAATCGGAATGTCTGTTGTTTCGCACATGCTCAGATCACAGCTCTGCATTAAAAAGTTAACTTATCCTAGATAAATAAAAAAAGAAATCTTGAAGGGGCACCAGTAAGGTGACTGGACGTCCCCCATTTCCATGGACAGTCCCTATATTGGATGACCTGTCCCTGGCTAAAGCTGTCGCTGATTTAAGCATTTCGTGAATGAGAACAAAAATGTTGCGTGTAGACTAGAACAACTGTTATTATGGTAGCCAAGTCGGTAGGAAGCATGAGTAAGCATCTTGCGCACAGTCCTGAACAACAGTCCTGTGGGGGGTTATTACTGGGAGTGTGCGCTGCTATGAGTAGTGCCCCCTTTGCTCCGGATGTCCCCAGATTTCAATACAGAAATCTGGTCACCTTTGGCGCCAGGGACCAGCGCCCAAGCATCCCTTATTTGAATGATGTAAGCACGTTCATAACTAGACGGGTCACAAAGCACGCATAGCAACAATATGCTTCTGACGTAGCTAGCTATTCTACTGGGAGCCAGTCCACCCATCATTCTGGTTGAATGAAGACATGAGAATGGCAACCCCAAAACCCATACCAAGAGATTTACCAGAGAACGTTGTGCTGTCCATCAAGCAGGTTCCGTTTGAGAGGAGAACTCTGCAGGACAAACTAAAGCTAAAAGAGCTTTGTCCAAAACATCCAGACGTCACCACTCAGCAAGTGACCACAGAGAAGGGCAAACAATATACGCAGACACTTTCAAGAGCATGGTATGTGCGCAAAGCATGGCTAACTAGATGTCCAAACAGTAAGGCCCTTTTTTGTTTCCCTTGTATGCTTTTTCATTCGAAATAATGGTGACAAAAAGGAATAATAAAGCTGGCACAATAAAATGTCGGCTACTAAAACAGTTAATCAACAAAATCTGTTTGTAAAAAGGTAGAGTATAAAAAGATTAAAACCAAATAAAAACCATAAATTTATTATAGTGAGACACTACATAAAAGACAGACTAAAAAGAAAGTTAACAGACAATGTTCATGCCACAATGTTAGAAATCAATAACTTTTAAGGCAGGATGAAAACATCCTGGAAAATGATTGCTAGAAAAGAGTGGGAACCCTGTACTTGTTCACCCAGTTTCTTTTCAGTTACACTGAAATATCAGATGTAATAAAATTGTTATGTATTTGAGGCAAATGTTTGTGTTGTTTTCCTATGGCTGATCATATTGATATGCAGTCTGATTTGTTATAAATGTGGGTCTGCTCTTCACTGTTTTCTTTGTGTGCTCCTTTGCTGTAGCCTAACCTGTTGAGATGCAGGTGAATGTACACAAGTATGCTAGTATACGAGATTAATTTAAAGTAGGTAGGCTGTGTGTTGGCTATAATACCCTGTTAATAAGTTGAAATACAGTTTCCCCACCCCATTTGTCTTTGAAGGTTGAGATGGTATGTTTCCTTAATTATTTTGTCAGAATGCACCAGAATGCTTCATTTACAGGTGAAAACCAGAAAATATATCCCTGGGGAGGATACCCCCAAACCTCCCTACAGGGCTCTGTTTCCAAACCTTCAGCCCCACCTACTATTCTTCTCACCAGCAGGAACTGTGAGAGGTGGGGATTGAACCCTATGAGACAGCAGAGTTTACCTCTGGGCCACAGCTGCACAGCTCCACAGTTGCTGCACAACAGCTTGACATAATATATGAATAGCAATTATATATCTAGAGGTATTGTGTAAAAAAAAAAACAGTGTACCAGCACTAACCACAACCTGAACAAATTGCAAGAACAGTCATTCTATTCCACACACACACACACACACACACACACACACACACACACACACACACACACACACACACACACACACACACACACACACACACACAAATGCTACTCAGGACACACACACACAAAGGCTACTCAGGACACACGCACAAATGCTACTCAGGATTGCAGCTTAGCAGAGGGTTGCTCAAGGGCACCTTGTCAGTTGCTGTTAATAGAGGGGAGAGTCTTAGTAGAGAAGCCACTTTCAAGTTCTGGTTATGAGGTTATATTGTGTGCGCGTGTGCATGTGTATTTGTGTGAGACAGGAAGTGCTGACTTTGGTGTAAAGCAGTCCAAATTTTTTTGAGGGAGTAGGAGAAAGCAGCACCAGGGGCCTCATTAATCAACCTTGCATACGCACAGATGTGTGCGTAGTGAGTGCATACGATCTTTCCCGCGCAAAGTATGGAATTTATCAACCTGTACTTGTGCTTTGGAACGTGCACAACTCTGCCCATGCGTACACACAAATTTTAGTGGTAGAACAGTGAAACTACAAATAGAACCAAATAAAGGAGTCACAGCGTTCAGCAATCTCAAACTTCACACATTTTCCCCATTGCCTATGTATAAAATTTTACTAATTAGTAAATTAGCAGACATTTTGAATGATTGGTGTGACAAGCTATAAAAATCAGCTGTGACAGGACAACCTCAAAAGAAGTCTCACAAGTACAGATACAAGTACTACGGCTTATTTTGCGCTATTGAAGGACTTGGAGAACTGTAAGCTCCGCAGGAAGCGCGTTTTTAAAGACCGTGCTGATGTGTTTAGTGAGAACACAGAGTAGCTTGTCAGCAGGTACTGCTTCCCTGAAATGGATTTACGCCGTGATTTACTACCCATGTTGGAGCGAGAGAAAAAAGGCACTAAAGCCATCCCAGTGCACATCCAGCTCCTGTCCACCCTGGAATTTTTGGCCACTGGAACATTTTAGTGTGAGATTGGAGACATATGCGGCATTTTGCACCCAATGCTAAGCAGAATTATGCCGGCAGAGTTGAATGCAATAATTTCTCTGGCCTCAATTTACATCCAGTTCCCATACATCACTAACAGGCCGAAATAAAACGAGGATTTTATGCCAACGCCGAATTCCCAAACATAATTGGAGCCATATATTGCACCCATGTTGCAATAAAAACATCTTTACAGAATAAATTCAGTTTTGTCAACAGGAGAATATTTCATTCAATCAATGCACAAACAATGCACATTTGTTTCTGTTAAGCGTTGTTGCCTGGTGGCCTGGAGGAATGCACAACTCATTCATGCTGAGGAACAGCTCTGTGAGTGTGCACCAGGCCCGGTTCTACGGGGGTGCATAAGCATGCATTGCACCCTCATTTTATGTTGCTGCATGCTCAGTTGGAAAGAGGGAGAAGTGCGCGCGCGTCAGGGCACGTCACTCATCTGCCTTCCTTGGGTTCACTGCCGGGAAAATGAACTTAAAGCTGGGCAGAATGAATGAGAAAACACCGCTTGAGATCTCCGGCTTCTTCCTCAACTTCCACCTCCTCTTTGGACTCGGGGTCTAAAATATATGGTTTGATACCTGCCGTTTTTAGCCTTTAGCATAAGGTGACCAGACGTCCCCGATTTCCGGGGACAGTCCCCGTATTGGATGACCTGTCCCCGGCAAAAGCTGTCCCCGAAAATGTCCCCGATTTAAGCGTTTCATGAATGAGAGCAAAAATGTTGCGTGTGGGCTCGAACAACGGTTATTACAGTAGCGGAATAGGTAGGAAGCACAAGTAAGCAGTCCTGAGCAACAATTCTTATGGGGGTTATTACAAGGGGCATGCGCTGCTACTAAATAGTACCGAGACTTTGTCTGTGATCACACAGCCCCTGCAGCCCCTGCACCGCCGCCGCCGCCGCCGCCGCACCGAATATCCCCGGATATCATTACAGACATCTGGGCACCTTACTTTAGCACACATTAGCATATGCTATTAGCATTAGCATAATAACAATGGATAAACCGAAATCCGAACCTCCACTGCTGAGCCAATCAGAGCACAGCAGGCTTCACAGCAGCGATCCAATCAGAGCAAAGCTCATTACCATAAATGTTAATGAGCCAAAACCAGTTGGTTTTCCTGTAAGGTTTTTTAGGCATACTAAAACAAACCATCAAATAACTTTTCAGCTAAAATTATGTTGCAAACATGATCAGAGGACATCAAGGATTATGAAAAAATGATAAAAATGGGTATGAAATTTTGGTGGCAGGTCCCCTTTAAAATATTCTTTTTTGACTGGTAGAATTCCACTTGAAACGACTGTCATGTTTAGTGATGGTTTTGAGCTGTATAGTTAAAAATAGTTTGAATTTCTATGTTAAATATTCAGGGTAAGAAACATCTGCATTTCCTTTTTCTACAACAATTTTGCTACAATAAAGCATATGAAAGACATTTTAAATATTCTTGTGTGACTAGTTTCATTCCGCTTGAAATGACGGGAAAATGCATAATTTAGTGTTGAATAACGTGCCAGGCATGTGCACCCCCTCTGATCTGAGATGCACCCCTAGCCATCATTTTCTAGACCCGGCCCTGGTGTGCACCTCCATGATTTCAGTGAGGGGGGATCCATTCACGCATTTTGAAAGGGATTGTTGTTACCATATATGGTCAGTTAGAGGCGTTTCTGAATGCAAATGACCCTAACCATGCAAGAGCATGGTAGTAAAGAACAGGTGGGATTTATCATCACCGATTACTTGCGTGTATGTGTACGACCGATGTCAACGTTTGATAAATACATATTTTTTTATACTTATGCATATTCTAAATTTCATTCCCATGCCAGAATTCAGAACCTTTTCTACGCACGTTTGATAAATGAAACCCCAGGTGAGGACTTTCTGAGGCGTCAACTTTATTTATCTTTGTTTATTGGATTTAATTGGACTGTCACTCTGACTTTACATTGACAATATAAAAGCTCTGCCTTCAGTTGCAACATCTGCACAGAAAAGGGAAAAAGACCCAGTGCTTTCTAAGCTCAGACGAGTTAAGAATGTCTCACCACACTTATTTGCATCTGCAAATGAAACTGTTGAATAAAATATGTAAGGAAATAGAATGCTTAGACGTTGAAATGAATTCAGTGTTTTGGCCTGAACAAAAAGAATCCATTTATTTAAAATTAAACATCGACTCTGCTTAAATAAAAGTACTATGAGACCTTCTCCATAAATCTGAGCAAACTGTAATAATGTGTATGCTTGATGATCCTCAATCTGCAGCCTGATGCTTTCAGTCCAATTTAACAGAACTGCAGAGCATTGTATTCATTAGAATGAGATTTGACACCTCTTGATACAAAATGCCTTGAAAAATAATATTTCTAACATAACATGTCAGGAGACAGCTTTATCAGCTCATTGTTATTCAATTTAGCACCATGAAAAAGTCCAATTTCTTTTTGCCTCTAAGCAGCTTTTAAAGAGGAGCCTAAACACCTCTGATTTCACAAAGAGTGAGGAATAAGTAATTTTATTAAACACTTTGAATATCATGGTTTTCAGAAGTACAGGACACAGTGAGGCTGTGTGCACATGCACAACATCTACTTATCACACATACCTACATATGCAGATCAATCAATCAATCAATCAATCAAATTTTATTCATATAGCAGCAAAACACAACAGTCGTAAGGATAAGGATAAGGATACATTTGTACACAGAGGGGCCAGTGATAAACAGACGTGAAGAGGATCTACTGAAGTGGTGAAAACAGAATGAAGGGCACTTTGGGTTTGTTTCTTGAGCAAGCAAGAAAGTTTGTTTGCTCATCACGACTGTTCTGAGTGAGCAAGTCCTCAGTGAAGCCTCAGCTGTCTAAATGTAGAGCATACTGAACAGCTCTACTCTGTGCACCACAGTCTGGGGCTGCTTAATTGGAACTCAAATTTAATTGTCTCTTGTTTTATGTCTTTTTTCCTTTTTAGGTACTATCATGAGTGATGCTGCTAAAAAAAACTTGTTGCACTTCTTGCTTTTAACATTGCATTTGTAGCGATTTGAAATTATAATAAATGTCTGAAGATTAATAATCTCAAATTATGACATTTATGCACTCGTTGAAAGGGGCACCACCTACCCTTAATGGTGGGAAAATAAAGAAAACAAAAGTTTAATTCAGAAATCAAACATTAAGTCAATTTTTAATTAATCAATCTCATATCTTTAGCCGAAATTCTAATTTCAGGGACTCCACTTCTGGAAGAACACTTACAGACCAGAACTTAGAAAAATAATTATCTGTTTATTACAGGATAAATTATGGTACAACATACATGCAATAAATGATGACAAGATAATGAGGATAAATAATAATAGGTGAGTAAATAAAGATTCTGAGTCAGGCTAGGAGCACTAAAGTTAATGATAGTGAGTGAATATGCGCTAACATATTAGCCTACACTAACTTGGTGTCGAGATAAACTCGGATGTGGATTTGGAGGAATCTAAGATTACCAGAATAAGTGGATATCTGAGTTATGAACGCATGAGACAGCATCAGCCCTCTTTGGAGCTCTGGAGGTTTGCATACTTAAGTGAGACTGGCCCTTGGAGAAGATGGAGCAGGTTCCGAAGTTCCGGGGCTACCGGCGGTTCGAGCGGTTCAGCTCAGAAGACGACTGAAGTCAGCTGAAGGATGGGCCAGGAGTTGTAGCACTCGGGCCTGAAGTAAAGCCGGCGCCTGTGGATCCTGTGGATGCTTGTTTGGACGCTTCTTTGGTCTCACTCGAAAACTCTGGCACAGAGGATGACCTGGGCCTGCTGGGTTGCATTCAGAGGTGACTTTGAAATCACACAGATAACTCAGAAAAACGAGGTTCGAGCAGCAGAGAAAACTTTCAAAAATGGCTTTGCGAAATTAATGAAAATCAATCAAAGGCTTAATCTTGAATTGCTATGCGCACAAAAAGTTGAAGTTTCAAAACTTGAACTAAGACGATGTTAAAAAAATGTTCACACACTTTAAGACAGTAAATCTGAAATTGGAGATCTGGGTTGAGGCGTTATTGTTTATTTAGATGGTCAGCGATGGAGTCAGTTTGAAAGGTAGTAAAAACTCTGTCTCTGTTCTCCGAATTGACCAATCGTGAAGAGTCAGAGGTTTGGTCAACCTCCGGTCGGGTCACTTAGGTAACCTGAAAGTGCAAACAAGTCTGGAAAGATTTATATCCTGTGTCCTGGGACCAGATAGGAAAACTTTCCTGTGAGGAATGTGTGAGTTTCACACCCAGGGTTGTCTTGATTGCTACACATTCAAAGGTTTTCTAATTCAGAAGTCTTGAAAAAGAACTTTCCAATAAAAGTGAAAGTTACACAATTTTTGATGATTATTTTTCTTACTTTAAAAAAAATCTCAGGGTGCTATTTTTACCTGCGTTTTTATCAGAATTTCAGTGCAAGTTCACACTAGATGTATCCTGGAGCTTTCCTGGATTTTTGTTTTACAAAAGCTCCAAAAATAGTTGAAACACTGTAAAACATTGATACAAGCAAGTATTGATGGTTGGCAAACCATATACGGCCAAGGTTTGATTAAAATAGATAAAAAAAGACAACTTACCAAGGATAGTTTGTTGTTGTCAAGTAAATCTATATCATTACCTGTATTATAAAAATTAAAAAGACATTTTTAGTAAAAAAATAAAAGGTTTCTGGGAACATTCTGTAGACCATGTTAGCCGTTTGTTTGTTGGGGAGCCCTGATGAGTCGATCACCGAGTGCAGGGGAAAATTTATGACTATTACTTCATGAAAATGCAATCAGACCGAGACGCTAAGACAGAAGGACTACCACATCTGCAGTGCAAAATGATTATTATGATGATTATGACTTCAAGGAAATGATCCGCTGCACTTGGTGATCGTTTCATCATGGCTCCCCCACAAACAAGCGGCTGCTGGAAGAGAGTGGGTGAGTTGTGTTTGGTCTCTTTGCTAAAGAAATTAGGCAAAGTTAAAAAGATGTTTGATGGCTAGTACTATGGTTGGGACCTTATATGTACTGTTGATGAAGTTAGGTGCTGTTCTGAGCATTATTTGTGGCTATAGAGTGGATTTTTGGTTGAGGTTTGCACGTGAAGATGTAGACCACTGTGTATTACAATCGTGCGGTCGTTACTAAAGTTGGTATAACTTAGGAAGCAAGCAGTCAGCAATACTCATCTCTCGAGGGGGTGTCTAACTCGGTGTTATGGTGTGTTTGACCCTAAGTTAATTTTACGCCGCAGTAGACCTTTAAGGCTGTAGTCTGTGGCAGCAGTTGCTGGTTCAAGACCTGGCCTTGTCCCTCTGCTGCATTTTTTCCTGCACTCTTTTCTCCCCCAAAGTTTCTTGTCTTCTTTACTTCTCCCGTCCATCAAAGGCAAACATGTCCACAAATATAACTTGAAAATAAAAATTCGACCAAGATATTCATTAAAAGTGTAAATGCTATTATTTCTAAATATCAGGTGTCACTTTCATGAAGTATAAATAATTGGTATCAGTCCTGAAAACCATTGAATCAGACCCTCACTCCATTGTGTTTACTATATCTGTAAAATGGAAGTGTTGTACAGTTGGTCGTTGTGCTGACCATCCCGAAATGTAGTATATTTTACACCAAAAACCAAATGATGATTATTAAGAAGCTTAAATTGGGAAGTCTTTACTCAAGTATCAACAAAGACACAGATTGAAAACTTATAGGTGCCTCTGGAGAAGTCCAAAAAAGCAAAAACTTGAAATGATGACTTTAAGAAGGTTTACTTTGGGCAGAAATCAACTGTAGGGGTCTTTTTCTGGTAGAACATGTAGTGCAACGAAAAAAAAAACAAAAACAAACCCAGTGTGAAAATACTGCCTGTGGTGTCATGAATACAATAAACACACACACACACACACACACACACACACACACACACACACACAAAGTGTCTATATATATACATAAACACATTTTTTTATTCAGACATGAACAATTACACATAGTGCAAATTAAACACACACACATACACACACACACACACACACACACACACACAAAGTCCAAAACGAGAAAGTCAAATAAGTTTCTCGTTTGCATGTTCAAATGGGAGGGGGAGAAAGTCAAACTATATACTACACTGTAAAATCCAATATCTGCCCTGACTTACAAATCCTTAGTAAACTTTACTAGGTTATCAAAAGTATGCACTTCTTGCTGGCATTTAGGAAGTAACGGTTACTTTCATGGTGAAAAACACAAAGTACTTAGTGTTTACAGTCAAGATTACTTAATTTAGAGCTATGCTCACTCACAACAATAAGTAGCCAGCACAGTCTCACTCTGACAGCGCATTCAAAGAAGAGGAAGAAGTGAGCATGCGCAGTAGCAACGGTCAGTCTCCCGCTCCGCAAGTACCGACACAGCTCACGGCTGGGACAAAGGCAGCCTGCTGGACTAAGTTTTCCACCGTTGGTTTTTCTTTGTAAGAAAAATAAGGTAAGTAAACACGCAAGTTTGTCTTTTAAAATGTTTCACTTGATGCTATGACTGTTAGCGTTCGCTAGCTAACGCTAGCGTTAGTTAGCTAACCAGCCTGTCAGGGCATTTAGAGAGGCAGCGGTGCAGCCACACAGTTTAATTTCAAGTAGCTACTCCTTGGTGCCTGCTTCGTAACACAGAGAAGCCATCCACTCTCTCCCGCACAAAGTCTGATCATTTATGTCGAACATTTAACAAAACAAACGCTCCCTTCAGAGTGCATAACATGAATGAAACGTTCACTGGTATAAGTAAGGCTTTCTCACAAAGCAGAGAAATGAAGGAAAAGCTGAAGAAGAAGAAGAAGAAGAGAGATTTTCATCCAATGTACATGAGTATTTTATCTAAATCCCTCCTGAATCGCTCAGCATCCTCCATGAGCGTCAAGACATGGATAGGGACAGGGATGATCGGTCACTTTGTGTGATTTTATCATTCAAACAGTGTCTTTTTAGCTCATGCTTCAAAAGTGAACACAAAGAATTAAAAATAAAGAGTCAGCCTTTTAATGAATCAAAACAACATTCTTCAGCAGTACAGCAACTGCTGTCACTCACTCTCTATTTTTCTTAACGATAAATTCATGCCATATCGTTAGCCTGAATTTTAAGTGAAGTACTTCCCTTATTAGTTGGTTTATATGGCCTAATGCTGCAAGGGCATTTTGTGCCCTTGCTCACCTGTGCTTTTGGGCTATAAGGCGGTTTGCTTATACATTTTCTGATAAAGCTGACCAACCACAGGTCATTCCAAAGACCTTCATCTCTAAGGGAACTATTGGAGGGTATGGGCATGAAAATTGGTCTCTCCTGAGGCTGCTTCCGTTGATGATAGGCCACAATATTCCTGAGGGGGAGCAAGCATGGGAGATTTTGATGCTTCTTTAAAGATATCCTGGAGATGGTTATGTTGTCACACTTTACAGATGAGTTAATCCACTTTCTGGATTGCAAAATCTCAGAACATAGAGGGTTGCTGCAGGAAACTTTTCCGAACTAAAAACTTCATCCAAAACATCATTTCATTGAACACTACCCTCAAACGATTAAATTAAAGACTTGCCAGCTTTAAGAGCTACTGTGAAGGTGATTCCACTGATTGTGACTGCCGCCACCACCAGCACATCTGATGCCTCATGTGCCTCCAAAGATACAGAGATTCTGTCCCACAGCCCAACTTCATTAATGAGACAAGAGCCATGGCCAGAGTTTTTTGAAATCCCAAAGTTCCCAGTGGATGTGGCATTTAGACTGCGACAGGCTGATCTTGCATGTCTACAGGATAAAATGTACTGGAATCGTCCAAAAGATGTGAAGCATTGTATTCTGGAAAAGCTTGCTGAAACAATTAACAAATTTGACACCTACCCAAGTGTTGAGCGGCTCCAATCTGTGGCACTTGCACTCATCATCCATGTTTAAGGGAACCAGGTTCACCTGGGGTGTTCCGGCTGGAAGCATAGCTTAAAATTCAAAATGGGGAACTATTGCGGTAAACTGAAAAGAACAGGATGTATAGAGGTTGCAATGAATGCTGGAAAAGGAGGTCGACCACAAATGGCTTTGAAAGGTCTCAAAAGACCAAGAAGGTATGAGGTTAATTACCTACCGGACATTCCTGAGGGACAGAGTGAAGAGAGCCTTGAGGCTGAGAGAAAACTCATCGTTGAAGAAATGAAAAAAAGGAACCCAAGTGGAGCTGTCATCGCCTCAAAGATGGACCAGACCTTCCCATTGCAGAGAAGACAGATTGTGGAGGCAGGACCTCCAGTGAAAACTTTAAAGGAGCGGTGGCCAGCTCTGTTGACCGAGAGACAAGTAAGCACAGAAATTATAATCATGTAACAAATTTGTTTTTCCTTCGTAAGTCTTTTTTTTGCAGTATTCCACCCCTCTGCTCTGTCAGAAGAAGTATTGAGACAAATATATATATATATGTACTACAGTCAGTCTGCCAATTACTGTTGTATTTAAAATTTAACTACCAACAGCTCTGAATGCATTTTTCTACACTAGCCCAACCCTATTTAGTCACCATGTATTTTGCTTTTTTGCAGGTGTATGCAGAGTTCAATAGGGTAGTCACCAAGAACCTACAGGTGGACTTCTTTGAGGCCCTGGACCGCCACACTCCACGCTTTGTCGAGATCTTTAAGGCAAAGAAAGGAAGTATGGGACAGACCCTGACACAGTTGGTGGAACAAATTGATGCAGCGGTGAGTCCATGAAAGGCTTCTTCTGTCTTTATTTCTCATTGCAAGTTGACTTTAAATAGTTATTGCAGTTTTGCTGCTTATATTTTTTTTGTAACAATGTATAGGGTTTAGAAGATGGGAGGAAATGGCTAGAAGGGCAAGAGTAGTATTGATGTGTTTTGAATTAATTAAAAACATATTTTGAATTCATGTCACAACTTGAAAACGCCCAAAAGATTATATTTTTCTTCTCATTAACTGCTATTCATATTTTTTTCTGATCCAAGGTCTCATGAAGTCTACCAGAAGGGGTTTAACTTAGTCACTCTGTAATGCTATATTGTGAACAGGTGTTATGGATTTAAGTGAGTGGGGGGTGGAATGTTCCTGATTAGTCAGTCTAACATTTGTAACATCTCTGTTTGTCCTCCCGATGGAAGTAAGGAGAGACTGATATGAAAGAGCTGTGTCTGATCACAGCACAGGTGTCCAACTTGCCTCCACTGATGAACTCAGAGGAATTATCGCAAGAAATATACAGTGCATATGGTACAATATAAGTACAACCACCATCAAACTTATGTTGGTACTTTCTGTTACAGTTGTGGATTGAGTGTTTCTTAAAAATTAATTCTCAGTAAAATCAGTAAGTCAGTTGTGACACTTGTTTCATTCAGACTTTTAAAGGCATTTTTGTGCTGTAGCTTTTGAATGCTGCATTATCTAGAGCTTGATTTATTCATCATCCACTTCTAGAAACCAGATGTGACAGCAATGCGCACCATTGTACTCCAAGGCCTCCCTGTTCTACTTGGTGATGACACCAATGACTTCTACAACACCTGCTTCGTAAGTTCTCATAGAAACATCTTTAAGAAACATACATAGTTATAGGGAAATTTTATTTGTATTTACCAGTGTCTCAATGAGACCTAGATAAGAAAAAAAGTAATACTGAATATATCCATGAGTTCAGTCCAAACATTGGCATGGGCTGCTTGCTAGCTGACAGTTTGGTGTAAACCAGAAGGGGTGAAGTAACCAGTTAGCTCCTGTGACGTGAGAGGAATACCTTTCATGTCCAAAAGCAGAGTTATTTAAGAGGGGGAAAGAGAGAAGGGATGACAACCAGCAAATAACCCAGGGCAGATTCAAATCCAGGGTCACTATGGTAAGGACATAACCTCTACATGTAATAAATGCTCTACCAGGTGAGCTGCCAGACCCTCCAGTCTTGCCTATTTTACTTACGATTTAGAAAAGAAAAAATAGTATTATGTTTTAAATGCATTTGGTATGCCTGGTAGTTCATCTGACAGAGATGTATTATATATCAAGGATGAGTCCAAACCACAGCATCTGGGGTTTGATTTGGAAGGACCGCTGCATGCCAGAACAGTTGTCCTGTGCTTTTTGTTTATGTTGCAGTGCCTTTCTATCATATGCAGCACATTGCATATAGAAATGTGCTTTATAAATTAAGATTGAGAGATGAGAGGGAGAGAGGGGGAGAAGAGAAAGAGATGGTGAGAGGATGGGATGAGAAGGAGAGAGAGGAGAAGAAAAAGAGATGAGAATGAGATGAGGAGAGGAGAAGAAAAGAGATGGGAGAGGGGGAAAAAGAGAAGGAGACAAGAAGAGGATAAGAGAAGGAGATAGGGAGAGGAGAAAAAAAAGATATGGGAGCGGAAAAGAAAAGGAGACAGGGAGGGGAGAAGGAGATGAGAAGAGGAGAGGATAAGAGAAGGTAAAAGGTAGAGGAGAAGAGAAGGAGGTTTTAAGCCTGGACTTAATTGTGGAGAGAGTGTCTGCCTCTCTGATCCATGGAGAAAGTTGGTTCCACAGTCATTATCAAATAAAGCAGAAATACTTTGTTTTCTTTGTTTTCTAGATTGATATAGGATAAATCCTAAAACAAGTAAGTCCCATCCTTCCTCCACATGTGTTGTCCACTTGCGTCTTTGTCCCTCCCACCAGAGATGCATGGAGAAAATGAACAGAGCATAGAGGAGATTTGTTTTTAGAGAAATGAGATGTCCTTTCCTCCAGAGCGTCATGTGAAGTGACGCTTTTTAGTGATGACAGCGTCATCAGATCACCACTGTCCATCAGCTCTAACAAATGTTTGTGTGCCTGCACAAGTGGCTGTAACAACGCTGATCAAATATAAAAAATAACAGAGCTTTGTCCATGTTTTTAACCTATTTAACAATTTCACATGAAGCAAACCTGCACTCTGTTTATTCTGTGTCCTGACGTACAGACACAAAAAAAGTTATTGATCATGTTGTCTCACTATGAAAATGATACACAGTCAACTCCCAGATCATTTGAGTATTTCTTTAATGCACAAGGCTGGACAGGACACTTGAAATGGTGAAAATTTTGAATTGAGGATTTAAAAAATGTCCTTGATGTAATGTGATGGTTTTTGTTTGGTTTCATCACATGATTGTGACACTGATGAGACCTGGGCATAAGTGTCTGTCGGGCTGCTGACTGTTGTCAACGAAAATGAGATACTCATTCCAAACATGCTCCACCTTCACCCAGTGTCTACTGCCATCATTGTTGAGGGAGGTATTGTAATGGATGATCTCCAGAACCTACCTGAGGCACTTTGCCTTTTGTTTGGGCTGTCATACGCTTTACATTTGGACTACCCTAGAACCATGAAAAACACTTTCAGATTCATTCAAAGAGTGTTGCTTGGCTTGGGAGAGAACAAACTCCCACCAAAATTGCAAAGTCTCAAAAATCTGTTGTTGACTTAGAACATGCATGCAAATGTAGGAGTGGATTCTGCTGTTTTTTTATTGTTCACTAAAATAAGAGCCTCCACTGAAATTATGGGTTCATCAACAAGTTACTAGAGGCTGTATATCTGTTTGTATCCATTCACACTCATGAGCTCCATTGCTAGTTATTACCCTTTCAGGTTTTTGAGCTCATTGAAGCCACTTTGCACTTGACAGCAGGTTTTTTTTATACATTTTATTTACTGATTTTTGAGTAACATTACTCAGGAATACAAAAGTGCACTTGTCAGCATGTTGCTGTTTTTTTTTTTTTTTTTAACCAAAAAATTACAGAAAGCTGTGTTTACAAATGTCATTCAGGCAATCTTTAAAAAGTTGATATAAATAGAAGAAAAATAAAAGCAATTGTTATAATTGAACTTTCAACTGTGTTATTACCTTGATTTATTGTTTAATTGTGATTCAGATTATTTTAGAAGATTGGAACCTGTTTTCATTCCTGTATAGATATTCGAGCCTCTTATATTGATAAAGTAAAACTTTATTGCTTTTAGCAAGTAAATCAGATAGCTGTTCAAATAAATATAATTTAGAAATGTTAAGTTAGCTTAACTTAGATAAGTGTGTTATACTTACTAAACAAAGAGTAAATCTCACACGCAATGACTAAGTAGATTAAAATAGTAATTCTTAGTAGTCTTTACTAAGTCAAAAGTACACCTGAAGTAAGTTATCAAGTACACTCTACTTTAAAGGGGACCTGCCACCAAAATTTCATACCCATTTTTATCATTTTTTCATAATCCTTGATGTCCTATGATCATGTTTGCAACATAATTTTAGCTGAAAAGTTATTTGATGGTTTGTTTTAGTATGCCTAAAAAAACCTTACAGGAAAGCCAACTGGTTTTGGCTCATTAACATTTATGGTAATGAGCTTTGCTCTGATTGGATCGCTGCTGTGAAGCCTGCTGTGCTCTGATTGGCTCAGCAGTGGAGGTTCGGATTTCGGTTTATACACTGTTATTATGCTAATGCTAATAGCATATGCTAATGTGTGCTAAAGTAAGGTGCCCAGATGTCTGTAATGATATCCGGGGATATTCGATGCGGCGGCGGTGCAGGGGCTGCAGGAGCTGTGTGCTCACAGACAAAGTCTCAGTACTATTTAGTAGTAGCGCATGCCCCTTGTAATAACCCCCATAAGAACTGTTGTTCAGGACTGCTAACTTGTGCTTCCTACCTATTCGGCTACTGTAATAACCGTTGTTCGAGCCCACACGCAACATTTTTGCTCTCATTCATGAAACGCTTAAATCGGGGACAGATTTTGCCGGGGACAGGTCATCCAATACAAGGACTGTCCCCGGAAATCGGGGACGTCTGGTCATCTTATGCTAAAGGCTAAAACGGCAGGTATTAAACCATATATTTTAGACCCCGAGTCCGAAGAGGAGGTGGAAGTTGAGGAAGAAGCCGGAGATCTCAAGCAGTGTTTTCTCATTCATTCTGCCCAGCTTTAAGTTCATTTTCCTGGCAGTGAACCGAAGGAAACACCGGTCGTTTGGAAGAGACCCATAGCGGATACAGTGATAGCTGGGTCTCGCTCTGGCTGTGACTGAGTACGAGAACGAGAGAGTGGGCACGGCTCACCTGGACGCGCTCGTGAATAATAATGAGCAAGGTCGGCGCAACGTAACACCGACCTGCTTTTTCAATTGGCCTGGTTTACTTGTTCCTTTATTTTAAACCTTCATAGAATGCAAACGACGTAATGGTTTGTTTTCACATTTACAACATAAGACGAACATAATATGGACCTTATCTGACACAAAAAACACACAAAATTACATTTTTATGGCAGGTCCCCTTTAATGTTTTAGTTGTTTTAACTAATTTATAAGTGTACTCTACTAAGGAAGCACTAGTTAGTACAACTCAAAATACCTAGCTCATTTTACTTATTTTTTTAAGTGCAACAGGTTTGCATGCTTTTTCTAAGTAATGATAACTAATTGGATTTTACAGTGTATATTTAGTATCAATACAGTATATAATTCAGACTCTTAGTAAAGGGAGGAAGAAAAGCTAATTTGTCTGGAGATTCTCCTCAGATTTATGCCACCACCTCATCCTTATGTCTTTTTCCATATGTACAGTTAGCTTGTGTTGAGAGATGGGTTTAGAGAAAGTGAATGCATATTATGCTGACAAGTGAGAGGGGGGTGATAATTAGCATGCAAACTTGTCTAGTTGTCATAAATATTATATCTCTTCAATAGTCTACCATGTCTTTGTGCCTGAATGTGTGAAGATGGCTTTGTTTATCAAAGCCTCTGTGTGGCTTTCTAATCAAAAGGACTCAAACAGAAATGTTCCAGTCAGCAGAGGAGTTCAAGTGAGAATCTCACAGCTGAAGAGTTTTGTTACGAACATGAAGAGCTGTTGTTGAGAGCATGTTTGGTTCAGGTTTCACTTGAAGCCATTTTGATATCAGGCAGAGCTAGAGTGAAGTGTGTTCAGTGTTATTTTCACAGTGGGCTCTCAAACACCAGGGCATGTCCCGTAGAGACTGTTATTTTAGACAATGCTGCTGCTGTTGCTTCATGGTATGGAAGTGTAAACAAAAGCTACCACCACACAAAACATGTTTTAATATTTCAATACCACATGCAAGAGAAATGATGCAACAAATTTTCTCAGTGTTGCTGTCCCAGCAGTTTTCAATCGGTCACCATGGAACATTTAAACACTCAAATTTGCACGTGTTCATGAATGATATTTATTCGTTAATCGACAGCTTGCCCCTGCTGGTCTGTAATCACCATAAATGGTAACCCATGAATAGCGAATGACCACTAAATATAGATCATGCATATGTGCTTTATGTGTGTGTGGCTCACGGAAAGAAAGAGAACGATAACCCCTCAGATCCAGAGACTGATGTGGACTTCTGTGAGTGGTGTTGTGACACATTGAGATCACCACTGATGTGCTCTGTAAAAGTCTGACTCACTGCGTGGGCTTCATTATAAACCAGATTCTGATGTGTGGAGGATCAGTGTCATCAGCCTTGGCTTCAGTGGGTGACCCCCGTCTCCTATGGATGCACAGTTAAGTCTCTGCATAAAAGCACATGTTTGGGGCCCATGTGTGAGGTCAATCAAAAAAAAACAACAACTATTAGCTGCAAGCAAATTTCTCAGCATATAGCTTTTTTTTTCTGACCTGGCACCTGTGGGCTCTATACAGATGATATTTTATAAACACGCTACATTCTGACTGATGAACCTGTCAACTTGCTGCTGCAATCCCCGAACAAGCACCATTGGGCTGCTGCAAAGAATGAAACTGCCGTGCGTCTCACCAGTCAACAGAGCCACAAAATGAAGTGACACACTTGAATGTCGAACATTCACATCCTGAATGTGGACATCACTTTTTGTGATTTATTTTTTTGATTATCATTGAATCCTTTCTGTGGGGCTTTTCTGTGTGGAGTCCATATACGCATGTTCACGTTTGTCCCATGTATCTGTAGAGTTGATTGGTCACTCTGCCTTTAGGTAGTGCACAATTTTTTTTTTTTTTTTTCCTCTCACTCTGTCTCTCTCTATATATATATTTATGTAAATCAGCGCCATGACAGACTGGCTTTCTGTCGAAAAATGTACCCTATGACACCCACAACAGGCTTCAGCCTGCTGGAGGAATCGATAATGGAGGGATAGTCATTGTACCTTTCCGATAAAGCTCAAACCTGCATATTACCACTAATTTAGAGAATTGTGTGTTTAGATTATATTGTGACATTTTTAAAGAGAAATGCATGTTACAAAGGAGGACTGAAGGACAGAAGTCAGCATGAGGTAACACCTCAAGCTGGGGTACCTCACAAATCTGAAAAGTCATACTGGATGAGATTCAAATCATGAACTGACAGATATAACCAAAGACAAATAATGAAAGCCTACTTACCTTCTTTTCCTACTGTTGGTTAAACAAGAAATCTCCACTGTTGAAGCTCTACAGTAGCTGCCCACTCCTGGAGGATTTTTGATACAGTGGAGAGTATTCTGTACAAAGTAAAAAAGTCGAACTTTTTGTGAAGATGGTTTTTAATTACTCAAGTGTGGAAGAATTTTAACCAAAATCTGGAAAGGCTAACATGAATGTAATATTTGTTAAAGAAGGTCATGGCTCAGATAGGTGGTTTTAATAGACTACAGTTCTTGTTCATAAACATCAGGAGGAAATGAGGAGTGTGTCTACCATCTCAATGGTAGATGGTGTCATACCCCCTTTCAGCTCATTAATGGGCCTTCTCCTAGTTGAACTATGATGTCACACACCAAACCAACAAACCTGTTGTATGTAAAACAATGGAAACACAGTCAGTTTTACAGGTCTTTATCTGTTTAGTATGGGTATTCTTAATTACTCCTACATTTCTTCTTTTTCTTTAAAGGTTTTAGTTTATTTCCTGGCTTCAGAACAATAATGCTAGCTTCAAGGTCAAAGGCCTTCATGCAAACTGTGGAGCATAGATAGATTACATGGGCCAGTTTCGGTTCAATTAAGGTGTGAACACATAAAAGTAAATCCACGCCAAACTACTATTTTTTTGTTGTTGTTAGTCAAACTACAAGAAATGAGATTTGGTGTGATTCCAATTAACATATATTTTTAACGTCCAGTGTCAGTCACCTCATTCATACAGCACTATATTTCTTCCGTCTAACCACTTAATGGATATCAATTCAACTGATGTAAGTAATGCATCCCTAGGCTCCATCTCTTATTTGGAAAAGTTTCATGATTTGGGAGTGAAAACGTGTTTATATTCTGTGTGAAACTGAAAAATAGTCTTACTTTGGTTAATTTCTTCCACTCAATACACCCCTGCTTGAGAAAATCAGTAAATTGCTCTTAAATTGGAGCCCCAGCAGAGTGAAACTTCTTGGTCTTTTGCAGAATATTTGCAAAGTGCCTGTGCTGTTCACCATGATGTATTACATGAGTGAGAGCACCATTTGTCTGTGCAAGCTGTTAATAGTTAAATAAGGCATTTGGAAATACTGCTGCTTTGGACTTGCCAGAGGTGAGACAGTATCTGCATTTAAACAGACAGTCCTAATACATTGGTGTCCACAGAGACTCTATTGTGATGAATTACAAAAGGAGAAGCCTTGCTCTGTTGTTATTCTTCAAACAATCGGCCTCTTTGGGGCTGACACGTTCACACATTGGAAGTCTTCCTCGGTGTTTGATTCCTCCCTTAAGGCTGAGTATTTATCAAAGTGATCCCAGCTAAAGATTAAGTCGTGAATAAACTTTAACTTTTTAATCCCAGTGTTACTCATAAGGTGTAGCCTCCTCTGCTTCAGGTGATTAAGCCATTTATCACAACAACATACCTGCAGGCTACAACATCAGAGCTTAATGCTGCTCAGTGATCCCTGAGACCCAAAGTGATGAATTACAATAATCAGGGAGTCAAATTGGTTGTGAAAATTAAGCTTCAGTTTATTAGCTGCTGATGATCAGAGGGTGCGTCCTCTTCTCCTTAATATTTATGTAATTTGCAGGCACTTTTTGTAAATTGTGATTGTAAATTGTGCCAGCCAAAGTGCCCTTCACCATACAGAGGAACTGATGGAGCTTTAAAACTGTGAAAACAGTGCAGCACAGTTAAAGTTATTTTATTTTTGTTGTGTCACTGAAATGTATGATATGTCAGATTTTATGGCCTCTTATTACTCACAGTCAACACAACTTATGTCTGAGAAAGAGATGGAGAGTGTGACGATTTATCACCTTGACATCCATCCTGGGGATGGCATCACTCATGCAGCTCAGTGACACATTGGTACTCTGTCAGTGTGAGTGAAGGCAGACGCTTCAGTCTTCAGGAATATTTCAGTGAGGTAAGCGTTTTAAGCTGTTAACCTCGATGAAAAGCAGAGCTGTCTGCTTATTTCTGGTGTCAGTCAGTGTCACTCTAGAGGTGCAGTCAGGTGTTCCTGCACCTGTCACCCTCAAATGTGTGGAGCTAATTCCATTTACAGAGCGTATCCACATCTTTAAATGTTATTATGACTCTAGATGTAAATTTTAAACTTCAATACTAGAGGGAAGGAGTCCAAGAACCAGAGAGAAAGTTTAATCAAATCCTCCTCAAAGACCACCATCTGAGTCAGATGGCTGGTAATGCACTCAGGATTGGGGACATTGGGGTATTGTATGGTGCGCCCTACAACAGAACAATCATTGACAGTGAGGGAGACACAGAGATGTAACAATAGAGCACACAGGCTTACATTATTGGAGGGGATACATTTGTGCAAACACTGTCTCTTGGCGCCAGCATACAAGCATTCACCGAACCTTGGCGTCTCAATGAGAGCCCTACAGTCTCTGAATGGAGGCAAGTAATAGATTATCGTTGAACAGGCCGCGGATGGCACGAGCAAGAACAAGCCATCAGTGCCGTGAGGCTGCAGGGCTGTAAAATTAGAAGAGACTGTTCGACCAGAATCCAATTGGTTTAAAGGGTATTGGTACTACAGCTTGGCACTGGTCCTGCTGCATACAAATGTGCTCAGTTTCCTTTCACACTGTTTCATTCATAACAGACCCTCACAGACTCATTTATCCATTATTTACTTGAACCAAATGGGTTAGAGCTCAGGGAAATCACTGTGCCAATGGCCCTTTCCTTCTGCAGTAACCTCCAAGGATTTGCTGGATGGTTGTATTCATGTGATAATTTGGATTTAGGATTAGTTTTTATGCACTTGCACTTAATGGTGTTTCATAGCAGAGGGACATAGTTAACTTATTAATATTACTGAGGCAATATTCATATCACTCAGTGATGGGTTCATACTTTTTAGCTCTCTGTAAAAAAAAAGTAGATTTATAGTCAAACTTTAAGAGTCAATGCGCACACCACCCAGTCATGAATTTTTTAAAGTAGTAGTGAGCCATATGTTGTTACTGTTGCTAGGCAGCAAGCAGCCATCTGTCCTTAGCATTAAAGTGGGCATAGCTTCAGTTCTGCTGTACTCAAGTCCAGGAATCAAAGTCCAGATTTTCAGGACTGATGACTAGAACTTGCACTTGGAATAGGGCTTTGACTTCTTTGGAACTCATGGGATAGAGTGGAGGACTCACACTTAGTTGTTGATGAAAACTTTTTTATTGATTTTGTTGGGTTTTTACTTGAGGCCCTGTTCATTTATTCAGTTTAAAGTGGGGGCTGGCATGTGCGTTTATATGCCGTCTTGTTCAGCAACAGTTTTACGTTGGCTGAAGGGGCTAGTAAGAAGTGTGCACTTTTTTCTTATTCTGGTTTATGCTGGAGTGGAATCAGCTTGGTTGGATTTTATCAGGAGGGTAATAGGTACTTCTGGACACCTGCAGTGCATCATCATGCCACTACAGCAGTATCAGTGAGTGTGTCTCCACAGAAAGTGAGAAAAGGTGCAGAGCTTATCTACAACACTGTAGTATTATTGTCACTTTGAGTCTCCAGACATGCTGACTGGACCAGTCAAAATTCAACAGCCATAAAAAAGGTGTGTTTTCTGCATGTCTAAAAAGTTCCACACAGTAAGCACAGGTTCATAAAGGCAGGAGTGAAATACCAAGTCCCTTTGAAGAAAATATCAGTGATAAAGATTTGACTGTGGCTGACACTCATGTTGAGAGGACTTGCAACAATAGGTACGTAGCTCTTTGTGCCCTCCACTTTACTGATGCCGTTTTTTGTAAAAGTACACTACGAGCTGGATTTGAGTCTCAACAGTCACTGAGACCTTGAGCTGTTTCACCTTCTGTAAACATTAAAGACCCACTCCAATGAAAATCATGTTTTTCTTGTTGTCTACCTGTTCATATGGCATTTCCTGATGCTACAGGACATAGAAAAGTAAGTGTGAAATTACATTTCTGAGTATTTCTGCATTCAAATCTCTGTGAACCTCTAACAGACCCAAACAGTAGGCTCAGACACAGTGGGATTTTCTACTTCACAATTTAAAGTTCCGTCTCTGGAGCCACGCTATGCAGGCGAGACTCTGAGAAATAAAGAGGACAACTGCGGATCAAGAATGTGCGGTAGCTGCAAGCTAGCGTGAAGCAGAGTGTGCAGAGCAGCGCCATCTCCGCCCAAGACTCAGAGGCGAATTGCTAATGAGCTACTGAAACTCTGCAGAAGAAAAGCCCTTAAAAATGACACAGGTAACCTGGTTTTGGCTAAAAACTTCATAATCACAATTTCAAGACCACTGAGAACTGTTTAAACAATGCTGTGATAGCAGCTTGTGTAGGCTAAGTGGAAACTAATGGTATTGTCTGTAAAAGGATAACCTTTGGACTTTCATAACCACAAAGCAGTGCAAAAAGCAATGTCCTTTAAGCTTTGAATCAGTGGGAAAGCAGCAGAAAGAAGGCTGAGGCTGAATAGAGCTCTTCTATAGCTGCCCCAGACTGACATCATGAAAGATTGAAATGATATGTTTATCACTCTTTTTCCATGACATTATAGTTATGTCTTTGATCGGTACTCAATGTTGTCGAAGCTGAATGAATTTTATCACCAAACCAAAGAGGCTAGGACATCTGTCACTCATTTACACCAGAAAATGAGAGGAAGAGGATGCTGCAGCATCATACAGCAGAGCTGTGCAGCTATGAGTCCTGTCGGCTGTATATGTCTCTGTATGTGATGAAGCTGTATATAAATTCGGATGATTATTTGCAAGGCTGTGTTTGAGTAACCTTTTTTTTTTTTTTTCTGTCAGGCTGTTGTTTTGCAGCTGTTCTACCTGCAGTGAAAGCTCCCTGTATCCATCCTGGTTTGTGGAAAGTTCTTGCACAAAGTTTTGCCTCTTGTGGTGTTGAAACTGATGTGTGGAGGTGGGGAATATCTGTACCTGTTCACTAAATGCTGACAGATATGACATCATCAGTCAGCCCTGCTGCCTATTTCTGCAGCTCCTACAGCCCGCCTAGGGTCTGATATGCTGCCTATGCAGATCACGCCCCACCTTCACCTCCAACTCAGAATCCACCTGCAAGCTCTGTTCCTCTGCAGTTACCCGTGGGAAGATGCATTGATCTCTCTCTGTGCTGGTTTTAAAATATGCCTCATAGGGAGGAATACAAAACTCTACAGTGGCACCAAATTTAAATAAATTAACATTTATTGAGTGTATCTACTTTTTCTTACGTAGGCATTGAGACTTAGGGGTGTTCCACATCAATAATAGCAGCATGTGTGCCCTGCTGTAGTGATGAGCACAAGTTAAAGTTGTATAGATTTTTTTTTTCTTTATGCTTAATAGAAGAGGAAGGTAGATGTGTTAAATGAAGAGGAACCCTAGGACACCATGTGTATTCACAATCAGTGCTAACATGATAGCGTTATTAAAGGGCTTGTGGGGAACAGCTCTGCCTTTTGTTACTGCCTTTTTATTTTGCAAGTTTATCCTCTGTAAGTTAAAGGAGTTTTATTGAGCTAATCAGAATTGTAACACATTCACCTCCTGACTTTCAGACAGACTCTACTATTGAGTCACAGCTGCCTTGTCCTATTAGGGCAATGCTAAAGAGTAAAGCTGAAAACATACAGGATTCATATTTAGCGCGTTTCGTATTTGCTCTGTAGAGCTGCACCGGGTATTGCACACAGGACGCGTACTTCGAGCGTGGTAGCATCATAGTGCAGCCCTGGTCAGCTGGACTCAGTATAGAAGAAATAACATGCTCAAAACAGGTTGTTTTGCCTTTCTGTGGTCTATTTCCTGCTAATTTGGATATACAGTGCCCTGAAAAAGTATTCATACCCCTTGAACTTTTTCACATTTTGTTACTCTACAACCACAAACTTTTTTTTTTTGTCATAGACCGACACAAAGTAGCACATAATTGTAAAGTGGAACAATAATTATATATGTTTTTCAAAAATTTAAACAAATAAAAATCTGAAAAGTGTGGTGTGCATTTGTATTTAGCCTCCTTGTGTCAATACTTTGTAGAGCCACCTTTCGCTGCAATTACAGCTGCAAGTCTTCTGGGGTATAACTCTACCAGCTTTGCACATCTAGAGACTGAAATTTTTGCCCATTCTTCTTTGCAAAATAGCTCAAGCTCAGCCAGATTGGATGGAGAGCGTCTGTGAACAGCAATTTTCAAATCTTGCCTCAGATGCTCAATGGGATTTAGGTCTGGACTTTGACTTGGCCATTCTATCACATGAATATTTTCTTATCTAAACCATTCCATTGTAGCTCTGGCTGTATGTTTAGGGTCATTGTCTTGCTGGAAGGTGAATCTCTTTCCTAGTCTCAAGTCTTTTGCAGCCTCCAACAGGTTTTCTTCTTAGCTCCATCCATCCTCCCATCAACTCGGACCAGCTTCCCTGTCCCTGCTGAAGAAAGCATCCCCACAGCATGAGGCTGCCACCACCATGTTTCACAGTGGGGATGGTGTGTTCAGGGTGATGAGCAGTGTTACTTTTCCACCATACATAGCGCTTTGCATTCAGGCCAAAAAGTTTGACTTTGGTCTCATCTGACCAGAGCACCTTCTTCCACATGTTTGCTGTGTCCCCTACACAGAGATGGACAGAGTACTTGACCCCAGTACTTGAGTAAGAGTAAAAATACTCCTGGTCAAAATTTACTCCACTACAAGTAAGAGTAGCCTAGTCAATACGTTACTCGAGTAAAAGTAAAGTGCAACTGCACAGAGCTGTACACATGAGACCCAATTTGTAGCACTTGCACCTGCCACAACAGCCAGATTTACAGCCACATTTGGTGAGCTGTTCGCATGTCTTGGCTATTGGAGAGTTGGCTGTCCAGAAGACCTGCCATTCCTCACCAACCTTTTGACATCCCCAGTCTGCAGGGTCCTCTGCTTCACTGGGTGACACTGACACTGGGTTGCCTGGGCCCACACACAACCAGCCTGATAGGCAGCAGGCCTGATGTGTTGGAGTAGAGCTGCTCTGGTTGGTGGGATAGACTCATAGGGCCTCTGCTTTCTGGCAAACAAGTCAAGCCTGGCCTCATCCACAGTAGCAGCTGTGCTGGTTCTGTCATACATGAGAATGACAAACTTCTCAAGCACCTCTATGTCGCAGTCCTCCACTGTGGAAGGGTAAATACCCAGTTTGGCGAATACAGGCAAGGATTCTGGACATATGTCCCATGTCTGCCAAGCTGTTTTCTTGCCTTTGTTGCGGAAGGCAGACACAGTGTCACATCCTGTAAAGGCATGGAAGAAGAGCATGCCTTTGACCTTCTCCTGGCCAACATGCTGAAATATGTCATGCACACTGATCCAGCGCAGAGTCTGACCTAACCCAAATGCAAGTCACATATGCTGTAGGCCAGCCTCTTGGAGACCGCTGAATACACTTATTGCTAAGATCAGAACATCTGTGTCATTTGCCTTGATCATGATGGATTGGCTACCAGTTGCATGTTTGGTGAGCACAAAGATGTGGCTGTCCGCTTCCTTGTGAGAGCATTTATCCAGTCCATCAAGACCAGTTGCACGAGTGCTGAGGACAGCAGGTCACTTTGTGACGATGATGGTATTTAGGGCAAACATTTGTGCAACCTTGTCGGCAAGGGTGGGACAACTCTGTTTTGTTGTCATTGTGCCTCAGGAAGTTATGCCAGTTAGATAGCATGGTGTTCTTATTCGTTACCTTGCGTCTCCCCCCCTGGCCACATTTGGACCTGGTCTCAGCTTTAAGGCTTGATGGGTTTTACACATCAAAGACCAGATGTATCATTGTGTACTTGCTGGAGTACATGTAGATCACAGGTAGGAAGTCGAGAGCTGCATAGTCCTCAAAGTCTTGGATCATTTTGGTGGCAGGGCGTGGTCCAAAGCTGACCCATCTGCAATGAGAACGTCTGCCTCAGGTTCCTTGTCAACTGGTGGGACATAATTCTCAAGGATAGGGGTCAGCTGAGACTTCTGGCAAGTGTACAATTTTCCACCCTTGCTCAATGCAACAGGGAAGGACTGGTTCTCATGCTTAAAGAACTCCTGGAGGTCATGCTGAGTTAGAATAGAATAGAATAGAATAGAATATTCCTTTATTGATCCCCCATGGGGGAAATTTTTTTGTCACACAGTTACACAGCAGTGAAATCACCAGTGTGCCCTGGTTGTGTGCCGATGTTCACTCTATTATATCTGCAAGCTTGTACTGTATAAACATCTAAATTCTGTACTGCAATGGCCCCATTGGATGCATAGACCAAAAATATGTGCATGCCAAAAGTTAATGTTTCATAGTCACTAAGATCGGATTACTTCAAGGCAATGAAAGCCATCTTGGACACCATCTTGTTTTTCAAATTTAATGTTATAACCCTAATGAAAATAACAGATAATGGAAATGATATTTTCATATAACCATATGCACGTAACAACAATCAGTGTTACAAATTTCTCACTCTCTGTACAAGTATCAATAGGCTGTATCTCAAGAACCGTAATGGATACAGAAATGTACTAGGTACCAAAATGTCCGCAATACCCAACTTTATATTCAACTTCAATATATGTATGGGGCTTAAAATCAAGTCATTTTGAGTTATAAAGGAAAAAACACATTTTTGGGGCGGATATCTTGGATTTTGGGGCTGCCATCTTGGAATTTTGTGTGGCTAACGTTATTTTTGAAAAGAGTGGGGTTTGAAGAGTATTTGTACCAAATTTCATGCTTGTATAACAAAGTGAACGATTCGGGCTATATTATGCATTTGTCTGCTCCACTATAAGGAGCAAGTTTGGTGGTTGAGATGCGAAGGACATCACAGAGATGGCTGTTGGTCATTTTGCTTCTCAGTCTGCTTTTGTTCAGATTTAACAGAGAAAATGTTTGCTCACATATGTATGCTGAGCCGAACAGATTCATCATTCTCTTTGCATGCCATCTCATCAGCGGAAACTTTGTATTTTCCAAGCTCCGGTAGAAGTCGGGTAGGGAGAGAAGCTGATGTTGATTCTTCAGAGAATCATCACACTGAATTTCGATGAGTTCTAATTGCAAACTCTCTTCCACTTCTTCTGCATCCATCAGGAATGGAGTTAAGAACAGCTTGATTTCTTTCTCAATGGAAGAAAAATCTTGGAAGCGCTGACGGAATTCTGTTATGAGAGATGAGATCACAGACACATACTTCTCATTTTTAGCAGTAAGGTTGGCCTCTGGAAAAGCGCATTTGATTTCGGACAGCATGGGGAAGTGCGCAACATTAAAGTTGCGTAGTTGTGTCACAAAGAGACGGAGCTTCACACAGAATGCTTTTATGTGCGCATAAAGTTGTGGTACAAGCTGGTCTTTGCCTTGTAGGCTCTTGTTCAGTGTGTTAAGATGATCAGTGAGATCAACTAAGAATACCAGGTCTGCCAACCAGAGGTCGATCCTTTCTTTCTTTCTTAAAAACTGGTCAATTTCTGATCACAGGGAATAGAACCCTGCAGCACAGAGCCGCAACTCAGCCAACACACATCTGAATGATGTCCCTGTATTCAGCATCAACATCAGAGAGGAAAGCTTGAAATTGTCTGTGGTAGAGCCCTCGTGCTCGAATTATGTTTTCACCACAGTGTAAATCACATCGCCAAGCTGGACTGTCTTGGCACAGAGGGCTTCTTGATGGATGATGCAGTGCATCTGAACAGCCTCACCGCCACTTTCTTGCACCTTGGTGCATACCATAGATGCCATTCCTTTGCGCTCCCCTGCCATAGCTGGAGCCCCATCCATTGTAACTCGACACAGCTTGTCCCATTTAAGTCCCATCATGTCAATTGCATCTGACACAGCTTCAAAAATGTCCTTACCCGTTGTTGTGCCCTTTAGACTCCTAAGATCAAGAAGCTCCTCTGTGGTACAAAAGTTATTGTCAACTCCCCGCAAAAAAATTAACAGCTGTGTGGTGTCTGTGACATCTGTGCTCTCGTCACATGCAATGGAGTAAAAATCAAAAGCACAAGCTTTATCTGACACGTCTTCGATTCACCGCGCAACTATGTTTCTGCACATGCTGATGTTATTGAACTGCATTTTTTCTGGGCACATTATTCCTGCGGCTTTAGTGAGGCACTGTTTTCTGAAGTCACCATCTGAGAAAGGTTTCTTGTGTCCGTCAATGAGCTGAGCTACCTCGTAGCTGGCTATTGTGGCATTTTCTTGTGTTTTATTAGCACGGAAAAATACTGCTGTTGAGCTTGCAGGCCAGCTGTCATTTGTTTAACTTTCTGTTAACGCTCGGCACCAGTGCAGGACATGTAGGTCTGATGTTTGGTTTCATAATGTCACCGTACATTATATTCTTTCATCACTGCAACTGTTTCATTGCAAATCAAACAGACACACTTCCCCTTGACTTCTGTGAAGAAATACTCATTTTCCCACCGTGTCTGAAATTTTCTACACTCACTTGCTATCTTGTGTTTATTTGATTCTGCCATTTCTGGTCACCCGCAGAATTTTTTTCCCCCTAGTGTCAAAAAAGGAAGTACATTAAAGTCAAGTTCCACGTGTGGGCCATATTCCATTATATATTTAGAATTTGCTGCAGGCCAATTAAAAATAGACCACGGGCCGCAGTTGGCCCGCAGGCCATAGTTTGGACACACCTGCTCTACTATATGTGAAAAAGCAATGTGATTTTACAGTTTCATTCTTTGCAGGTTTACACGTGTTTAATAAAGTAAACTATGTTCCTTTATGCTGTGCTGTTACTTTCAGACAGAGTTAGCAGTTCAATGTCCTGTTGGGGTCTACATGGATCAGCGATTGACCATCGGATTGTTCTGTGTTACTGATAAATCCAGAACCAGGAAGGATTTCTTATCTACAAAAACGGATTCACAGTCGGGAGTCCGAATATGGTGTTTTATTTTGAAATATCAGATGACATGAGTGGTTTTCATGCTTGACTTTCTGTGTGGAATGATCTTCTCTGTGTAGATTGACACACATTGAAAGCGTAGAGCAGCAAAAAATAGACTTGTCGCATTTGGAGTGCTGCCACACTCCAAATACGCAACCTGTATGTTTTAGCCTTAAGCCCACACAGAGGAAGTCAGCTTCATCACTTGTCCGTTTGCTCTGCTCTGCACAGCCCTGATTTCATATTTTTTCTAAATATTGCTTATCGGAAGACTTTAGGTTGTAAAGGAAAGTCTCCTGCAGAAAACAGAAGGGTTCCCTGAAGTTTTAAGAACAGCCACAACTTATCTGTTTGAGCTCGCTTCACAAAGGCCAGTACGAGCTGGATATGAGTCTGAGCTGGTACTGACACCTGGAGCTGTTCATCTTCAAAGATCACTATGAAAAACCAGAAGCTAGATGGAACATTAAGGCAGCAGCTAATGCAACAATGGCTAATAATAGCTAACATATGCCAAAAGAGGGGGTTGAGTGGATAATTGCTAGGCTCAGATGTTCACTGTAAAGACGTGACTTTCACGATGTTTCATGCTGTATGAAAAGTAACACCCACAAAACTTTGTCTATAAGTAGAAAAGCAACCAAAATGAAGCATTTCAGATAGAGGCAGAACAAAGCTGACAGGAGGATGTACACAAACGCCAGTGTAAGAAGACTGAAGAGTGTTTAAGATGGAAATTATGCAAAACTACTCTGTAGGTGTCTGAAACTAACCAAATGAAAGGTGAACATGGGTATAAAAGTTATCCTTTAAGTATTTGTGTTCCAAAGATCTTTTATCCGACATTAACAATCAATCAATCAAATTTTATTTATATAGCGCCAATTCACAACAGTCGTCATCTCAAGACGCTTTTCAAGGAACAAGAGCAGGTCTGGACCACGCTCATTGTTTGATGATCAAGAACCAACCTAAGATGGGTTTTGGCCCATCTCAACTAACATGAGTAGCAGTGGCAAGGAAAAACTTCCTTTTAACAGGCAGAAACCTTGGGCAGGACCAGCCTCATGTTAGACAGCCACCATGCCGCTGCTGGGTTGGGGAGCGATGTAGAGAGAAGAGGGGAGAGGGGGAGAGGACAGGGGGAGGGAGAGAGAGAACAAGATAGGGGAAGGCGAGAGAGAATGAGTAAGGAGAGGGAGGGTGAGAGAGAGACAGGGGGCAGCAGAAACAACAGCAACAACAACAACAGCTCATGTAATGGGGAAACAAAAAGGAGTTCAGTTTACAGGGTTAGGATATGAGTGATTATAAACAATGTTGAATTAATTGAGTGTGATTACAGTTAGCAGGCTTAATCGTAGTCAGTTCTATTTTATGTTATTAATATCAATAATGTCAGTGAGGCTGATTAACGTGTCTGCAGTAACAGTAACAGTCCAGAGGAATCCAAGAGAAGAAGGAGCTCAGGGCTTGAGGTGGACAATCATAGATGATGCGGCTAACAGTCCAGAGGAATCCAAGAGAAGAAGGAGCTCACACTTTTTAACAAACAGCACATCTCACTGAATAACTTCCAAGTTGAGTCATAAGTGTTGTGAGGCAGGCTCGTAGTGAGGACCCAGAAGCAGACACTGAGACAGGGATCAACGTAAAGCGAATTTAATGTCCAAAACAGAAAGGGATGGCTAAGGAAACAAAGGAAGTCCGGGTGGTTGGCTGGTTGGCTGGCTGTCGTGTGGGCTGGAGACACTGCAGGAGAAACCAGAGGAGACAGGAGTTAGAGAACATGAAAAAGAGTCACTAGGAGCAAAGTTCTCAAAGTTATACCACGAGGAAGGCCAGGAGACGCGTCTGTACCGCTAGGAAGGGTAGACAATACTCAGGCGCTGAGACTGAGGGCTGCAGGCTTCTTAAAGTCCCTTAATTGGAGATGAGGAGCAGGTGTGTCGTCTCACTCAGCCTCAGCGCCGGGGGAGGGGAGGAAGCTCTGGAAAAGAGTACAGCCAGACCAGGCAAACAGGGAAAAACAGGAAGTCCGGCCAAAATAAAACAGGATGAGGAGGCGTCTCACCACAGTACCCCCCCCCTTAACGAACGCCTCTTGGCGTTCTGCCGGGCTTGTTGGGGTGGGCAGCGTAGAACTCTTCCAGGAGTTGGCGTTTCAGGATGAGAGAGCGGGAGATCCAGGAACGTTCCTCTGGACCGTAACCCTCCCAGTCCATGAGGTATTGGAAGCCTCGCCCCCAAGGCCGCACGTCCAGGATTTTCCTTACAGTGAAGGCAGGGTGGTCATCAATCAATCGGGGGGGTGGAGGGGCGACGGAAGGAGGGCTCAGGGTGCACGAGGCAACAGGTTTTAACAAGGAGACATGGAATGTGGGATGAATTTTGAGAGATGAGGGAAGTTTTAATCTCACCGCTGAAGGGTTGATGATTTTCTGGATAGGGAAGGGACCAATGAAGCGGGGGGACAACTTGCGGGACTCAGTCTGCAGGGAGAGGTCACGAGACGATAACCAGACCATCTGACCAGGACGATAGTCTGGTGCTGAAGAGCGGTGAACGTCAGCCAGGCGTTTGTTGCGCTCGGCCGTGCGGGTGAGTGCGGCCCTGGCCGATCTCCACACCTCCCGTAGACGCCCAATGTGCTCCCTCACCGACGGGACGGCCACAGGTTGCTCCTGTTCGGGAAACAGGGGGGGCTGGTACCCAAAACAGCACATGAAAGGGGACATACCTGTGGCTGAAGAGGTGAGGGAGTTATGGGCGTATTGGATCCACGGGAGGTGCGTACTCCAGGACGCTGGATGATGGGCCGCCACACACCGCAGGGCCGACTCGAGGTTCTGATTAGCCCGCTCCATCTGGCCATTGGTCTGTGGGTGGTAACCCAAGGAGAGGCTAGCTGCTGCGCCCACTGCCTGGCAGAAAGCTCTCCAGACCTGAGAGGAAAACTGGCTATGTGGGACCAGGGGCGTGAAGGCACAGGCAGAGGACGCAGCAAGCCAGCCGGAGGTTGGTGGGAGGCTTTGCTTCGGGCACAGACGGAGCAGGCAGCAACAAACGCCCGTACGTCCCGGACCATCCCCGGCCACCAGAACCGCTGCTGGAGGAATTGGAGGGTGCGTTGAAACCCGGGGTGGCAGGTGAGCTTGGAGGAGTGCCCCCACTGTAGGACCTGAGAACGTGCGACCTCAGGGACGAACTTTCTGTCCGGCGGGCCGGTTCCGGGGTCTGGGTGGTTCCGGAGGGCCTGGTCCACGATGGTATCGATCTCCCAGGTGGCGGAGCCAACGACACAGGAGGCGGGGAGGATGGTGTCTGGTTCACTGGGGTCCGGGGTATCCGAGGCGTGGATCCGAGAGAGGGCGTCTGGTTTGAGGTTGCGGGAGCCGGGACGATAGGAGAGGGTGAAATTGAATCTGCTGAGGAAAAAAGGGACCAGCGGGCTTGCCTTGGGTTGAGGCGACGAGCGGAGCGGAGGTATTGCAGGTTCTTGTGGTCTGTCCAGATTAGAAACGGTTGGGAAGCTCCTTCCAGCCAGTGTCTCCATTCTTGCAGTGTCCACACGACAGCCAGTAATTCACGGTTTCCCACGTCATAATTTTGTTCCGTGGCTGAGAGTTTCCGGGAGAAAAAGGCGCAAGGATGAAGCTTCTGGGTCTGAGAGTCCCTCTGTGAGAGGACGGCCCCTACTCCAGAGTCCGAAGCGTCGACCTCCACCACGAACTGAAGTGAGGGATCTGGGTGTTTGAGCACCGGGGCGGAGATGAAGAGGGATTTGAGATGATGGAAGGTGGCGTCTGCTTCGGGGGTCCAGGAGAATGGAACCTTGAGGGATGTGAGCCGGGTGAGGGGAACTGCTACCTTACTGTAGTTCTTAATGAACCGTCGATAGAAATTAGCGAAGCCGAGGAATCGCTGGAGGTCTTTGCGGGAGGAGGGAGTGGGCCAGTCACGGACAGCACGGATTTTTTCTGGGTCTGGGCGTAGCTCCCCCTGGGCGATGATGTAGCCAAGGAAACTGACGGAGGAGGCGTGGAACTCGCACTTTTCGGGCTTCACGAAAAGGCGGTTTTCGAGGAGGCGCTGAAGGACGAGTCGGACGTGCTGCTGGTGTTCCTCCAGGTTTCGGGAGAAGATCAGGATATCGTCCAAGTAGACAAAGGCGAACTTGGTAATCATGTCACGGAGGACATCATTAATGAGGGTCTGGAACACAGCAGGGGCGTTGGTGAGGCCAAAGGGCATAACCAGGTATTCGAAGTGGCCCATGGGTGTGTTAAAGGCAGTCTTACACTCATCCCCCTCCCGGATGCGAACCAGGTGATAGGCATTCCGGAGGTCCAGTTTTGAGAAGATGGTGGCTTGACAGAGAGGTTCGAAGGAGGGATCAATGAGTGGCAGGGGATATTTGTTTTTAATGGTGATGTCATTTAATCCACGGAAGTCAATGCAGGGACGGAGAGAGGAATCTTTTTTCTTCACGAAGAAGAAGCCAGCAGCAAGGGGAGAAGATGAGGGTCGGATGAGTCCAGAGGTCAGGGAGTCTTGAATATATTCCTCCATGGCCTCTCGTTCGGGCCGAGAGAGGTTGTATAGTCTACTACTGGGAAGAGGTGCGCCAGGGAGCAGGTCTATGGCGCAGTCATAGGGGCGATGAGGAGGAAGGACAAGAGACTGCTCCTTACTGAACACCATTGCCAGGTCATGGTAAACGGGGGGAACCGAGGTGAGAGATGGCGGTGGAGATGCTGACCTCTGTCGGTGGATGTAGGGATTGGCGGAGCGGAGGCAGTGGGAGTGACAGTGAGGGCTCCAGGCGGAGATTGAAGATGTGGACCAGTTAATCTGAGGGTTGTGGATTTGCAGCCAAGGGAGTCCCAGTACCAGGGGAGAGTGAGGAGAGGGAAGCAGGAACAGCCGGATGTCCTCCCGATGGTTACCGGAGAGGATGAGGGTGAGGGGAGCAGTGCGGTGTGTAATGGAGGCTATTACTCTGCCATCGAGAGCGGTGACCTTACGGGGAACCGGGAGTTCCTCCAGGGGGAGCTGAAGCCGCGCTGCCAGTCCGGTGTGAATGAAGTTATCGTCCGCCCCAGAGTCAATGAGGGTTTGGAGGGAAGTGGATTCCTTTCCCCAAAGGAGACAGGCAGGGACTGTGATACGCCTGGGGGAGCTGGAGGTAGAGGAGGTGTGGCTGATTTGCATGGGTTCTCCAGTGGAGGGTGTCGGAGCCAGAGGAGCTGAGGGCTGCAGAGGAGACCCGCTGACTGCAACAGAGGAAGGGGAGTCTATTTTAGGGACCAGGGAATGGATTTCCTTCACCCTCCGTCTCTCCCTGAGGCGATTATCTATACGAATAGCGAACGCTATTAGCTCCTCAAGGGAGGAAGGCTCATCTCGAGCCGCTAGCTCGTCTTTCAATTGTTCTGAGAGACCCCGAGTGAATGCCTCTTTTAACTCGAGTTCCCCCCACCCACTCTCGGCCGCCACTGACCGAGAGCTCTGGGTGAGGGAAAACAACCGTTTTGTGCACTCGGGGCCCTCGACTGGAAAATCAAATATTCTACGGAGCTCTTCTGAAAAACGGGCGTAAGAGGCGAACAGAGGTGAGTCCCTATCCCAGACGGCCGTAGCCGACTTAGCGGCCCTACCTCTTAACAAATTGATGGTGTAGGCGATCTTAGCTCGATCTGAGGGGTAACTAATGGGCTGTTGGTCAAACACTAAGGCGCATCGGAGTAGGAAACCTCTGCAGCCCCCAATCTCCCCAGCATACGGCTCAGGAGGAGGGACATAGGGCTCTTTGAGGATAGTGGGTGGTGGAGGAGGCGAAGAGGGGAACGTACTCACAGAGGGGGGAGATCCTGTTTGCTGCGGTGGAGGCCGAGGGAGTAGTTGCTCAGCCAGCTGCGACATTTGAACGGAGAGGCCATGAAATGACTGGTAGAGACTCTGGAGCATGTCCTCATGTTGGCCAAGCCGCGTGCCGAGCTTCTGGACGGCTAGCTGAACTCTGTCTAGGTCTGCTGGGTCCATTTTCCTGGCCTGAGTATTCTGTTGTGAGGCAAGCTCGTAGTGAGGACCCAGAAGCAGACACTGAGACAGGGATCAACGTAAAGCGAATTTAATGTCCAAAACAGAAAGGGATAGCTAAGGAAACAAAGGAAGTCCGGGTGGTTGGCTGGTTGGCTGGCTGTTGTGTGGGCTGGAGACACTGCAGGAGAAACCAGAGGAGACAGGAGTTAGAGAACATGAAAAAGAGTCACTAGGAGCAAAGTTCTCAAAGTTATACCACGAGGAAGGCCAGGAGACGCGTCTGTACCGCTAGGAAGGGTAGACAATACTCAGGCGCTGAGACTGAGGGCTGCAGGCTTCTTAAAGTCCCTTAATTGGAGATGAGGAGCAGGTGTGTCGTCTCACTCAGCCTCAGCGCCGGGGGAGGGGAGGAAGCTCTGGAAAAAGAGTACAGCCAGACCAGGCAAACAGGGAAAAACAGGAAGTCCGGCCAAAATAAAACAGGATGAGGAGGCGTCTCACCACAATAAGACCTGGAAATCAGGTTTTAAGTCAGACTTGAAACATAGTCCTAGATTTGAATACCACCACACTGAACTGGTGAATATTAGACCTACCCACCAGCATTATTTAGTGAATTCCCAAGACGGACTGAAGAAAAGTCCCAATGTGTTTACCACAGTGATGAGACAGGAAAGTCATTATTTTTTTAACTCCTGAGCACTGTAGTTTTCTGTGTGTTTTTACGTAACATAAATACTTGTCTTTAGTTTCACCCGCACAGAAGTATTAACGAAGGACCTCTGATAAGATAAACCAATCATGAAAGACAACTGTCTTTGTCCTGTTAATCCTGTCCACATCAAGCATGTCTGTAAACTAAAATGTCATAAATCCAGGGTAGATCACAGACAATTTTCAGGTCACTAGTAATGATCCATTCTATAGATGTCTGCTGCTGTTCCTGCTCCTTCTGAGGTAAATATGATGAAGGCTGTGTTGGACATTGTAAGCCACATATCCACATATATCCAGTTGTTGCAACACCATGTAATAGATGACATACTGATTAGTGTTGTGTCATTCATGAACATTTCGTTCAAAATTATGGAACTGCTGAGTGAACAACGTGAACTGAATCACTCCCAGACCTGATTTGTTCCTTTTTCAGTTCAGTTGAGCTCAGCCGTGAGCCTGGCATGCCAGTCTGGAGTAGAACTGCCACCATTGACTCTTTGGTGAACGGAGTCTCGTGATTCACTCACAGCGAATGAACGATATGTATCAGTCAGTGAATGAAACAGTCTGTGAACGACCTTTATCAGTCAGTGAACTAAACAGTCAACAGTTTAAACAGCAACAGTTGAACGAAACAGTCTGTGAACGATATGTATCAGTCAGTGAACGAAACAGTCTGCGAACGACATGTATCAGTGTGTGAACCAAACAGTCAGTCAACGAAACGTCAGTCAGTGAACGGCATGGTGAACAAAATGAACTACTTCTGAATGACTTTATTCAGGCAGAGGAGGGAGGGGTGTAGTGTCGTTCACTTACTGCTGCACACCGTTTTATTCACTGAGGCTAAGATAAAACAGTGCATTATAGTGCCTTTACATTAACACACATTTATAAACTTTCCTGCATGAAGGATTTAATTCCAGTCGATTTAAAGCAATACACTATCTGATATCTTTAAACATAGCAGAATCCCCGCTACAGCTGCGATGTTTATTTATCTTTAGTCTCTTCACTTTTCTGCGATACAAAAGAACGACAACTCCCGCTTGTTTAGTGGGCGTGCTGCTTGCTGCTGTGTTGTTTTCGCCAACAGCGATACACAGAGGTTTAACAAATGAACTTGCCGCTGTGTCACTTACTCGTGTACTGCACCGGCAGGACGGGGCTCTGAAGCACTGACTGATTCAGTGGACTTTTGAACATATGAATCCTTTTAATCAATGGATTCTAAAGATTCAGTACAGTCAAAAGAACTGTTCTTCCCATCACTTATACTGATGCCTCTCTATGACCCACAAAGATCATACAAAAGATCATCAGCAGCAAGATTAAAACTTTGAATGCCTAAAACTGCTGTGAGGAGGTCACTTTTAGGTAAGATATTTGACAGTGTGTTGAAAAAGACAGTATTTCTCTGCATTTGACATCAAATATTCACAATACAAGCTCAGAACAAACTGTTTTACTGTGTTTTACGCTTATGAACTTTGTGGAAAACAAAGCTGTTCACTATTTTTTTTTTTTTTTTTTGGGGGGGGGGTGATGTATATGTCTACTACATTTTATCGATTATCAAGGTGGCTATCATGCAGTGCCTCAGTATTTATAACAAGAACCTTTGGCAAACTCCAGTAAATTAGACTGTGTAATCAAGCTACAACGTTGATTTCAGAAGGACATTCAACTAATTCTGTGCAAATAAGATAAGAATAACTTTATTTATACCTGAGGGGGAATTTGGTTATATAGTGTAACTATAAGAACTAACTATAATAAATTTGCTTTTTTTTTTGTTTGTTTTTTTGGGTGAATTAAATCGGGAACAACCCTAGAGACAAAGCCTTTTTTAAAAACCTATTTCTAAATCATTACATTGTAGTCATAAGAGGGAGTTGGCGCATGGGGAGGCTTTCAGGTGTCTTGAAACCTGGGCCCTTTTTTCTGTAACCTAAATGACTTATCGATGCAAAAGTGTTGGGAATGTTCTTGTTTATTGTTTCATCTATTTGAGAGTCACATAAAACTGCAGTACAGTTAAAGCAAATTCACTCAAATAGGCCTGTTTTGGTCACTTATAATAGGTCATTAAAACAGCCCATTATATCACAGGAATAATCCCACAGAGATGCAGCCTTATGTGAGGGCAGGATACCTAAATGTTACCGCAGCTGTTCACTTCGTTGTTCTTACCAAAGCCACTGCATGAAGAAAATAAGTTATCAGAGTCTGACTTTGGTTTGCAGACTTGAGCAAAATGAAACAAAAGGAGTAAGAGCTGAAAAAAATCAATGAGAGGAGAGCAGCTGCTACTGGGAACTTTAGTAAACCAGTAAACAGATGACTGCAGTTTTCTCAGAGGCAGCTAGTCAACATGGGAGCATGGGTGTAACTTTGGTCCTCGCTAATGAACGACTTTGGGAAGGGTGATTAGAGCAGCTCTCAAGGTTATCTGAAGCCAGTGCAGAGCAGCTGCAGCTGGACTGAGGTGCTTTCCTCTCCAGGATCTGATTAACCCAGGAGCTGAGGAGTTTTTTCAAAACAGAGGATTGATCAGTGTTTCAGCATACTTTTGAGCTATTGTTCTGTAGCCCAAGGATTAGAAGTTTTCAAATCATTGAAACACAGTTTTTGGTTTAACACTGATTGAAAATGATGAGTTTAAGGTCAAGAGAGGAACGTATTTTATTCACCCTACAGTCTTGCCTGTATCTGCATTTACCCATATAATGCTAATAATAATAATAAGGAAAAGAAAAAAAAAAACTGTTTAATTCTTCAGTAGCGGCCGGGCATGAATTTTTCCTTTTTCTGCTCCCAGCAGCAGCAGCAGCAGAGTGTAAGAAGCCAGAAAGGTCAAGAGCATCACCCTCTCTCTGAGCCGCACCGATATGTGAGCGAAAACATCTTTGCTGCAGGTTGTTTTTGCGTAAAGAGAAATGAGAAGAGAAACATGAAAGAGAAGTTAAGTGCAGAGGAGAACATGTCAGCTGGAGTTCAGGTTCACTTTGTCAGTGATGCCCAAACTTTTAGAGAGGTGGATGAAAAACAACAACTAAAACAACTAAAACAATATATAAATATAAATGTAAATTAGCTTAAACCAGAGTTAATCAGGGCACCATGAAGCTGTAAATTGAAGCTTTAACAGAGCTACTGTACAAGTGTCGAGCAAGAAGAAGGAAGACGAGGCCATCTGAACAGAGATGACTATTTACTCTTTTTATTCTTAACCTGAGCACCATCATGGAAGATTTCACCACAATTTCAGTTTTAATTCACTCTTCATGATGTCAAAAAATAGTTATGACTTATGAACAGCAATCCAAGTTCTGATGGGACATGAGAGCTCTAAGACAAAGATAAGAAGCTGTTGTGTGAATCTGGCTCTTTTAGAACAAGCAAACATAAATTATTCAAAGATAAGCGGCTTTACCTTGGGTGTAATACTTACTTTCCTAAATGAGAAAGTTGTGAGAAACTTGAGGAGAGACTTCTGATGAGTAATTGAATTCACAGCTTTGTGAGAGAGGCAGCTGCAGCTCCTGCTTTTAAAGAGCTTTTGAACATCACAGCCCATAAAATAAAGACAGATGATTTAGAAGTAATGAAAAGACCTAGGTAACACCTTTTTAATAAAATCACAAAAAGTGAGGGGTTATCCGTTTAACAACTATGCACATTGTTCTTCTAGTTCGATGGAGGCACACTTAAGAACACACTCATGGAAACCTGCAAACTTTGAATATAACTAATGTTATGTAGCTAATCACTGACCAAAAGTCGTAATTATTTTCTACTTTCTCTAGAGAACATCGGATTTGTTCTTTCACCAGACATTGATTTTTAAAGTTTAAATCTTAAAGGCTGATGAAATCAACCCTCTACTAAGTGCTAAAAGCCAACGAGAAGAGGTGGGTCTTAAGATGGGATTTAAAAACAGACAGAGAGGAGGCCTGTCTGATATGCTGAGGCAGGTTATTCCAGAGTTTAGAAGCTGCAACGGCATGATCCCCTCTGAGTTTCCGCTTTGTTTTAGGCTCTCTCAGGAGCAGCTGATCAGCTGACCTGAGAGACCGGGATGGAGTGTAAAAATGTAGAAGCTCAGAGAGGTACGGCAGGGCAAGACTGTTGAGGGATTTAAAAGCAAATAAAAGAATTTTAAAATGAAGCCTAAAATGTATAGGCAGCCAGTGGAGTGAAGCTAAAATGGGGGTAATGTGCTCATGTTTTCTAGTGCCAGTTAAAAGACGTGCTGCAGCGTTTTGCACCAACTGGAGCCGAGACATAGCCGACGCACTAACCCCCACATACAATGCATTGCAGCAATCCAGCCGAGTGGTAACAAAGGCGTGGTTTGCTGTCTCAAATTGCTGCCTAGAGAGAATTCGTTTTATTTTAGCTAGCTGCCTCAAGTGGTAGAAACTTGATTTAATGACCGAACTGATCTGGCTGTCAAGTTTGAGGTCAGGGTCCATCTTTACCCCCAGGTTTGTAGCGGATGGTTTCATGTTCTGGAACCAAGATCTGGCGTTGGGGGGGGGGGGGGGGTACGCCATGTTTCCTAATTATGGAGCCAAGCGGGAGCAAGTAAGGAGAAAAGAGGAGAGGTCCAAGCACTGAGCCCTGTGGGACCCCACATAAGAGGGGAGCAGAGGAGGACACAGAGTCGCCAAAGCTAACACAAAAAGTTCTGTCGGCCAAGTACGACCTGAACCACTCCAATGCTACACCCCTAATACCCACCCACTGGTCCAGGCGAGAAATTAGGATCTCATGGTCCACTGTATCGAAGGCAGCTGTTAATTCTAAAAGCACAAGAATCACAGAATCACCGGAGTCTGTAGCTAAAAAGATGTTGTTAAAAACTCTTAAAAGTGCAGATTCGGTACTGTGCAGAGATTTAAAACCCGATTGGAAAATCTCGAGAATGCTGTGCTCTTCCAAAAAGGTCATTAATTGACTGTAAACCACCTTCTCAATAATCTTTGATGGAAAGGACACTTTAGATATGGGCCTGAAATTGGCAAGAACAGCAGGATCTAGCCCTGTTTTTTTAATCAGTGGTTGCACCACTGCATGTTTAAAATTTGTGGGGACCGCACCTGAGCACAGATTGCTATTAATAACTGCAGTAACATATGGTCCTAAAGTAAGGAAAACCTCTTTAAAAAGCCGAGCAGGAATAGCATCAATAGGGGAACCAGAGGGCTTCATATGACCAACAATCTCCTGTAGAGAAGACAGCGACACAGGCTCAAACTAGTTAAAAACAGCAGAGCAGGTGACAGAGATTGAGGGGTCATAAGCAGGGGGAGAAATTAGAGCCCCGGTAGAAGAGACCTTGTTGATAAAGAAGTGAAGAAAGTTTTCACAAACAGCAGGGGAGGCCTCCATGCATGCTGACTGTGGGGCATTCAGAACAGAGTCAATAGTTTTAAACAATATGCAACGCTTGTGACAGTTCGACAGGATAATGTCAGACAAATGTTCTTTTAGCAGCTTTCACAGTTGTTTGATAACGCCCCAACAGTCCCTTAACATTTGAAAAGACACCTGCAGTTTGTCCCTCTTCCAGTTAAAGTTGAATTCCACTGTGAAACACCTTTGCAATGTTGACCCAGTGTTAAGGGAGTATGGAGGTCAAAAAAATGTTTGTACATTATATAAGAACATGTTTTGTAACTTAGTGCATGTCGTAAAATAACATAAGTCAGCAGTTGACCATGATGGAGAATATTGAATGACAACAGAAGACCACTATCCCACTGCACTTGGCATGGCAGCCTCAATAACAAAAATCAGGCTTTAGACACAAAGTTCTCCCTGCAGATTTCCCACAGCAGACTTTCAGTTTGTGCAGGACCACAGACTGAGCGCACAGCTTCTTTAAACCCTTTCATGCTGTAATATTTTTTAAAGTATGATATGAGTACAGATGGTTACGCAAGCTGGTATAACAGAATTGGCAGAAGTGCTGGAAACCAAAATTTGGAGATAAAACCTGGACAGCCACCTGCCTGACGAATCTGTTCCCTGAGGGGGGGAAGAGGAGATGAAAAGAAGCAGCAAATAGATCAGCAGCAACACTCTGCATATCAGACAGGTAGGAGGAAAATATTCAGGTCCAGAGGTGCTGGGGCACTTGTCCTGACTGAGCCGGATGCAAGGAGCAGAGCCAGGATTTCGCATCTGACAAGGAAAGGTTCAAGTATGCACTTGGCTTGTGAGTGCTGAAATATTGGCTCAAAAATGTACCAGCTGGACGTGAGAAGCTTTGAGTTCACCTGAAAGAGACACAGTGAACAACACATGCACAGACATCTGCAGGGGAGACCCAAAAACTACCCATTATCGGATTTATTGAGTGAGGTTGTTTGGGGTCATAAGGGCTGCAATCATTTTGTTTGTGTGCAAGTCTGTGAATGTGTTTGATTTTTTGGTGTCTGGCTGTATTTGCAGTCTGAGAGCAGGACAGTCTTTCTGTTTGATCATAGATCAGAGGAACTGTGTGGCCATCACAGCTCTGCCTGCCATTATTTATTGATGAAACAACAATTTCAGCAAGAACACACACACACACACACACACACACACACACACACACACACACACACACACACACACACACACACACACACACACACGTCTCCCCACTTTACTTGACAAGGACAGCTCAGATCCTTTACTAACACATGAGCCCTGAGCTGCATGTGAAGCCTCCTTCTCATAATTCACATTAACAAGGTCACTGAGAGGCTATAATTACACAACAGTGGACACACACAATCTGTCAAAGGCCAGGGGTCTGTTCACACATCACAGCAGCGAAAGCAGCTGTTATGATTTCAAATATCTTTGACTCTATTTAACGATTCTTTTTTTTTTAATAATCTGATTGAAAGCATACATTAATACCTAGATAACCAATATGTGAGATAAAGCAATGAATTAAATCATAAAATCACCTGAATACACCATCAAACATTGAGGAAACACTGAATGTTCAAATACTGGCTCTTCTGACAGCAGCAAGCCCGTTACCATCTGCCAGCTAAGCATACAGGCGCCGCCACTCTGACTGATGTACTGAGGCAGCCGCATCACGCATCACTAAACTACAGAAGTGCGTCCACACTGTCGTTGTAGGGCATTCTGGGAAGACACTCTTTCACTCTCCTGTGTCTCTACAGTTTTTACTGTTTTACCAAGAGTTCTCCCACGTAACAGATGATAAAAAACAGATGAAACCAGTTTCCACATCTGCCTGTGTTCTTTAACATGGTGGCTTGCCCACAATAAAAAAGCAAAAGCACTGAGGTATCACAGCAGCAGGAGAAAACAGCCAATGCTGTATCTCCATGTATGTGCCTGAGGGGATCCTCACCAGTGATCCTGTTGGCTTGAATCTAAAGGATGTCCTCATGTTGACGTGTTGTGATTATATGACTGTGTAAGAATGAGGTCTAAGTCTTTTTAAAGCACTAGATAAACGAAATTGTATAATGATAATAATAATAATAATAATTATTATTATTATTATTGTATGCCTTTCTATCGTGGGGAACTTAAGCTTCACAGGTATGCCAGCTGTGTTAGTCAGAAAAAGGAACCAAACAGGAACTCCTGAAGAGTGTAGGTTCTGCCCCATTAACCAGGCCTCGCTAGACGTCAGTGAAGAATCAGAATCATCCCTGAAAAACTGCACACCATTTGTGACATGTATTGTATACGACATGTTGGACGTATTGAATGAGTGAAATGATATTAAAAATAACTACTTCATTTCTCAGAAGCGTTTTGAAGCTGCCTCTGACTTGTGACGCTATGACTTACTTTTATTTTAAATATAACGTTCTCCTGGTTGATCTTGAGCTACCAAACTTCCTTGAAACAATTAAAGAGAACAGTTACAAAGTACTAATATTAGATTAGATTCACTTGACTCTAAAAAGTTTATTATATTCATAAGTATTGCTGGAGAGCTTGTGACTGCATCTGTCTGCTGTTTTTGCACATTGCTCCTCCACACTTCTGCATCAGGGATTGTGTGCCAGGTCATCACAAAAAAAGGAACATAGAGAAGAAAAGCATTCCACATGCAAACTTAAAACATTTTATTACTTAATAATTCAACGCTGTAATAAGAAAATGTTGTTGGAATATTTCTTGAAAAAGGTAAAGAAAAAAAACTGTCTTTTGTGCTTGCTCTCTCATGTCAGCACCAGCTGTCAAAGTCACTTTAATAATAATAATTATAATAATTCATTTTATTTGTACAGCGCTTTTAAAAACACTCAAAGACACTTTACATAGTACAAAAACCCAAGGTAATAAAACAAAGACATAACAACAGTAGAAATAAAATGAATAAAACAGTTAGATATTAAAAGCAATTTTAAATAAGTGAGTTTTTAAAAGGGATTTGAAAGCAGTGGGGTCAGGGCAGTGTCTGATGGAGGGTGGTAGGGAGTTCCAGAGGGTAGGGGCAGCTGTGGAGAATGCCCGCTCCCCCCAGGTTCTGTGCTTGGGTCGTGACTTTGGGGTGAGGAGATGAGCAGAGGAGGATCAGAGGTTACAGGGGGGTGCATGAGGCTGGAGCAGGTCGGTGAGATAACACTAGAAGGACCAGCTTTTGCTGTTCCTACCTATAAAGACCAAAGGGCAGCCAAATGGCTTGGAGGGCTTTTAGCCAGTACTAAATCACCTGTGAACACTCAGTTTGTTATGCAAACGAGGCGATCGCTGGCGCACCACAGGAGGGGATATGCTGAGTTACTCCAAGAAAACTTGTGTTGTTGGGAGAGGGAGTGGGGAGGGGGAGGGGAGTTTCTAACCTGAGAACAACTGTAGACAGAAACTGCTTCAGCCATAGCCACTGCACAGACAGTTTGGGCCTCTGTTTGTTTTGTTCGGTTCTACTTCTCCTGATGTCCCTGCACCTCAGCAGATGGAGAACCAACAGCTAAGGCCAGGAGGTCCATCTTGACTGGTCTTCAGAGCTTCCTGTGTTTCATCACACTGGACATGCTTGGTTCTATTCAAGACTGTACTGTTCAACCGCAGTGAGCGCACAAAGACTGACAAGTTTGCTGCAATTTCTGCCGTGTGGTCGTCATTTGTCACCAACTGCATCACATCCTACAACTCTGGTCGACACATCACCACTGACGAACAGCTTTTCCTGTCAAAGACTCGCTGCTGTTTCCTGCAGTACGTTGCAATGAAACCTGACACGTTTGGGATCAAGTTTTGGGTGGCTTGTGACTTGAAATCCAAGTACATCTGCAATGTCCTCCCATATCTTTGCAAGGACCCCAGTCATCCCAGTGGGGAGAGACTGTCCGATTTAGGATATTAGCTAAAATCCTTCCAGCCGATCAGCTGCCCCGTGGACCTTGAGGGGGGTAAAGCCAAATGGCTGCTCTGTGGTCCTTCTAGTGATAAGGGGGGGCTTGTTGATGAAGGGCTTTGTGGGTGAGAAGGAGGATCTTGAACATGATGCGTTGCTTGATGGGGAGCCAGTGTAGACGGAGGAGGACAGGGGTGATGTGGTCTCGTGAACGGGTGTGGGTAAGGAGGCAGGCGGCAGAATTCTGGACTATCTTTGTTGAGGAGTTTGGAGGGTAGACCGTACAGGAGGCTGTTACAGTAATCTAACCTTGAGGTGATGAACGCGTGGACCAGGGTGTCTGTTGCGGGGAGGGAGAGAGATGGGTGAGGACGGGCAATGTTTTTGTGGTGAAAAAAAGGCTGATTTAGTGACCTGTTTGATGTGTTGTTCAAAGGTGAGGTGAGTACCAGAGATGAGTCCAAGGTTGCGGGTGAAGGAGGAAGGAGACAGAGATGAGTTATCAGCTGTGATGGAGAAGAGGGGGATGGATTGGGTTGATGGACTTTAGCGAGCTATTAGTTTCCTGATAGCATGGCAGCTAACAGTAAATAAAGAAGACTAAACGTGTTTGGTGCCTGAAGCACTGTCCTTCATGAGCTCCTCCAAAATAATGCTGTTTTCAGGACTCTCCTAAACTCTGTTTGACAATTTCATTTCTTTGCCCACTCTGTTCCTCTCTACTTCCCCTTCCCCTGCCCCCACTAAGTAGAACAGTGACATCATCAACAGGTCAACTCTGATTGGTCCCTAGTGGTAAAATCCTGTAGAGCTAAGCTCAGCTTTGACCTTAGTAGAAATAACTTTTTTTGGAAGATAATCAGTCACAAAACAGATAGAATGAGGAAAAAATGACGACATTTTGTGGAAAGCATTTGATAGAACCTTACAATTCCAGTGAGACAAAATTTAATAATGAAAGATCTATGACAGATTTGAAATTATTGTTAAAATGTAAGTGATGGTGTTTGACACTAATACCACCCTGGAGTCTGATAAAGGCTTGGGATTTTTGGATGCCAACAAATTTGTTAAAATTAAAATTACAAGTCTGTCGCACCATTGGTTTTCCTAAATATATGTTCTGCATATTTGCTAAAGCTTATAAGGTTGTGTGATGAAGCACTTACGACTTCTAAGCATTTCTTTCTCAAATCGCTGCTGCCATCACATAGATGACTGTGGACAGAAGCATAGTGATACATTTCTCATAAGTGATTTCGTGTGGCTACCTTTTTTTTTTTTTGGCTTTGATATAATATGTGTCAAAATTCTTTGTTTATGGATGGGGAGGAAGAGACGAAGGATATCAAACAGGCATACACAGAGATAAAAACAGGCAGACAGACAATCAGATAGACACACACAAAGTGATAAATATTTTCAAACAAACATGAAGAGAGGACTTCCTCATAGATTTTCTGTGGAAGTGGCTATCCCCACAATCCAGGAGATGAGTGAGGGGGAGTCTGATGGGATGGCAGTGATTTTGACAAGAGCATAGAGGATGAGACTTTGGCCTCAAAGCCTGAACCACAGCCAAAACAAATCCAAACCTTTTGAGCCAACTGTCAGGTTTACAGCCTCATCCAGGAAGGAAGGAATCCTGAATAATGTATATATATATATATATATTAATAACTAATTACGGTTGATGTCGGCACAAGTTATTGGCTATAACTGGCACAGCATAGCAGTCTGACAAACTGTGAATATGAGGCTGCATGCATGTTTATAGGTAATCCTCCTCACAAGAAAAAAAGACCCATAGGAGGTTTTCACTTGACGTCACTTCCGTGTTACACGGCACATGTGCAATACAGATGGAGGGCAGGAAGTGAGTTGCTGCTATAGAGACCAACAACATGTTGATATTTTGCTCCGTTTACGGCTGCTTGAATCGAATACGACCTCAGATCAGACGAGACGACCTGCTGAATTTAAGCAAATTACTATGCGGAGGAAAAGAAACTAACCAGGATTCCCTCAGTAGCGGCGAGTGAAGAGGGAAGAGCCCAGCGCCGAATCCCATGGACGGTGTGAGGCCAGTAGCGGCCCCAGTCGCTACGGGGTATGGTCTTCTTGGAGTCAGGTTGTTTGGGAATGCAGCCCAAAGCGGGTGAAAAACTCCATCTAAGGCTAAATACCGGCACGCATCTAAACCGGTGCAATACGACCTTTCCCGCTACTCCTCTATTGCAGTCGGTCACTTCCTGCCCTCCATTTGGTCCTCGTGCGAAGTCAGGATCACGTGACTGAAAACCTCCTATTCCAACAGAACACCATTATGTGACACTGGACTCTGACATCACTGAGGCTTCATCTTCGAATAGGACAATAGTCTTTGAAAGGCAGTTTATACATGTTTATTCTCCATAAAATATGCCGACAAACTTATAGCAAACAAGCACAAACCTTGGTTGTCTTTTCCCATCAGCAGACACACCTGCTGACATGACAGCAGCCAGTCTGCAGGACTCACTGTCCACAAATAAAGGCAGGCTTTATTTCTGCCTAAACTTTGCTTCAGCTCACCAAACTCACACATTTTGTTGGCACATATTATTTGATTACAAAAATGATAAAGAAAAAAAGCCAAATGTATTCTAACAATAATAATCCTATGATTTGTTATACTGTTGGCATCCTTTTCCTCTTTCTTTTATGAAACTTTGGTAATTGTGCAGCCTCTTATCAGGTATCTGTACAATTATTTTTCAGTTGTGAGGCTGTGTGAGCAGGTGTAAGATGGGACTGTGTGGGAGGTCACCGAGCCTGGCTGGAGAGTGCAGTCCCAAAATGTGCTCAGAGTCCGGGACCCGCGGCTCACATGAAGTGAAACCTGAGTTGAAGGCCTTGGACTTGTTGTCAGGAAGCTGGGTTGTAAAAACCTTGACAGATGAAGAAAGGACGTGAAAAAAAAGCCAAAAGTTTCCTATCGTACAAGCACACAGCACAGAGCTATAAAAGTGAAAATGTTTTCATTGTTTGACATACATCCCGTTGGCTTCTTGCTGACACATTTTGTCCAACTTTCCCTTACATAGTCATCCACCAGGAGATAACCTAATAGTAAGGAGCTGAAAGGGAAATTCGCCACCTCCCTGGCCAAGGTACAGTGCATGCTTCTGTCAATAATTTGATTCTTATCGGTTGCTTGTAAACTGGGACAGGGACAGTAGTTCAGTAAAATCAGCTGATCTAGGTGTGATTGAACCCTACATGTAAATCTCCTGACTGAGTATCAGGTAGCTGGACGACAAGGAGGCAGTAAACAAGTTGCACAAGGAGATATGGCGATAATAAGAAACATTACAACTTAAATATTGTTTTTAAAATTATGATGGTTTATAGACACCATACAGTTTCAATTGCATATGTATATTGAAATATACATGTATTTATGTACCACTTTATCTCCAAATCTGTGTCTGGTAAAGTGTTTGATATCCACATTAAACTGTATTCTTCTATTATGTTCTCCCCTTCACTCTCCCCTCCTTTATTCATTAATACTAAGCCAGTGCTTTGCATACTTTAACCCCTCTGTGTAAACATTAAAGCACATGAATCAAAGGACCTTCTGTTCTCATTTTGGCCCCATCAGCTGGGCCTGTTTTCTCTCTGGGCTGTCACATCTGATTAGCTGTTATCTGGCCCTCAGCAGTGCAGGCACCGGCCTCTCTACTCTGTGTCACTGCTCACACTGCTGCAAGGCCAGGATGAGGTCATTTTTATTACTGAGGAACTTCTTCCACAGGGCAAAGTCATATAGAGGGTGACACAGTGAGGTAGACGACTTTGAGACAAATGTTACTGTCTCACTACTTAAACCAAGAAACGGCTCATCATTGGCAAAGGAAGTTTGGATTCAAATGAGGTAAATGGAAAAATTGACTAGCAACTTGTGCTTGTCACCTTGAGACCACAAAACAATCATGTACCAGTCAAAGCAAAAACAAGCTGACAAACATTACTGCCTTTAAAAATGTTTTGTAAACTTTTGCTTGGAATTGATCTGATTACGTTGTAATGCGCACCATCTTTCAGAAGGACATGCTGGGAGCGAGGCTGGCCTGGAACTCTTTGGTCTTGGTCATTTTGACTGGTATCTCCAGTCTCATTTTTCCATGATTCTATTTCCTTCTCTTGGATGTATTTTTTTTCACGTAAAAGCTTCTGGTTGAAAAAATAAATCCACATTGTCTCAAAATTTTAGCTTTAAATCTAACAGGGAGGCTGCAGCAACTTGCTTTATATTTAAGTGGCACAGTCCACTGCTAAAAACAAATCTTAGCATTTAGAAGTACAGACAGTCCCACACATTGAAAATCATTGTCTTATACTCTAATAATGTTACTGCACCTCTAAAAGAGTAATGGGCCTTTGAGTGCTGTTTTAAAATGACCCTCTGGGCCTGTTTCTGATCCTTAAAATCATCTGTTCATTGGTGTTTAGTGATAACAGATGAAGGCTTTGGCCAGAACAGCTTATGTACAAGCTTTAATTAGACTGATTTAATTACACTTTAATGATAGCTACCAGCTGTAAAGCAGCTAAAGGACATCTGTTTTAACATAAACTTGCCAATTTTGGCTTAAAATACTTACAGGAGCAGCACATTATCACAGTCCCTCAAATTAGCTCAGATGGCATCCAGTTACTTACCTGACAGTGAAATGGATTTTTGTTGTTATAAATAACAAAGCCTAAATGTGAGATACAGAATATCCAGGTGGTCAGTAAAAACTTGTGTTTAAAAGTTAAATGTGTTTAAGAATGAATAGAGTCAACATGGTGCAATGTTCTTGAGAAAGATACTCTACCTAACCTTAGATTGATGAACCACATGTCTGTATGGTTCTTTGTGTTGCAGCCTGGCATTAAGGTTAGTCTAGTATAGCCAGGAGTTGGTTCAACTCCTGTTTTTTTAAATGGACAAATCTCTCACTTTGGTCTGTCAGGGCTCTCTGGCGCGGCGCAGCACATCAACACAGTCACTGTGATAATGAAACCTGCACACAATGGCGCGTGGACAATCACCGGGTTTGGGTTTGGGCTGCAGGGTCCGGTGGGACCGGTCCAACAGTGGCTCCTTTTCCAGACCAAACGCCTCCTTCAGCAAGGCATGAAACATGAAAGAGGAGAAATATTAGAAAGATTTGAAAATTTTTCCGAGCTGAAAGTGGATATCCTCACATCTGTGGTGGAAACTAACAAGGATTTTGCTCTTTGGAAGCATCAAAACTGGTATAAAAGCAGTCCTGGAATCTCCTGTCTGGAGCAGGATTATGGTGGCGGTGAATAGTGCTGCCACGAAATAGGGGACCGTGTCTGAAGTTTAAATAAATTATTAGTCAATAAGTTGAGTCTGACAGAGGCTGAACAAAAATAATTATTAACGTAAACCAAACGGTGTGTTGCTGCCCCTGAGGCACATTTTTATGGATTTCTATTGGATTTTTATCACTGATTAAATATCAAGAGCACTTTCTGAACTTTACATGTCAGAATCCAGCGAAAAGGTCCTGTCTCCTCCGTACAGTTCCTTTGTGGAGTCTCTCCTCGTTATTGTTCTCCGGGCATCGGGTCCTCACGTTGCACTGGCACAGCCAACGGCACTACATTCGCCAGTGCAACATTGTGCAAAACTGTACTGGCTCAAATGATGTCCCACACCCTTTCAGGAGTGTACAACAACGTCCCCACTGCTGGGCCGAGACAGAGCTACCTGCCTTTTAGGAGTCAAACATGGCACTCCACAGTGGCGCGTGTGTGCGCAATGTTTAAATGGTACTCCTGCTCTGTAGCAGTGTTTCTGGGCAGTTATCAAATAGACCTATTCACTAAGGACATAACATATTTATTTTATTTTATTTTATTTACGTCTTAATCTTTAATTAAATCTGGCTGATTGTGCTTAATGACGGGTTTGAGGTTTGTTTATCAATTATTTTGAGATGGACATTTGTTGCACCACAGATCTACACTGACTCAAACTTGCGTACACGATGTCAGACCTGTCGTAAGATTTGGTCGTAGTGTACGCTGACGTGCAGATTGATAAATGCCGATCCTCATGTAGCAACTTACGCACGCAAGGTGTATGTGAGTTTTCTGCCGTACGCAAGCTTGATAAATGAGGGCCAGTGTGTGTTCTCCTCTGGTGTATGATTGTGAGTGATGTTTGGTGGTGGTTTGAGAGGTGCAAACTGGCAGCCACATTTCTGTAAGTCTGCCCCAGGGCAGCTGTGACTACTAAGGTAGTTTACCACCACCAAGGTGGGACTGTGTAAGCAAATGAATGATGTAACCAAATAAAAGCGCTGTGAGGCTCTCTGATAAAGTGCTATTTGAAATCTGATGAATTATTATTATTTATTAAAACCACACCTGACACACAAGTGCACAATGTCCTGACCTGACAGACCAATGACATGTTATCAGCACTTACTGGCATGTTTTTGTTGGGGTTTTGAGCCAGTTCTATGTCGTTATGGAGATAGAGGACTATCCCAAAACGCCTTTGGATTGGACAAGGATTTTGTTTGATGTATTCATTTTTGTACATACTGTATAAATAGAAATTTTTAATGTAGAAATAAAAAAAATTTAAAATATAAAACTAAACATTTTTTTTAAATATTCATATAACTGTGGACATAACAAGAGACTTTCTTTTTCATGTCAGACTTGAACCAGAATTTTTGAGATTTAAGTTAGTTGTTCAAAAATAAGGCCAGATCTAAAAAATGTTCCTTTTGTTTGTCATCTGCCTTCTTATTGTCCTCTGCCATATTACTATTTAGTCATAGGTATAAACAGTATATTTGGGGTAGATTATTTTTTACATCAGGAGTGTCAAAGTTTTACTTACCCTTTTGCCATTGTTGCGCTCCAGAAACACTGCTTACATGGAGCTGGAGCTTCTTTGTACTTAGCTTAATGATGTACAAACACAGTAATAGTATAATGTCCGTGTAACAGCTTTCAAGTCCATAACTTGTCCAGAAGTTACAGGAAAAAAACCTGATAACTAAATGCAGATCAGTGGGTCTATATTTAGCTTACATGTGTCGAATAATCCTCCTTGGAAACTCCAGTAAAGCATGCTGAAGTCTTTTGACTGACTGACGCATCATAAGAGAGACATAAGCTGTCAGCTTGGCCTGTCTCACCTGTCAGGGTGCAGTTCCATTAATCATGGGAGAGCTGCTTCCATTTGGCCGGGGCCTAAAACACCTGTGGCATGGGGCCAAGCTCTCTGCTGTGAGCTGAATCACACCTGGAAGTGCTCCACGTCAAGAAGCTGCTCTGAGGGGCACACATTAGAGTGGATGGATGTCCTTCGTCTTTCTTTAAAGTTTGATGAGATGAAACTTTCACCACGGTCCTGTAGGATGAAGAGGCTTTTGTCTGCCGGGGAAAAATATTGCAGAAGCTTGATGTCAGGGAGGATATTAAAGACATCTGGACGCAATGATTTAAAATTCATGGTGTAATTGGTGTGCCTGTTGTCTCAAGGTTAGACTCAAGGTGGGATAAGGACAACACAACTTACCTTAAACACACTGGACACCAGAGGAGAAAGGGACACTGCTAAGTAGTCAATATAAATTGTCATTCAGACTTAAATTGGGCAGGTCTAAAAAATGTAGTTTTACTGTATGTTATCTTAGCATCTCTTTTTTTTATCAAGTATTTGAAACTTTCATTAAGTTTACATGCATAATAAAGCTAATTGAAAATTCAGCCAACAGCGATAGTCACCTTTTTATTTTGTATTTTCACTTGTGGAAAACTTTGCTTGTAACGTTATTGGCATTCTTAGTTCTCTGCTGTTCAATACAGCAGAGAACTGGTGTTTAGTAGCATCCTGTAATACTTGCCTCTGCATTTTCTCTTTTTTACAACAATGAAGAATCGTGTGAATGACGACATGTCTGTGACTTCTCTTGAAGGTTTTGAATTTCCCTCCAGGGATCAATAAAGTTCTTATTTTATCTTACCTTAACTTGTTAGCCATATGTTGATTTGGATATGGATATGCACACTGAGTGGCTGCAAAAGCATGCTGGATACGTAAGGCAGACCAATTTAGTGGCCACTTTTTAACAGCTATTAGGATATCATCATGTAGTTGTGCACTTACAGAAGAATATAGTGGATTATTTTTAAATGCATAAACCTTGTGAAGTACCAGTTGGCTAGAAAACACTGTGGGCTCTATTTTCGTGCCTCGCCGGCGACGTGGTGCATGCGCGGCGTAAGTCAGGTCCGCCGCGCCGTCAAGGCGTTCCCAAGCACAATTTGGTATTTTGGTGAGCGGCGCAGCCCGGTGTAAGTATCCCCCCTCCCTAACTCAGCTCCTCCCAGCGGCGTAAATCGTAGAGGGAGGAGAGAGGGCGTGGAGTGGGTTTAACACAGCCGAGACCTGTTTTCACCAATCACATAAGCTCCTCTCCTCACCTTTAAATCCACCACCGGCGAGGTGTATTACTATTTTCGTTAAGTATTCAAAGAGATGATGCCTGAAGACAGTAATGCCACACGATGGCGACAGAAGGCAGCCCCTCAACAAGTGTCACTGTAAGCACTGCAGCGGGTGTCCTGCACACTCTCTCATATGAGCACAGATAGATTTGGTGTGTGTAAGTTTGGACCCACTAGTAAGACAAACACCCTTTTCCACAAATAAAGACACTCACATAATGTTGCACATATTCAAACCTCACGTGACAAAGGTGGGTTGTGCGCACAGATCACATCATAAATTCCAAAAATGGCATTAAAATCTGAGCCATCTGTGCGTAAATTACGCATCGCGCTCCGTGGCCTGGCTCTTTCTTTCATAGATGTTGGCATATAAAATAAATTTGGCTCACAAAAATATTAGTATGTAGTCTTAAAGTAAATGACTCATCTGATCACTGAAACAAATCATCTGTTCAGCTGCCGCAGCAGCAGCAGGACGGGAAGAGGACACAGAGACATGTCCAGGTCGAGCTGGGCAAGAAATAAGAGGAAGCATAAGAAAGAAAGGGAGGGAGACGAATTACATATCTTGTTCACTTCATCATGTGTGTCTATTTACTAGGTATTTAATTTAATTTAATGCGGTTTCAGCTGTGTTAATTCGGTCAGGTTGTGTGTCCAAATGCGTGCCAAATGCGCTCATCAGATCAGATATGGATCAGAATATATCTATGTGGATCTAAATGTATGTGCTGACTCAGATTATTAGTTGTTGTTGTTTATTTATTGCACTGAAATGTGTCTGATACCGTGTAAACCTGCTGGTGAGGCATCGGTGACGTATGCCGATACGCCGCCGGTCTACCAAAATACCTCTAGACCAGCTGTGTTTCGCCTGCGCTGAAAGCTGACCAGGTTTGAATTGGCGAGCTGTCAGCGCACTTTATATGACGGTGGCGAGCATGAAAATGTCACTGCGCCTGCTGATTCTGTCGACACCTCCCCCTGCCATGTCCAGCTTCGCGGATCTCGGTGCGCCTCAGTCCATGAAAATACCAAACTGGCTGTACGCCGGGCTCCACCGGTCAAAAATACAACTGCGCAGGGTCCGCCACCCTCCGCCGCCTCACCGGCATACACGAAAATAGAGCCCTGTGAATCAAGACAATAAGTGTGCAGCGGAGCCAGAGTGGCAGGATAAACTATCATAACTATTATAGCTACATCTGAGGCCTTCATGCAGGAAGTGTCACATAACCATCCAGGACACAAACTGGACTTGAATTCTGTTTCTCACCTCTCTCTTTCAGATACCTTTACTCACCACTCCAGAGATTTAGCTCTCAGTTTATGACAGCTTGACTTTGGAAGAAGCACTCATCTTTATTTACTTGAGTCATTTGGCTGTTAAATAACTTGAAGTCCTTTTCTTGTTGATGTTCTGTTTCCAATAACTGAGTTACATTTTTTTGCTTGTCTTAGTTTATTTCATTCTTTAAACGTGTTACAAGGTGAAAGCATTTCTCATCAAGTGTTAACATTTATGTGGCGTGTTAATCAGAAGGAAGAATGAGAAAGTGAGCTACACACCGAGTCACTTTGGCTGTTACTCACCTTATTTTTAACACATCTTAATTGCTTTTGGCATTTCAACATGAAAATGAAAATACCTCAGAGCATAACTGTCAAGTTTTGAATTACAAAATAAATTTCCTATACCCTCTTTTCTGCGCAATCACAGACGACAACTCACTACTACAAGTTGGTGATCAAGTTCAGTTTGGAGAGGCAAAGTATTATTATTTAAATATTTTATAATACGGGAGATTGACAGAGAATATTGATACTGGAAGACAGTGGGAAAGAGGGGTAAAATACAGTCGTTTCCTGCCCCAAACAGGATACGTGACAGCTATGTCTGAGAGTCCCAGACTGATTTTCTTTCTTTGATGGATGCTGGCCTGCACAAAAACACAGCTTAAACTCCCTTTTCCCTGAACATGGAGCATTCAGGAGCTTTCTTTCTCTTCTTTGGTTTGTTTGTTTTTAAAGACCGACATGAATGATAATGCTGCTGTGAAGCCAATGAACTTACTGTTGTTGCAACTGAAACCACATTACTACCCCTCAATTTGTTAGCAGCAAAAAGAATTTGACTCGATCTCCTTTAAATGAAAACAAATCAGAAAAAGGCTCTGAAGCTGAATTCATTAAGATTTTGTTTAGATTAAAGACTTGAGATTGAATTCAAGCCTTTTCTGCATCTACTGATACCGTGATACTGGAGTCATTTCTTGTATTTGTTAAATAATGTTGAACAATCTGCAGCAGTTATCAGCCCTTTGTGTTTAAAAACAATTTTTTCTTTAAAATATGGATAAGTTTGTGGAGGAGCCTGTTCAGTCTATTTCTCAAAACTTTGGAAATACTTTTAAGCTCTGTGCAAAGGAAGAGCATATTTTTATTTTGGGATCTTTGCCTTTCTTATGGATGACTGTTATAAGAAAGGGACCTGGAGGGTGTTTTTGTTTTGGTTGCAGGTTTTAAAACCTCTGTGAACAGAGGAATGAGCAAGGTCTTTTTGAAGTATATCAATACATGCACAAACAACTATCCCTTGAAAACTCCATGGTAAAAGTGTATACTTTTGCTGTGTGTATATATACATGTTTTTGATTGTTCAGCGTAATATCTAACTCCAAGATGCATTCAGTCAATAACGTTTGAAAGTCCTGCATGAGCCTCATCTGCCTCCATCTTTTTACAATAAAGTTCTGCCTGAGATGGGAAGATTTTGCAGGAGGTTGGACCATGTCCAAAAAGAGTTGCCATGGAAACAATCAATCAGGATCTGGTCTCCTGTTGAATGCGCTGGTCTTAAAGTAACTCCCTGAATCACTCACCCATCACAGTAGAGGTGGTCTAGGCTCATTATGGCAGGGCAGTGGTTGTAGAACAACATGAACAACATGGATCATGCCAGCATGTTCCACTTCCAGTTACAACTTTTGTTACAAAAAAAAACATAAATTCCAAAATATAGGTTTTTGCATCAGAAGTTAACTCCATTTGTGTTTTTGGATTTAGTTATAGAGTTTGTTTCAAATAAGATTAGATACAATCTTATAATAATTATATTAATCAATTAATAATTATATTAATTGGTATACTATCGGAGACACTACTTCACAAATGTAGACTAAAATGGTTGTTATCCACTAAAACTAGACTAAAACCACAAATTGAGAGATGGGATTTAAACCTGTTCCAGATCAGACCCTGTTTTAAAGGTTTTAAATTAATAACATAATTTCCCTCCATGCTTACTGATTGGCTGTCAAAAATTTTCCCCGCAGAACAATCAGGGGACATAACGAGATGCAGGGAAGAGTGGTACAAGAAGCTGTTTAGAGCCACATAATATTATTGTGTTTATAATATCAGCTTTAAAAATATAACAAAGCAACTTTTCACCTCAGTGTAAAATTCACTCACTTTGTGAGACTGCCCTTTTTTTCCAGAGATTTTTCCAGATCTGATCCAACAGAAACAGTGGCACTCTGTCACCATTGATAAAAATTTACAATAATTTCAGTGAGGTAGGACAATTTCATGTACAGGCCGACTTTTTACATAAAGGAAATCCACAGAAATTGATAATGAATTGGATCAAATTGATACTGGCATCAGCATTGATAACTCATTCATCATTTTTCAGTGGAAAAAGACTGAACAGCATTTTCATCCAGAGATTAAGACTAAGAAGATGCTAGATTGGGACTTTTTGCAGAGAATCAACTCAGCTCAACTCAACTTTATTTGTAAAGCACTTTAAAACAACCACAGCTGAACAAAGTGCTGTACATAAATAGACAAAACAACGCAGACGTAAAAAAACAATTAAAAAATGGATAAAATAAAAGCAGAATTAAAAAGTAAAATATAGCTTCAATGTTTTTAAAAACTAATTTAAAAACATAGAGACAAATAACTAAAAACAAAACATAAAACAGGAGCAGAGTCTCATGCAGGGTTAAAAGCCAATGAATAAAAATGGGTTTTAAGACGAGTTTTAAAAATGGACAGTGTGGGGGCTTGTCTAATTTGGAGGGGTAGCTCGTTCCATAATTTTGGGGCCGCAATAGAAAAAGATCTATCCCCTCTGAGCTTCAGTTTGGACCTTGGTACCTCCAGGAGCAGCTGATCAGCTGACCTGAGGCACCGAGCAGGGGTGTAGGGGTGGAGAAGCTCAGAGAGGTAAGATGGAGCCAGACCATTTAAAGATTTAAAAACAAATAAAAGAATCTTAAAATGAACTCTAAAATGCACGGGCAACCAGTGGAGGGAGGCCAGGATGGGAGTAATGTGCTCCCTATTACGTACTCCAGTTAAGAGCCTGGCGGCTGCGTTTTGTACTAAATGGAGACGTGAGAGGGAGGACTGGTTGACTCCAAAGTAAAGTGTGTTACAGTACTCCAGCCGAGATGTAACAAAGGCATGGATTACTGTTTCAAAGTGCTTACGTGCAAGGAATGGCTTTGCCTTCGCCAGCTACCTAATATTATAAAAGCTAGATTTCACAACTGAGCTAATTTGCTTGTCAAATTTAAAATCACTGTCCATCTTAAAACCCAAATTTGAGACGGTTGACTTTAAATAGTCTGCTAAAATACCCAAGTCTACAGGAGGGGATTCACAAGGGCCACTGGGACATGTGCCACATCTGTTTTTCTCGCACTGAAATAAAAAAAATTCAAAGCCATCCAGGCTTTGATGTCTTCTAGACAGTGGCGGTTCTAGACCAAATTACTCCCCGGGCGAGCACCCCTCCAAGTGCCCCCCCCCCCCCCCCCCCCACACACACACACACACACACACACACACACACAAAGAGATAGAATTTTGAACAGATAGTTTTGTATTATTATGTAGTATTATTATGATTATAACAACAAAAATAATATATTTCTCAATTGCAGAAATCCTTCAATCCTTCCTGAGGGCCATTTAGAGAAGGGCCCCCAGATCCTGAGGTTTTCTGACGTGTTAAGGTTTACAAAAAAGCTGCTATTTCGGCCTCTGTAGTAGATAGCAACAAAATTCAAAAAGTATTTGAGAGCTTATACATGTGGCTTTCAAGAAAGCTATCTTTTTGTTTTGCGAACCTTCATCACATTTTTGAAAACCTTGAACAAACAAACTCAAATGAAATAAAGCGGCTGTATAAATAAAAGTAAAGGCTCTGCACTGGAGAATGACAAATAATTTGCTTTCTGTAAAACAAGTGGCAGTCATGATAAAGTGTCCATTCAATACAAATGTAAATATAGAAAATAAGGTGTTGAAAGGGTATACAGCTGCCCCAGTATAGTGCCAGTACAAAAGCAGAACTAAAAACTAAAAAATGAATAAATAAATACGTGGCTGACAGTATGTTCATCTCTGTTCTCACCCAAAGTCATGCAACACTCAGAGAAAACGCTGATAGTGTGAGCCAAAGCACTGAAGAAGTTGTTCACACTGCTGGATGTTTCTCCTCTGAAGCTGCTCTCTGCCTCAGTCATTGTTTACTTAACTCATGAAGCTCATCGAGCACATAGCAAGATCCGAGCATGAACCCGAGCGCTTTATTCGCCTATCAAAGGCAGACGGGTACGGTGATTTCATTCACCGCGACTCCAGAAATGATTAAAAAACTACAAAATGACGTATCCGCGCTCCCGCTGATATGCTGACATGCGTACACAGAGCAGAGCTGTCCCCTCGCGACTCTCTCCCCGCCTCGTCTCATACAGTCTGTCAGCCTCTGTGCAGCACCTTCGGAGCAAGCAGGGGCGCCTACAGCAGCGGGGGGGGCGCCAATTTGACAACAAGAGTTAATACAAAACCGCTTTGCGGTTAAGATTTATTATTATTATCTTTTATTTTTTTTTTTTGGAAGTGCTCGTGCCGCCCCCCATGAGTCATGACACAAATGCCGCCCCGGGCGGCTGCCCTGTTCGCCCGTGCCTAGAACCGCTACTGCTTCTAGACATGCCAGAAGTGGAGTGAGGGAGAAAGCATTTTTCTTATTAAGTGGCACATATATCTGACTGTCATCAGCATAACAATGAAAAGAAATGCCATGCTTTCTTAAGATGGAGCCCAGGGGCAGCAAATACAGAGAAAAGAGCAGGGGACCTAAAAACGACCATTGTGGAACCCCATATGGCAGTGGAGCAGAGCTGGACTCTGTATCTCCAAGGCTCACACTCATTGTTCTGTCTGTCAAATAAGACTTGAACCACTCTAGTGCAGTACCATGGATAAGGTGGCATAGTCGAGTCACCAGAGTATTGTGGTCCACTGTGTAGAAAGCTGCAGTTAGATCTAACAGAACAAGAATAACATAATCACCAGAGTCATTTGCCTGGAGGATGTCATTAAAGACTCTTAATAAAGCAGACTCTGTGCTGTGACAAGTTTTAAAGCCAGACTGGAAGACCTCCAAGACACCATGCTCATCCAGAAAAGACTTTAGCTGAACATGAACAACTTTGTCTAAATTTTTTTGAAATAAAGGGAAGTTTGGAGATCGGCCTAAAATTGCAATCAAGGCCTGTTTTTTTAAGTAGAGGCTGCACCACTGCATGTTTAAAACCTAGCAGAACAACACCAGAGGACAGACTGCCATTTATGTTAGCCAGAACAGACTGGCCTATGCAGGGGAAAACCTCTTTAAACAGCCTGGGAGGGACAACATCACAGGGAGAACCTGCAGGCTTAATATGGCCGACCAGCTCTTCTAAAAATGATAAAGACACAGGCTCAAACATGTCAAGAACTGTAGAACAGGGGACAGACACAGAGGGGTCGGATGCAGGGGCAGAGATGAGAGACCTGGCAGTCACAACCTTTTCAATTACAGTACAGAAAACTATTGCACATTTCCACAGTTGCCTCCAAGCTGGCAGGCTGTGGGGCGCTAAGAACAGCGTCGATAGTTTTAAATAACACACGTGGGTTATGATGATTTAACTCCACTATGTTTGCCAGAAATTTTCTTTTGCTCTCTTTAACAGTAATCTGGTAGCTGATCAAAGAGTCCTTAAGTATTTGGAAAGAAACCTGCAGCTTGTCCTTCTTCCACCTTCACTCAGCTTTGCGGCACTCTCATCTGGCTGCGCGAGTTTCTTCATTGAACCAGGGCTTTGGTTTAGCCTTTGGCCGAACAGTTTTTAAAGGAGCCACAGAGTCCAGAATATTTTCACAGGAGGAATGAAACCAGGAGCTGAGCTCCTCTGTGTTCGCAGAGGTAGGGCAGAAAAAGAGCTGTTCAAAAGCCACACATAAGCGACCGGCAGTGGAGGGGTTAAGAATCCGGCGTCTCTGCGCAGGGGCGCCAGATTTAGCCTCAGAACAAGAAAGATACACAGGCCTGTGATCAGAAAATACATCATCACATATCTCCAAGTTAGACACAGGTAAACCATGGCATAGTACGAGGTCCAATAAATGTCCGTGCTCGTGTGTGGGACCCGACACACACTGCACCAAATTAAAAGACTTACAAAGTCCTTCACCAGCGGCTTTTCTGGACAACACAGGTGAATATCAAAATCCCCAAGAAGAAGGACGCAGTCATAGTTCAGCATAATTTCAGTCAGTAAACCAGAGAAGTCATTCAAAAACTCATTGTATTTGGGGGGACAGTAAATTACAGTGCACAGCACCGAGTCAGACCGACCCACCTCAAATAAAGTCACCTCAAAGCTGGAAAAAGAGGATGAAATAGTGCACTGCTTGCATTTAAAGCCATTCTTATAAACCGTTGCTGTCCCTCCACCACGACCCGATGGGGAGTTAAAGTACAAGCAGTCGGGAGGTAAAAGTTCGGCCAGAGCGCTGGACTCACCCGCACTGATCAAAGTCTCTGTCACACAGAGGAAATCCAGGGCATGGGAATTTTATTCACCAGGGATCTGGCGTTTACCAGGCAGATCCTGGCGGGGGCTGGGGCTGGGGCTTGTGGTCCGGTGGATCGGGGAGCCGGGCGCAGCGACCTGAGGAGCCGCGCTGTGACAGCCGAAGAGGGCAGAGGCAGCAGGGTTCGGGTCCTTCTGCTGAGCCGGTGACAGGTACCAGACAGACGCCGATCGGGTCTAGAAAACGATGAGGCACACAGAGGGAATAATCCATGTCCTGTTCGGGAAATGGACGAAGATCGTGACAGCCACAGTTTTAGCTTTACCAGCCGACTGCCGCGTCTGCCGTGGTGACGAGGACGCCTCCGGCGAGAAGGCAGGGCCAGCACCCGGCACAGGTGAGGCAGAATCCCCACCAACAGCGGGGGCAAGTCTTTGCCACCCCGATCAAAGGCACCCAAATCTCTGACTTTTTGTTGGAGGGATTAAAGAGACTGGCGATCATACATCAACAGAGACTCGATTGATTTAGTGCCAATGGTTAAAAAGAACAGAAAAAAACAAACATTGCAGGAGTAGCAATCTTGCTCTGAGACAAGCTCAGTCCACTGATAGACTTGGCAACAGTAGCAAGAATAAGGCCATCTGTTTAGAGGAAACAAACTTGAACAGAGCTGGACTCAGTTTCATGTCTTGTCTGCTATCTGCCACAATTATGACACAATTTTGCTCCATCTGACAACGCGTCCTGCTCCACCGGAAACATGTTCACCCCAGTGTGCAGACTTGTCCAGCTGGGTCTGCTCTGTTTGGGCTCAGTTGAAAGTAGACTCAGCCTGTCTTTGGTGAAGACATGCTTCTGGGTTGGAGCTGAGATGCCACGACGCTCTCTGTGGAAACACATGCATCTAGCAGCTCCTGAGAGCCGGGTGCAAAGGGACCGCAGCACACATGCTTGCTTTGAAATCAACCAGCATCTGCCACAACTTAGAGCATTTAGAAGACAAAGAAAGAGAGAGAGAGAGAGGGAGAGAGAGAGCATGAAAAACATGCTCATATACGTACCCAATCTATTAATTTATCTTGCAGTTAAGTTTAAAAGTCTGCATCCCTGATGATTGGAGCAACTGTTAGATAATATGCAGAGTTTGCTTCCCCGCTTAAGATCATGTTTCATTCAAGAATAGGACAGTCTGCCTTCAGAATCAGTTTGTGCTGCTTTGTGGTTTTGCATGTGTATGCATGCACCAGGAGTTACTGGCTAAGGTTGGGCTTAAAATACAAGGAGAGTGATGGTGAATACTCCAGAGACTGAACCAATTTCAGTGTAATATGGCTCAGGGGAAATCAGCTCTGTCACACAGTGTTCATTGAAAAGATACCTGAATCATTTACAAAAGTGAGGAGGAGAATTCTGCAGAGGCTGCACACGTGTCCATTTACGCGTGGGTGGCATCAGCAAAGGTTATGTTGCAAATAAAATATAAAATATAGTGGACAAGGGGCAGTAAATGGAATTTCTGATTCCCAATCCAATAAATATCTTGAAGCACAGTGCTGCCTGGAGACCTCAGAGGTGTTTGAGCAGCCAGTGTGTAAGTAAAGAAATCGACCTCAACCTTGGAGTTTGTCACATTTTGCAAATTTGAAACTTCAGGACACTGTAGCTGCGTTTCCATTACATTTTTTCGCAAAATAAAAGCAATGTTTATCAAATTTCGACAAAGCACAATTGCGATTTGCAGGTGTTTCCATTGAATGGTGTTCAGTGCATAAGCGAGCCGTCTGCATCTCGCGAGCCGTGTTTGAATGGCCGTTGCCTAGCGAACAGGTAAACTTCCTGCCGTGCGACCTCGTATTCCTTAAGCCTTTTTGCACACCAACATGGAGGAGATATAAAACATTTTGCTCTTTGGAGCAGCTTTTTCTGTGACCATTACTGCTGTTGCCGCTGCTGTCATCAGAAGACGAAGGCAGTGGGTGATAATTCAAAGTCAAAGCCCGTATGGATATGGAATCATTTACCGCTCGAGGTTCGGGGGGCAGACACACTCTCAACTTTCAAGAGTAGACTTAAAACGTTCCTCTTTGATAAAGCCTATAGTCAGGGCTGATTTGAACCAGCTCTTAGTTATGCTGCTATAGGCCTAGACTGCCGGGGCTATCTGGCACACTGAGCTAGAATCTGTCTCTATCTCCTCTTTAGATCTTTATGTCCCATATAAGTCACTGACCAGTTTTCTGTCTCTCTGAGTGTCTCTGAGTCTCTTAGCTGGCACTGGACTAATGCTGCAGACGGTCTGCTGCCGAACTGCCTGACCCCAGCTGCATCCATCCTGGGCCCTGAGCTCCTCCATCTCTTTGGCTCTTTGGCTTCTCTGGACCGTTGCTGCAGAGACCCCCCCCCCCCCGGCCCTGAGCTCCTTCTTCTCTCTGATTCCTCTCGACTGTTACTGTTACTGCAGACATGAACATCAGCCTCACTGTCTTTATTGACATACAAAATAGAACTGACTACGATTAAGCCTGCTAACTGTAATCACACTCAATTAATTCAACATTGTCCATTATTTCTCATATCCTAAACCTGTAAACTGAACGTCTTTTTGTTTCACCATTACATGAGCTGTTGTCGTTGTTGCTGTTGTTCCTGCTGCCTCCTGTCTCTCTCTCACCCTCGTTCCCTACTCTCTCTCCCTCCCCCTCCCTCTCCGTACTAATTCTCTCTCGCCTTTCCCCTATCTTGCTGTCTCTCTCCCTCCCCCTGTCCTCTCCCCCTCTCCCCTCTTCTCTCTACATTCCTCCCCAACCCAGCAGCGGCATGGTGGCTGTCTAGCATGAGTCTGGTCCTGCCCAAGGTTTCTGCCTGTTAAAAGGAAGTTTTTCCTTGCCACTGCTACTCATGTTAGTTGAGATGGGCCAAAACCCATCTTAGGTTGGTTCTTGATCATCAAACAATGAGCGTGGTCTCGACCTGCTCTTGTTCTTTGGAAAGCGTCTTGAGATGACGACTGTTGTGAATTGGCGCTATATAAATAAAATTTGATTTGATTTGATTTGATGTATGGGAGCGGACACGGACGAGGGATTTCTGGGAGAGGATCGTTAATGGGGAATTCACAAACGAATTGTGGATTCAAAACTTCAGGATGACCCGGGATACGTTCAATGAACTGTGATGCTATTGAGCCTCTTGTGGCACCTGCCATGTCAAGCCCCCGGGAGGCAGTTCCCACTTGGAAGCATGATCACATAACTCGCTACGTCACGTCCGCTGATGTAAAATTGCGAGGATAGTGTTTCCATTACACTTTTGCAATATACTTCTATATCGACACGTCTGAAAAACCACCTCATGAGAGCGTAAAAACTTTTTAGCGATATTTGAGAGGTTTTTCGAAATTTAGGTGTTTCCATTACCAGTTTTCTATCTATATTTAGGTTTTGCTCAAATCTATGGGTCATGGAAACGCAGCTTGTAAGTCCTTTACTACGACCTCCTGGCTGTTCAAATCTATATACTATGGCTTTGATATATTTACAATGTGCCACTTTTTTCCCTTTTGTCTCTCCAAAGTTAAGAGATAAGTTCAGCATTTTTGAAGTGGGCTTGTATGAGTTACTTGTCATTAGTAGGGGATCTAGCCATAATGGATATCAGTCAGTTGTCTTTACTGAAAAACAGGAGAACTGGTGTGGGTGCCAGATGTGTTCAGAAGAGCTGTCAGAAATACAATATGATAGGCTGTTTGTTTTTTATGATGACATTTTACGCTAAGATTGGCTGCATGACAGGACGTTTGTTTGTTTGGCAGTTTTCGGATGTAGTGACCAAAAATAGAAAAGCGGATATTATGCTTGCAGTTTGTCTATTGACAAGTGAAATGTATACATTTATTGATATGAATAGGTTTAAAACGGAGTCAAGAGGGTTCTTGGGTAAATAGATGAAACACAGAACATAAATTCAGTGCTTGCTAGCAAATTGGTGCCAATATTATTCCAAGTTTAATGTTCAAAAGCCATCAATAAAAATATGGGGTGGCTTCATTTATATATGAGACATGGAGTTTTCAGGCAAACATCTGTCATGGGTCTGAATATGGCAAGCAATGGTGTATTCTGGCTGTCAAACAGTATTTCCTGTTTAATATTTCTTATGATCACATTGGTTAGTATCGCAACTCTACAAGGACAAACAACACTAGAGGGTAAAACTCCGACCGTGAAGTCTCCAACATCCAAAAAATTACAAAGTGAAACCATCAGAATATAAACAGAAGGCCAATCACCTCAACCTTGAGCTGATCTGACCACATGACCACACCCAGAACCTGATACAGGCATGCTGGGTATGCAAACGTTACAGGCAGAGAAACTGTAACTCATACAAATTCACTTCAATTCTGTCCATCCCTCTGATAGTGCCAGCTTGGTTTCTGCTGTGTCTGCTGGGAGCTGTATGCGGACTAACCTGGTAACAGTTACCTTCATGAGTTGATTGTGCTGGGCCATTGTGAGTTTATGTAAATTACTTAAAGGTATTTCTACCACCAAGCTACTGATAAATGCAGTTGGGTTACTGACCTTGCTGTTTGCAACCCCAATACTGCCCTGTTTGTGAACTGGAAAACACTGACCTGTGTCATCATTAGTATCAGGAGAAGGCTGTGCATGCTGTCTCTTCATATTCAATAAATGTGAAAGAACCATCTAATACCAGTTCTATTATCAGGTGCACATGGTCTAAGAATCAGTATCACCTGGCACAGAGCTGAGGACAGGATGTGGTAAAAAGGAATGAACAGAACAGGGAGAATTAGCCCAATATGTTTAAAACCATTTCAGACATGAAATTCTAAGTTGATTATTATTTGGAAAAAATAAATAAATGAAGTTTATTTATTTATTTTTTCATTTATTTACGGGAAACAAAGGGAACCCGTTTACACTTAAACAGTCTAATGTAAGTTGTTAAATAAATTAGTGATCCATAGACACAAAGTCTGGCAAATGATCTGGACTGGGATAAAAGTGAATCCAATAACATTCTCATTAGATTTATGAAAGAAAGGTCTTCCATCACTGCCACTTTTATTGTGTTTCAAACAGGAATTTTAAACTATTTCTTTCAGCATCAGTTCAGAGGAGTTTTCAGCTGCTTCGATATCAGTTTCTGTGTTTCCATCTGTCCTGAGCCTGATGGGTGCACCTGAAAAAGGTCCAACAAGAGAGACATTTCCCTTCAATGTTGTTAGTTTCCAGAAAATAACAAGAGAATGTGGATATCTTAGATTTAATAACCACTTCGACATTTCATCCAGTGATCATTTTCATGTGTGCTATGTTGAGGTGTGTGGGTGTGAGTGATGCTGGAGAGGCAGACAGAGACAATAGACAAAAGAGGACAAGAGGCACCTGAGACTTGCTCCTGGATTTAGTTAATACTTTTTGTTTCCAACAGCAGTGACAAAGATGTATGAGGATGTGGATTTTATGGAAAACACACTCCACATAGATGTGTTTGCAGGCTGTCAATAGCAGTGATCCCTCTGTGTGTGTATGCATCCACATCTGCCTCATCATGTTACCATTCAAATGTGCAAAATAGAAACAGAATAAAATTAAAGGGATATTCCAGTTTTGTTTTGTTTTTAAGTGTCCGATTTTCATGTGATGTTTTTAACTTGGCTTGCTGGCCAGCAGGTTACTAAGGCCCAGTCCACATGTGGGTCCCTGTAGATGTTTCTGGGAGCAAAGGTTTTTTGGGCTTAAGTGTGGAGACAACTGAAACTGAGACCTTTGGGTATGCTGATATCAAAACTTTAATCTGTGCACAGTAGAGATGTAGAGATTAATCGATATGGATTGTGGTCGCGACACAGAGGTGTGTCGATACGAGTGCATCGATTCATTCAGTGTGTATCGGTACAATGAAGGCTGAAATTCGTGATGCCTCGTTCGCTGGGTGTCTGTACTGGTAATCTTCACAGTTGCATCGGTTTTTCCATGTTGTACTGCATTGTATCATGTGTTTCCGAGGCGTCTTGAATGCACCATCTCCAATTTCGCGATTTGTTCTGAAGACGGGCGGAAGCCATGCGCCCTTCAGTAATCATGGCAAAGGGAAGCAGCAACGCTGCTGAAGAAGAGATTTTTAATGCTCCACAAAGGTTCAAATCCAACGTTTGGAAGTACTTTGGATTTTACAAGAGAGATGGTAAACTTGACAAGATGCACGTTATTTGTAAAGAATGCTGTGTTTTTAAACCTCACAACGGCAGCATGACAAATATGGCCACTCACTTGAAAAAACATGGTATCGATGAGAACCAGAAAATCACAAAACACAAAAACCCAAAATCAGATTTGAAAAATTTGTTAATTTCTTTACTACTCAAAAGTCAAATATGCTCAATGTAAAAATTTGAATGCAGAAAATGTAAACACAAGTTGTAAATATGTACATACAAAAGTATAAGTGAGATAAAATTAACGTACTGGGATGAGGGGTGAATCATATTGTATTGAATTGGGATGGAAGGTGAATCGTATCGTATCGAGAGCAGGGGTGAATCGCGGAGTATCGTATCGGCAGGGATTCAATGTATCGCAAATTATATTGTATTGTTGGCAGTGCATCGAGATGGGTGTCTAATCACCACAGTAATGGAGATGCACATCCCTAGTGCACAGGGATTATTATTTGTAAAAAAAGCAAAACAGAGCAAAAAAACACAAAACACAGACACTAAGATGGTGCCTGAAGCAACAGACTAATAACCACTGAAACCCCCTACAATGAACCAAGTAGTTACACAGCAGAATTATATTAGAATTATGTGCAAATTTTGAGCACAATATCAACATGTCATTACTTTAATGAAACAGTCTCAGTAAATATGTAAAATTATATACATATAAATGAAACAGTCAATATGAAGTTCATATGTAAACATTGCACTTTGTAAGATGTGTTTGACCTTTTTTTGATAATATTTTCAAACTCTGTGCTTCCCTATGGACTGAAGAGTTTCTGGTTATTTTCAGAGCTGGTTAACACAACTGAAGATTAAAGCTCCTGTAAGGATTTTTTTTCACATTGGGAAACAGACTGAAACTTACATTCAAAGCATAAAAAAGAAATACAAAACCATTACAGTAACAGTGTACAGCACTGACAGTTTTTAAAATTCGCCTCTATTGATACATTTGACCGTCAAAAGTCAGCAGGACAACATTTCTTTTAGTTAGATGACACATCATTGTCCACAGGAGGAGCCAAATTTGACTCAAGCTGAATGTTCTTCACAGGAGCTTTAACAACATGTCCAAGAAAAACTACCCACAATGTTGATAGCTTCTAATTCAACATGATGAAATACTAAAGCAGAAATATTGACAGTAATCTGATTAAAATTCAACATCAATTGTCAAAAGACCTTTTGGTGTTTGGTGTTTTGGAGCCTAGTTTGACCACATTCGCATCATTGCAGTCTTTATAACCCAGACTGTAGAGATGATGTCATCTGGTGACAATCTTGGCACTTCATCACAGACAGTAAACAGACATATGAACACACTCCCTGAGTCCCAGCTGATGTAACTCAAGCAAAAGCCCTGTGAGCCAGAGTCAGCCGCTAATTCAGTTCAACTGGACTGCTGGACTCTATCAAAGGGACCTAATTACATCAAAGATCAGCCTGGTCTGATTTCTCTGAGCTCAGGGACACACTCTCTGTCTCTGAAGACTCCCCTGTCCAGAATTAGCAGGTTGGCAATCGTGAGATTTGTTGCTGAGGGGAAGATTAATGCAGAGACGTACAAAGGTCTTTAACTCAGTGATGGAGTGATGTTTGGACGGACACTGAAGGCAGAGCCCGGTCTGCACCATCTGTGTATTGGGGAGAGGCAGACGGTGGGGCAGGTGAGGACGGGTGCTCAGGGACCAGAGTGCCCTCTGAGCTGCCATCCTAGACTGAGCCTGTAGATTACAACCACTAATTAGTCAGAGGGCCAGAGTGCAGGCAAACTCCAGAGCCAGCAATCACACACACAC